TCACTATTTGTAAATTTGAAAATAGAATTTGTAAAGTAATTATTAATAATCTTCACATATGTAGGATGTAGGCTATATTGTGACATTAATTTACGTACTAACAGAGATCGGTCCAGACTGTTGAATGCTGATTTGGCATCAAAATAGACCGCAATACATTTACCATTCTGTACATCAAGTGCCTTATATATGTATGTGGTAAATTCAGTTAATGCAGTATCACAGGATCTATTATTATAATTTGTGTTCAAATCACTGCAAATCACTTGATCTAATTTTTATAAGTGGAATAATTTTGACAATTGACTCGATAAAACTCATGGAACTACTTCCTTAATCATAGCACACAAAATGCATTAACAATTGAATAGATGGTTGGCTTCAAGGACCAACCAGGAGTTTCCCTCGTTTACGCTTTGTTCCGTTTCGGATTAAAATACAATTTGAGATTAGAAATTAAGCTAACAACAGGTGGCTTATTTTACAAGTCTTCGATGGAAAGGCTACGAATGTCTTTATAAAATTATACGGAATTGTTTGCTTCAATCAGAGAAATGTAAGTGAGTCTCATGATGAGGACGAGACTCTCATCCTCAGTATATGCATACAAAAATATTTTCCACGGTTGAAAGCATGTACATAATGTTAGTATACATAGATATAGCATACAGCTTATTACTCTCCGTGCAGCAAAAGCATGACTGTCATTAATTTCATTTTATGCAAAATAACTAATTACAGATGTCATTCCTAGACTTGAATACTTCTTTAAATGAACCGATTTTTGTTAGTTTTTATTGTAAAGAAAAATATATTCATTCCTCAAGAATGTCAGGAGAATAGAAATAAATACACATATATACACATTGCGTAAAATCGATCTATCGCGGAAATATCCCCGATATTTGTGTATATTCTCATGCCACTATAAGTTTCATCCCCATACCATCAAGAGACGAGTTTTCCCCCTTCGGTCAGATTTATATTAAAATTGTCAATGGAACTGGAGTTGCCTACATTCAAAACGGCAATATGTAAAATTCTGATATGTAAAAATAAATGACAGCTGAACAAGTGAACAAGTGAATAAATGTAATTTTGTGTTGATGAAAACATTCAATTCAATTAAAGTGTTGCATGAACAAAATCATCAGCTTTAGCATTAGCAGAATTTCAAGTTTCACATGCCTGTATTCTTTTACTTGTTTGTTTCAAGCCTGTATGTATGCTTTGATACGTAGTGAAGAAGCATAAACTGATTTTGCTAATAAGAATTAACCTGGAATTATTAGTAACTAAAATTTATATTACGATCATTGAAATAATTTTTTTAGACTTACCTTGGTTAAAATTCCTGTGTTCATTATATTAAAATATTTAAATATTCGAGTTGAAATTATTGTATAACTTTCAGTTTTCAAGAAACACTAAAGTTTATTCACAATTTCACGGGATATAAATAACCTTGTATTCACAGAAGTCCCCAAAGAAATGTTGGTTATCGTAATCCATTAGGACTCACTTAAAACGCTAAAACAATTCCTGTGTTCCCAAGTTTGGAAGTTTCTATCCAAACCAAAAAGAACAACGGAAACACTTTTTTCTTCCTTCGTGGCAATTAAGATTAAAGAAAAGTCTTAACAGGTTCAGCGGAAACCAGGCTGCTCCACACTTTACAGATACGTATCCGTACGATGATGTCTGGATCTAGGTTTAATATCATGGAATAATATGCAGAAAAGTTGAGATACACAAATATAAGAAGCTATAAGTAAATTTGGGCTATGAAATCAACTATGAAAACAGGCTAATTATGAGCCGAGATTATTTCACCACATTTCCGTTGGAGCACCAGTTAGCTTGCCGGGTGCCATATAAATAAAATTACGTGACTACGTATGGTGTATTGTTCTCAAAGTGCATGAGAAAACAATGGGTCCACAACAGGTTGGAGTTTAATGTTTGAAATAATTTGGTTTTTCTTGGGTTTGTTTTCCACTCAACCAAACGTTCTTTTTTTTATCGGACAATATATGTTTTTTTTGAAAGAAAAGTTGACGTCGTGCAGCAAATATAACGCTATATCGCCAGGCCCCCACTCTACTTTCTCAGGCTTCCAACTGAGAATTTGATTTAAAATGAGATCCTCACAAATTAGACCACGCTGAGACGACTGATAATGTCGGCCGCAGTTGTATTATCCCACGCAATTGTCCAAATTCGGGTTAATGAAAGGTCCTCGATACAATTGCTAATAAATTATATATTGATTCCCGATATTTGCACTCTTCTGTTGCAGGAACGTGCACAGAAACCGGTATTTTATTTAGTTTGACTAGTTGGATAGTTTTATGTAGTGCAATCTGTCTGGTTCGGTGCCACCATATTTTTTTGTTGTATTTGTGGACCATTTACCATTCAATAAATCAGGGAGTCATACTTGGTTGCAATTTGTTACCGGTTTCGTGCACCAGGTTAGAAGTTGAAGAAAAATGTTTCAGCCTTCTTGCAAGTGTGGCAGACTATTCAGGGCCCTTCGACTCGGTGGAGTGGAGAGGATGCAGAAGAAGAAAGTGGAATCTCACCATTTACACCTTAATTGCACTATAAATCTTGAATTTCCTTAATTTTATGAGACACCAAACACATAAGGATTCCACAACGCACATCATCGTTGTCTACAAACTTTTGCTCGCTCTTTGTCCTCTGCTTCACATGTCTCAACTCTTCGTCAGCTATGCAGAGAAAAAAAGACAATGCAATTGCAATAACTAAATTGCGACCAGCAAAATTGTTCACTAATGTTTTCTCTTCCTCCTGGACGAAGAACTATTTGCAACTTGGGCGCACAGTTGATATTAAATGTATCAAATTTGATTAAAAGTTAATCGTACAACTTGGGATTGTTGAGCAAATACAAATAATGCCAATACTATTTATTTAGTTTAGTTTAGTTGCGTAACACATAAAACAGTGCTCAAACTCCATACACATTCACATACTTTTATATGTAGAATAACAGTTTTTGTCTCACAGAATTCACGGACAACAAACAAACCAAGAACAAAACAAAATTTGTATTTATTTCTCAGACTCCTCGATTCAATACGCTCCAACAAATACGATGGTTACACCAATAATAAGACGACGCCCGTTCATGAGAAGAACAAGCTAAATAGTTAAGGTACAGATTATTCGTGCTTTTCGATGGGAACCTTTGCACCAATATATTCCACACCTGCAAACGATGCAGTAACCAACAATTCACTGACTGAAACCAAAACCAAGTCCGTAGTATAAACCAAAGCCGTCCATGTCTTCATGATGATGAGAGTTTGACTCGCACAGAATTCTTCAGGCCATATTCTTTGCCATGCACAGATTTAAGAGATTTAATACAAGGGTTTGTAAAATATAGTAACATTGCATCAACCAGCACCAACAACCAAAGGATAAACCTGTCCCTGTATGACAAGCGGCAAGACCAGCTCAACATTGTAGCATCAGCAACTCGTTGTCGTTACTTTTTAAGTAGATGAACACATACCAAAATAACAATATACATACATATCTGGCCTGAGAACAGGTAGACATGAGACAACTTGGGTTTTGAAAACCGAGTGAGTGAACATATTTATATCATTAAATTGGATGGATGGTTGATAAAGGAAATCACATCAGAAGTTCATACAATGCACCGTAAATAAGTGTCCAACAACCACACGATTTTTTATCTGGACGATACCTTCATTTTTAGACCTGGCTTTGCTCCGTTCGTAATTTTAGTTTCAGGCGTTTCAACAAGAGCATTGATTGTACATATGGAATGATTATATAGGCAACGATGAAAATGAAATGAAGCATTTGGGTACACATATCCGTCTTCTTCCAGCCAATGTTCGAGATCCCCTGCGGCACAAAGCTACATACACATGCACACTTTCAGGTACCTGTTGTCCATGATGCATCCACTTGCGTAGCAGAAATGAGTTGACCATGCCATCCACATGAGCGCTTTGCTGGTACAAATAATAATACGAAACAGGAATGGTCGATGAATAATTAGTTCCCCGTCTTTACAGAATCGTGGGAGGAAGAAAATAAGAGTCCATTACAATTTTAATTTCAATTGTATATGAAACGAAGTTTTGATGCGTGCAATTTTTCTTCTGTTTCTCTTTCAATTGTGAGAAGGACTGAATCGACCACGAACATTTCGTCATTAATACTCTGCACAATACTCTGCATGTGAAAAACAAGTCATACGCAGGCAGAGTGGACATGAACGCAATCAGACTGTTTCAAATATGCATTTAAAACCAAAGTGTGTGTAAAGATGTGATGTATTTTGACCTTGAAGTACGGCGTACACACCCGAGCTAGTGAAGGGCTTGTGAATAGCAAAGGTTTTCCAAGTGCTCTGATGGACCAGACCATTTCTTGATCATATATCTCAACCGACATTTCAGAGAATATAAGAATAATGCCTACCACCACCAACAGTGGGGCGTCTTCGTGACTTTGTAATTTTTTTCAAGTCTTCTCCCTCATTCTCTGCCCTAAGCTCAACCGTAGAAGGAGCCTTTATAAAATGCGTGTGTACGTCGTCCCTTCCAGTCTGATGGTAAAGATATACATCAAGGTTTCTCAGGGACTGACGAAGATTTACTATTGTCACTTATGACCTGACAAGCGAGAAGAACCCATACACACCACCCAATGCATATAGGTATCTACTTTCATAGACACAAATTCGAGAATATACAAATATGTAGAAGTAAATAGTATTCAATAATGGTCTGAAATTTATTAGCCATTGCACATATATTTTAGGTGAGCATTAGAAATAATGAGAATAGATCAGAATATTTTGACCAAAACGAAAGCAAATTACCAAATTTGTTATGTAAACTCATGGGCATGATTTTGTTTACAGAGAAAATGCACTATGCAACTACGATGCCGTTGTCTTTGTTTCGGGGAAGAGTGAGATGCGGACTCTTCAAATTCTCGGCTCTTGACATTGAGCTTCGTTCCTGTTATTTTTTTTTAACAAATTCGAATTTTCGAATATTATTGCATTTGCATTCATAATATTGAGGTCTGCTTTTTCTGGGTGCACAGTTTTAAGTAGTTTATTGTTCACTTTCCTTAAAGTGTAAAGTTGCGGAAAGGGAACATGGTTTTTGAAACACTTTATTTGTATTTTCATACATAATCAGACATTTATTTTATTTTTCGTGGCTTATTGGACTATCGACTGACAATTAAGAAAAATGAGTCTGACTATTCAAGCTGTGCGTGAAAGATCGCGGAAAAGGAAGCAGCTCCTTGCACAACAAGTTAGTAGTTCAATTAGTATTCGTGATTTTTGCTTACTGTTGAAAATATTTTTAAAACCTCGTTTTTCACTTTATTTTAGCATGGCGTTGATTCTATTGAAAACCTCCGAAAGGCATTGAACTCCAGAGAAAGCGACTGTTATCCGTCATCGACATCATCATCCGACATTGCGCAACAATTGGTGCAGGCTAAAACTGAAGCTAAAAGAGCCGATGATAATGAAAAGGATGGAAGAGGGGCCCTCGGAAGTGGGGGAGGAGTTGAAGGAGACACACCTCAGTTGTACAGGGATTCGTCAACCTTCCTGAAGGTGAGGTTTCATTTAATAACAAAATCCATGGGTTGTTCTAAAGATATTTGCAATAAATAGGGGACCCAATCCTCAAATCCACATAACGACTATTGTCAACATTTTGTAGACACGGGGCAAAGACCACAAAATTTCATTAGGGATACTGGATTGGCTGACAGATTTGAAGAGTATCCAAAGTTGAAGGAATTAATTCGACTCAAGGTTTGTTATACAACAACAGAAAATCTACAATTTGCATATGCTAGCATTAGTACTTAGTTTGTAATAAGATGCACTAAAATCTTACCGTATTTCGTTTCAGGATGACCTTATACAGGAAACTGCATCGCCACCAATGGTAAGATTAGTAATTTTGAGAACTGTTTTAGCATGAAATATAAAATCTAACAGTGGATCGTGAGAAAAACCTGATTAAATTTTTTTGTCAGTACTTGAACGCCGATCTTCGAGATTTTCAATTATCAAGCCTGGCTGTCAAGTTCGATGTGATTCATGTTGAGCCACCTCTTGAAGGTATAAGTGACGCCTGGTTATTTATAACTGCTTTTTGAAGTTCTAATATATTTGCAACCGCTTATCCGGTATATATATACGTCAACCAACGAAAGGAACATTAAAATACAACCAGAAAATATGATAAATATAGTATATATTTAATTTAGAATATCAACGCCGTGGAGTCACTGGAACGGATGTTGATTTTTGGAGTTGGGATCAAATCATGTCTTTAGACATTCCGAGTGTTGCGGCCCCGAGGTCTTTCTTATTCCTGTGGTGTGGATCTTCTGAAGGACTGGATTTAGGAAGAATTTGTTTGAGACGATGGGGATTTCGTCGATGCGAAGATATTTGCTGGATAAGGACAAATATAAGTAATCCTGGACATTCAAAAAATTTAGAGACCAAGGCTGTATTCCAGCGCACAAAGGTCTGTTTTCACTAGTTCTATAATAAAATTCCTAAAAATTAGTCTCACTTATTTATCCAAACATAGGAGCATTGCCTTATGGGAATAAAAGGGACGGTACGACGGTCTACAGGTTAGTATTGCCTATGTGTCTCAAGACTAGTGGTAATTACATTGAAGGTTTGGATCTACAGATGGTGATTTCATTCATGCAAATGTTGACATTGATCTTATCATCACCGAAGAAGAAGAATATGGTTCAATGGAAAAACCAGCAGAAATATTCAACATTATTGAACATTTTTGTCTTGGGCGTCGAAGGCTTCATCTCTTTGGACGGGATTCAACTATTCGTCCTGGTTGGCTCACAATTGGGCCACAATTGACTATTAATAACTTTAATTCCGAGACTTATGCCTCGTATTTTGCACAAGGAGGGAACATAACCACTGGTTGTACCGAACGAATTGAATCTTTGAGACCGAAATCCCCACCACCGAAAGCAGGAAATCGATCTTTTCGAGGAAGACCCAGATAGTGACGAACAATTGTTTTCTCAATTTAATCTTGTATTATCATACATACTATATAAACATGTAAGTTACTTTTTTAGCGTACGTATTATATTGACTTTTATACCCGATCCGCAGTATACCTATTGTGATTTTTTCCATAAATTTTTATTGTGAATTGAATAATTTTCAAAGAATACTCTATTTATTAATCAGTCTTGGGAAATTAAATAAATAAGTACAAGTTGCTTATGAAAACAAGGTTCTGTGAATTTAGTTCTCTGCACTCCTGGAGAATAACTACGTTTTTTTTATTCCCCCTCGGCTTCGCCTTCATCTAATTTACTGAACGAACTGCCACCGCTAATTTTATTGTACATCGCCACTCGTCTCCTCATTTTGATGTAATGGCTGCCTGCCTTGTGAGTACAGATATGATCGTGTCCAAGATTTTTGCCATAAACTAATTAAGATTCAATAAGGAAAATGTTATTTAGAGAACAATGAATAGCAACTAAGATGGTACATGATAATACGCATGCATAAATATGTTTATGTAAATATATATTACATCGAAAAACGTCCTCCAGGACTGGAACCATTTCTTCAGTGACTCCATGTAGAAGAGTGATGGGCAACGTCACGGGCTGAGTGTTGGCCATACTTTTTATGTAATTAAAATGATCAGCATCATACGCAACCTTTTTTAAAAGTTGCAGTTGTGCCTCCATCTTGCCTACGGTTACAATTCAAAATTACTTCATATCATGATGACACATTTACAAAAATCCGAACTGAGTCAAAAGTTATCAGCAAATTAATAATGTGCAAACTTGCGTGTTTTTTTGGCAGCTCCTTTATCTTGCTCTTCCTCCTTTGACCCAATTCTAAAAACACGTAAAATGTATTTGCATATACTCTGCAAAAATTCAAACCAATGCTAAAAGCACCCTTACTTTGAAACGTCAATTGTTGTGAAACATTTGGAATGACTGCTAGCGCCACGATACCTGTCTTGCATGTTTATTAAGCAGTAAGATCGAAGCACATAGCTGTAATACTCCCTCATCAGTCCTCCAAAGTCATACTGCACTGCATCCGCGTCCTGCGAAGCATTGAAATTAATTACGCAATCCTACTTTATCTTAACATGAACATAATTTATTATTAAGTACTAGTAAAGCATCTACTAGACGGGTTTGGCTTGGTATCCCAAATTGCTTAAGTTGACTAAGTTCGTCTCCACTTCCTTGACGTGGAGCACTAATATTAACGTTAAAAATCTTGGACATCGTACTCCTCAACTGTTCTTTCTGACTGTCATCTATAATTGGTTCTGGGCCCCCCAGCTTCGCAGCTAAACTAGAAACACTGGCGCTGTTTTTTTCTATCCCATCAAATCTTTGCAGTTTTTGAGTTGCAGTTATAGCCGGCTTTTGTGGTGCCTGGCTTGCAGTCATCGCCGCCTTCGAAATTGGTTGCTGGGCTGCTGAAACTGCGGGTTTTGACATTTCTACCAGTTTTGGTGGTGGTTGAGCTGGAGCTGCAGTTGGCTTTGAAATTTCAACCGGTTTTGGTGGTGGTTGAGCTGGAGCTGTAGTTGGCTTCGAAATTTCTGCAGGTTGTGGGGCTGCTTGTGTTGCAGAAACTGCGGGCTTTGAAATTTCAACCGGTTTTGGCGGTGGTTGGGCTGGAGCGGTAGTTGGCTTCGAAATTTCAACCGGTTTCGGTGGTGGCTGAGCTGGTTCTGTAGTTGGCTTCGAAATTTCAACCGGTTTTGGTGGTGGCTGAGCTGGTTCTGTAGTTGGCTTTGCAATTTCGACCGGTTTTGGTGGTGGTTGGGCTGGAGCTGTAGTTGGCTTTGAAATTTCAACCGGTTTTGGTGGTGGTTGGGCTGGAGCTGTAGTTGGCTTCGAAATTTCAACCGGTTTTGGTGGTGGCTGAGCTGGTTCTGTAGATGGCTTTGCAATTTCGACCGGTTTTGGTGGTGGTTGGGCTGGAGCTGTAGTTGGCTTTGAAATTTCAACCGGTTTTGGTGGTGGTTGGGCTGGAGCTGTAGTTGGCTTTGAAATTTCAACCGGTTTTGGTGGTGGTTGGGCTGGAGCTGTAGTTGGCTTTGAAATTTCAACCGGTTTTGGTGGTGGTTGGGCTGGAGCTGTAGTTGGCTTTGAAATTTCAACCGGTTTCGGTGGTGGTTGGGCTGGAGCTGTAGTTGGCTTTGAAATTTCAACCGGTTTCGGTGGTGGCTGAGCTGGAGCTGGAGTTGGCTTTGAAATTTCTACCGCTTTTGGAGGTGGTTGAGCTGGAGCTGGAGTTGGCTTTGAAATTTCTACCGGTTTTGGTGGTGGTTGAGCTGGAGCTGGAGTTGGCTTAGAAATTTCAACCGGTTTCGGTGGTGGTTGAGCTGGAGCTGGAGTTGGCTTTGAAATTTCAACATATTTTTGCGGTAGCTGAGCTGCGGTTATTGTCGGTTTGGTATTTTCGATATAGTTTCCTTTGATTGAAATTGTAGATTCTTTTAGTTTTGAAATTTCTTTTTGCTTCAATGACGATTGAATCGATCTTGAAATTTGAGGTGGCGGTGATATTTCGACATTTTTAACTTGTTCCATTCGGGTTGAAGCATCCCTTGGTTTTGACAGTTGGTTGGCTTGCTTTTGTTCTAGAAGATCTGCCTCCACAGCGGCCTTTTTTTCCCCGGGTTTCTGATTTTGCATTATGGGTGTTGATATGGCTTTGACTATTTTGGGCGAATCATTGTTGGTCGGAATGGATTGTCTTCCTCCATCTGATTTTCTTGCTTCACCCGAATGTCGTCCTTCCCCTGATTGTCGTCCTTCACCCGTTGGAATCAGAGGTGGGCCTGGTATGAAGCTCATGATCCTCTTTTGCTTCACTGTGTCTTCACTAATGTTCAGTCTATGACTTGTGCCTTGCATATGGTTTATCAAGTTAACATAAGTCTGCGTTAACCAAACCAAACTAGTTTAAGGCAGATTAGGAATTACCTTCATGTCCTGCATCCGGAGTTTTCTCTGCTTCAAGTGCATCCATCAATTTCCTGTTGCATATTGCACAAATGGATGAGAATTATGCATATGTTTGTTCATTTGGATTAGATTCGTTGAATTTAAAAACTTTAATTGTTGTTTTCAAATTATGCCTACAGTGTTTCATTTTGAAACACGATAAATGTAAACTTTTATTACCTGACTTCTTTATTTTCAAGTTTTGGAGACGTATGCGCAGGTGAAAACGATTTACGAACTTGCTTTTTCGAGGCATCTTCGAGATCCTTATTCGACGACATTGTTCTCAATATTTTTAGCTTCGGGTTTGTGGTCCTGTAGAATTTTATGCACTATTTGCTGAATAGAGAATAGATTTCGAGTTGCAATGGTCTGGCGCAAAAAAAAATTATCCCACGATACGCAAGATCAAGATTGCTTGATAATTTATCATAATACAAGGTTACGACAGTTGCTTCGATAGCCTCAAAAACCTCCATTTTTGAAGTGCTAATTATTTGGGCCGTCGCTAACGGTAATTAAAGCACAAAAATTTCTAACAGAACGCCGAAATAGCCGATTTCACATTTGCAACTGCACTGATTTCTAACGTATTATTTATTATTAACATAAACATTGATAAACTATGAAATACACTTAGTTGGCTTGGGGAGTAGAGGAAAAACCCGATGTTGGTGGGTTGGGAAAACCTTTACTTGATCCGGATAGGCGTCCGAGATCACCATTCGGCCCCTTACATGATTTTTGTAAATAAAACGACCTATCATTTAAAATATAAAATAATTCTTCTAATCCTCGTTGACTGGGGACAGCTCCCATGATTGATGCCGCATTCCCGCGTTGAACTGCCAAACTAATCCGTTGAATGAGAAAAGTTGTCGACATTGGTCCAGTGACATCCTTCATCCTCCTCCCAACATCTTGGATGAACTTCAACCCTTCCGTCCCCCATACTCCTGATGTCTCGATAGCCACCGGAACAAAGATATAGTTTGTTTTAAGTTCAGAGTACAGTTTGTGTTTTTTGGTCTCGGCTAGTTTTGCTGCTGTGCCAGCATGTCTAAGTGTGTGAGAGAGATAAGAGGGGGCAAAAGTGTCTGTACATGTAAAGTCCCATATTAGTGAGCGTCCCTGTTTGTAAGGTATTAGTGTTAGACCATCCGGTCTTTTTCCATCTGTCCTACAACACCCTAATGGTTCCCTAATGCTTGGTATGTCTGCAGAAATTAAGGCTCTCTTTATAATGTCATTGGCTTGCGTATGTCTAGAGTGCCTGCCAGCACTTTTTTTACATGAAAGACCATGTAAGCCTAGTTCATCTACTTGTGCGCCGCAAACACATTTATGAGGGAAACATAAATTTAACCCTAACCTCAAACCTATTGCAATCCTGAAGGAATTATCGTCTAAAAGTGTGCCTAAATTCCTCGATGGTAAAGCTTGCAACCATGCACCTGATTCTTTTGACCTTGATGCCAAAATCCTAGCAGTATTTATTGGGGTGGTGGATGATTCCAGGATACGTGAAGATACGTAATTGAAAATTGGACTTTCCCAGGATGATTGAAAAGAAGTAATTGTACTGCGAGGTAGTTCTTCACAACTAATTGACTTCCACAAGTCCTGCGCCTCGGTCACAAGTGAATCGGACAAAGCAGTGACATACGAGGGCAAAATTAAAGAAACCAAGTCAGTGGTGGCAAATGAAGATGCAAGGAAACATGGAGTTGCTAATGTGGACTGATTCTTGTATCCATGGTTAAAAAATTAATTCATGGGGAACGAAATGTGAGTGCACACTGGTTCCAAAAGGTAGCAGGGTTTTCGAAAATTGAAGTTTTTTCATCGTCGAAGTAATCATCGTGAAGACTTCGTGAAGACATCGTGAAGAGACAAAGTTGCAGTTGGCATGTAGATTACTACAAAAATGATCACATAGTGGCAGTAATACTGCCGCAGTACCACATAGTGATGGGTTCCCAAACATTTCACTCTCTGATTGACAAGAGTTACATGAAGTTATGTCAACTTTTAATTTATTCATAAATTACTACCAAACCAAGCCTTATATTTGCAGCTTTATAATTTTACGTGTTATTTTAACATAATTAATTGGCCCTGTGTCCCTTCCCATGATGTCGCAATCGAAAAACTGACCTCAGATTCGAAATCAGCGACCAAAAACCTATAAGAATCGACATTTACCCAATGCTAACGACGTCGAAATAATTAATTGAATTATTCGTAACAATTGTAAACATTTGAAATAGGCCGCTATAACATATGTAGGCAATGTAGGTATACATATATAGTAGTTATATAGTATATAGTATATAGCACAACTTCCACCTGTATACCTGTGTCTATATAACATATGTGTATGTATATCACTACTAAATATATATACTATATATATATATATATATATAGCTATACACAGGTATACAGCTGTATACCTATAGCACGCGTGTGCTATATACTATATAACTACTATATATGTAATTATAATATAACACGGAACATGTGAGGCCGCTTATCTCAGGTGCTATTAATATACATAGGCTATTAATAGCACCAAGTCATACAGTATGACTGGGTGCTATTTATAGCAGAACTTTCACCGCCCTCCGGAGGGTATACAGTGTCGGACAGATGTCTACGTCCACATAGTCGCGTCAATTTCATTTTCAAATTGTCACTGAACTACTGAACCAATAAAAGGAGCTGCACCAGAAATTTTTGTCAGTCTGCGGGAGGAGCTCGTGAGCTCCCCATTGCAGCTGCGCCCTTGGGCCGCCCTGCCTCTCCGGGTCCACCCGTGGTTTGTCCCACAGCCCCGACTCTCTTCCCGTTGGAGGGGTGGTCCGGGGGAGCAACGCTGCAAGGGGAGAGCCTTACGGGAAGGTCCCCCCTCCAATGCTCCTCCCACCAAGCAAGCTCACCGGGTGGGGAGCCGGCGGGGCTTGCCAAAAGTGCGGGTGGCGCTTGGCAAGTGAGAGGGGCTCTCTACCTCCAACCCTTGGGTGACGCCGCTCTTTAGCGATACCTCCCCTTGGGGCCGACCGGGTTCCCGAGTTCGAAGCCTTAATGGGGGCCGATTTACGGGTGCGCTCCCACCTCGTAAGGCGAGGGTCAGACGGGCCCCCTAGGGGAACGCGGTTGCAGAGGCGGTGACGTGGGCAGGGCTTTCCCGGTCGGTGGAGGTAGACCCCCCATGCGCCTCAGGGCGCGAGTGGGGGCCCGCCCGCGTGGAGCACGAGGGAGCGACGTCCTCGTCGTGTGCTCTGGAAACGCCCTTCTAAGGGCGGCCAACAGCTCCCCCCCTTATAAATGCTTGGCATGGCGACAAAGGTTGTCGCCATGCCATAACTTCGCCATTTCTTGTCCGATTTCCATCAAATTTAGACAGACGCTTCTTTTTGGTGTTGTCGACATGTCGCAAGGTCCCAACCGTCGCCATCACCTTGTTTTCGCCAAATTTCGTCGCCATGCCATAACTTCGCCATTTCTCGTCCGATTTCCGTCAAATTTCGACAGCCACTACTTTTTGGTGTTGTCGACATGTCGCAAGGTCCCACCCGTCGCCACCACCTTTTTTTCGCCCACTTCTGTCGCCATGCCATAACTTCGCCATTTCTCGTCCGATTTCCATCAAACTTCGACAGAGATTTTTTTTGGTGTTATCGACATGTTGCAAGGTCGCAGTCATCGCCACCACCTTGTTTTCGCCAAATTTCGTCGCCATATCATAACTTCGCCATTTCTCGTCCGATTTCCATCAAATTTGGCACAATGCTTCTTATTGGTGTTGTTGACATGTCGCAAGGTCCCACCCACCGCCACCCCCTTGTTTTCGCCAAATATCGTCGCCATGCCATAATTTCGCCATTTCTCGTCCGATTTGCATGAAATTTGGCACAATGCTTCTTATTGGTGTTGTCGACATGTCGCAAGGTCCCACCCACCGCCACCCCCTTGTTTTCGCCAAATATCGTCGCCATGCCATAATTTCGCCATTTCTCGTCCGATTTGCATGAAATTTGGCACAATGCTTCTTATTGGTGTTGTCGACATGTCGCAAGGTCCCAACCGTCGCCATCACCTTGTTTTCGCCAAATTTCGTCGCCATGCCATAATTTCGCCATTTCTCGGCCGATTTGCATGAAATTGAGCACAATGCTTCTTATTGGTGTTGTCGACGTGTCGCAAGGTCCCACCCACCGCCACCCCCTTGTTTTCGCCAAATATCGTCGCCATGCCATAATTTCGCCATTTCTCGTCCGATTTCCATCAAACTTCGACAGAGACTTCTTTTTGTTGTTATCGTCATGTCGCAAGGTCCCAACCGTCGCCATCACCTTGTTTCGCCAAATTTCGTCGCCATGCCATAACTTCGCCATTTCTCGTCCGATTTGCATGAATGCATGAAATTTGGCACAACACTTCTTTTTGCTGTTGTCGACATGTCGCAAGGTTGCACTCATCGCCACCACCTTGTTTCCGCCAAATTTCGTCGCCATGCCATAACTTCGCCATTTCTCGTCCGATTTCCATCAAACTTCGACAGAGACTTCTTTTTGGTGTTATCGACATGTCGCAAGGTCAAACTCATCGCCACCCCCTTGTTTTCGCCAAATTTCGTCGCCATGCCATAATTTCGCCATTTCTCGGCCGATTTGCATGAAATTGAGCACAATGCTTCTTATTGGTATTGTTGACATGTCGCAAGGTCCCATTTATGATCATACCCATCCTCAAATTTGACAGGTACAGGAAGTCTATCCTTTAGACAAGAAACGACAACCGGTGCACAACCGGCAATGTTGTGCAGATAAAGATCCATTGCCTCCTTAATCTGCCTTTGAATCACCACGGAAGTCTGATCCACCATGATGATTGAAAAATTGTCCGGGCTGTGCATATTGAGCAATTTGTACGAGTACTTCCTATTGATCATCAATGGACGATCCGGATAGGACCAATCAAGCAAAATTTCAGTAATCAGTCGTCGTTCCTAAAACAAGAAAGAAAAGAAATGGTGATCTTTAACTCCAGTTACAAACTGAAGAATTATTTTTTAGCATTATGATAAAATGTTCAATTTAAACTATCAAAGACAACTTGACCTTTTGACCCACCTACCGCGAATTATTTTCTTCCTTCCCTAACAAATCAAGTTTTATTTTCCTTCAATTTTTTGTCGACAGGCTCGTAAAAACCCTTCGATAATCATTTTTTTAATTAGAAAAGGCAGTTTTCTTATTTTCTTCCAGCAGTCTTTCAGTGAGGAGAAAAGACATTTTGATATTTTCTCCTCGCTAACTTTGAGTGCAAGATTGCTTGACAATTTACCATAATACATCCATGATTAAAAAATTAATTCCACAATCGAGAGCACGAAATGTGAGTGTTGACAATTTTTGTGCGGTTTGTTTCTGGGCGACAGTTTCTGCGACGCACACTGGTTCCAAAAGGTACCAGGGTTTTCGAAAATTGAAGTTTTTTAGGCGTCGAAGCAATTGTCGCAACCTTTCAAGCGAAGTTCCAAACGCAATTCTCCCGGTAAGACCAAAAATTAATCATCACTTAATTAACAACCTCATCCAAGTCCACTACCATTACTCTACGCACCTACTAAATTATACCGAACCATGAAAAACTTAGCTGTGCAAATATGGCAGAAAATAAGGAAATAAGTGAAAAGGTGCTGACTGTTTTAAAAGTGATTGGGGAAGTTCTGCTTATGCTCCTTTATGGACTCTACTGCTATGCAAACCTACTTTTTAGGGTATTCGTCCCAGCCCCCAAAAAGTCATTGGATGGAGAAATTATGCTGGTATGAAAGCGTCGCCAAAAATTTAGTTACGATTTATGAAAAATGCAGAAGCGTGTATACATACACAGCTTACTTATACCGTGATATGTAGATAACTGGATCGTCTACGGGGATCGGGCGAGAAGCGGTTCTTCAGCTAGCCAAGAACCATTCGAGAACAACCCTGGTCTTGTGGGACTGGAATGACGAGGAAAACAAAAAAACTGCCAGTGACGCAAAAAAACTTGGAGCCAAGATTTTTGCATACCAATTGGACGTTACAGATCGATTGAAAGTTGAAGAAACTGCGAAAAAGGTACAAAATAAATATCAAATATGCAAATATGCAAATCAACTGACGACTGGTCGTGAAATAAATATACTTCAATTTAGGTACAACAAGAAGTTGGGGATGTGACCATCCTTTGGAATAATGCAGGAATTGTCAGAGCGAAAGACTTGATCAACTCAAAACCTGAAGATTTGGAGAAAACGGTCCAAATTAATCTGATCTCCCAATTTTGGACGCTCCGTGCATTTTTGCCCAGTATGATCCAGGTAAACGTTCGGCGAATGAATACATACGTAGAAAATTTATGAATCCATACATGGAAATATTGTCTATGGATGCGATAAAATAATCAAATTTGCTAGAACCGATACATAAATACAACTCTTTGTCTCTTTTCCTCCTAATATGCTATGTTGTTTCACGTATATACTATTATTTCCAGAATAATCACGGTCACATTGTCACCACTGCATCTTTGGGCTCCTTCTTCGGCTATAAGTATGGTGCTGCTTATTTTGCTGCAAAGTTCGGAATCAGAGGCTATCTAGAATCCGTGCAAGATGAGTTACGGCCACGGGTTCACCCTTTGAATCCAAACAAAATCAAATTTACTACTATTTTCCCCTCATTTATTAAAACTCCGCTAACAAAAGGTGTAATTTTAAACGTGAAGTAAGTTATAGCACATGAATACAATAACATGAAATGTTGTAAAGACCTTGTGCATACATATTTAGACCACTTCATTAATCATTACAGGGGAACTAATGAGAAGGACGTTTGGCTTAATGCTGAAAATGTGGCCACCGTCATCATCGATGGAATTCAGCGAAATTTGGAGAAAGTCATTATTCCAAAAGGCTTCGAACTAGTCATTCTTTTCAAAAGGTATGTAGCCACATGAATGGAACATTGCACCAATTTTCGCACTCTGTATTTAAAATTTTCTGTATTCTTTGTATAGCCTCACACCCTTTGCATTCTTCCGGGCAGTGAATAACAAACTTTTTGACGGAGACTACAAGGAAGACTAGGCTGACAAGCCATACTCCAATGAATTGAATTGTTCAGCTATCCCTAAAGCTAGATATATAATAACTAGCTAATAAGCCCGCCTTCCGGTCATATTTCTAGACGACTTACTGTTGCATTTCAAGTCTATTGTTGCAATACGTCTAGTGGTGGCATCTTTAGTTCGAAGTCCAAGAAGACTTGCAAGATGACTTGCTATTGCATTTCAAGTCATCTTGCAAATCAATTCTTGCACTTCGCATTGTAGTCCAATTGTTAAGTTGCATTTCAAGATGACTTGTAATGCAATAGTAAGTCATCTTGCAAGTCGTCTTGCACTTCAACTTAACGATTGGACGACAATGCGAAGTGCAAGAATCGACTTGCAAGATGACTTGAAATGCAATAGCACTTCATCTTGCACTTCGACTTGCACTTCGACTTGCACTTCGACTTGAAACTACGAAGTGCAAGATGAAGTGCAATGCAATAGCACTTCATCTTGCACTTCGACTTGCACTTCGACTTGAAACTACGAAGTGCAAAAGTCGAAGTGCAAGATGAGGTGAAATGCAATAACACTTCATCTTGCACTTCATCTTGCACTTCGACTTGCACTTCGACTTGAAACTACGAAGTGCAAGATGAAGTGAAATGCAATAGCACTTCATCTTGCACTTCGACTTGCACTTCGACTTGAAACTACGAAGTGCAAGATGAAGTGCAATGCAATAGCACTTCATCTTGCACTTCGACTTGCACTTCGACTTGAAACTACGAAGTGCAAAAGTCGAAGTGCAAGATGAGGTGAAATGCAATAACACTTCATCTTGCACTTCATCTTGCACTTCGACTTGCACTTCGACTTGAAACTACGAAGTGCAAAAGTCGAAGTGCAAGATGAGGTGAAATGCAATAACACTTCATCTTGCACTTCATCTTGCACTTCGACTTGCACTTCGACTTGAAACTACGAAGTGCAAAAGTCGAAGTGCAAGATGAGGTGAAATGCAATAACACTTCATCTTGCACTTCATCTTGCACTTCGACTTGCACTTCGACTTGAAACTACGAAGTGCAAGATGAAGTGCAATGCAATAGCACTTCATCTTGCACTTCGACTTGCACTTCGACTTGAAACTACGAAGTGCAAAAGTCGAAGTGCAAGATGAGGTGAAATGCAATAACACTTCATCTTGCACTTCATCTTGCACTTCAACTTGAAACTACGAAGTGTAAGATCTTGATAACAAATTTTCGGATAACACCTTTAACCGATCACAGATAACCAGAATAACCACCCATAGATAACTACCTACAAAGATAACCATCGATCAAGATAACCACCCATCAAGATAACCGTCCATCACGATAACCGTCCATCACGATAACCACCTTCTGATAACTCCACCCACAAATAACAACCCCGCAAAGATAACCACTCACGTACGCCCACCCTTATTAGAGAATCACACAAAGACGACTACGGTCAGATAACCACCATTAGATAATCACCCTTTTAAAACATACGGCACCCCTCCTCCAACTTTTGAAACATGTTTTGAACTTGCTTTATTTATTTTGAATTTTCGCGCATTCGAAACTTGACTTTCACTACTTTCACTTCCGTCACGGACAAACTTCCGTCACAGACAAATTTACTTTCACTTCCGTTGCCAACAGACATTCTCGCTTATAATATAGATACTTTCCGTACTAAACATACGCATTATTAATCTATTGATATCCCAGTCAACACTGACAACTGACCTATGCACAGACTAAAGTATGTATAATTGAATAAAATAAGTTGTCATCCATGTGCAATAGAATTTTGTTATTGGTTAGCGTTATCACTGTCCAACCTTTGACTTATTCCACGATTGTGTATTTATGTTGTACCACCACTGCGCACTGTCACTTTGCAGCTTCTGTCAACCACGAATTTCAGGTTCAAGTGCTGGTGATCTGTAACTCGTAGGATGGTATGAGAATATTAATTATTCCTCATCAAGCATTTAGCGGTCTCCAATTCAGTTCATTTCCACATGTGTGATTTAGTAGCTCAAACAAATTATCCCTCTCATCATAGTATCAATAAGGCACAAAAACTGATATTTTGATTATGGAAGCCCAAAATCTACGGAAAGGTTCCCAGCCAAAATACGTTTTTCAGTGCATTGTTAGAAGTTATCTTTCTGATAACTTACACTGTTTACACGTACATTCATTTAGTGTACCGATGGATCCGCCCACGTCGTTTGAAGTCCATCGATGGCGAAGTCATCGATGGACTTGTTAAATTGACTTCTTAAATACTAAAATATGTAGCATATTAGATTTCGTATGTCATGTCTCATTGTATATTCATCTAAATAAATAAGGTCCCAAAAAGTGGGAAATCTTAGTGAGGCCGTGCACAACTACTAAATAAAATTTAATTACAAAATTTTTATATAACCGCTCTCAATAAGAAGAAATATCGAAGTACCGAGAGTGGTGATGCAAAGATTTTGCAATCAAATTTTATTTGAGAAGATAGTTGAAGGCGTGAGGAGGAATGAGGAGGAAGTGTTTGTTCCTAGAATCGGAGAACTCGTTTTTGTGAAAGGGTACAAAATATCCTATACCTAAATCATTTCTGCGATTTGTTGGATTTCTTTTCTATCGTTTTACAATCATGCCGAAACGGGCTTTCCAAAAACTAAGTGACTCGATGATAAACTCCCTTTATTTCAAGGACGAGAAAGTACAGTAGTATTTGACGCTTTATCATTCTATCCATATTGCGACTGAAATTAATTGATTTCGAAATAAATTTTAATTTTTAAAGAAATTCTAATTTTGATCTGTACTTTATTGAAGAAAGTAAAAAAACGTCGTAGTTTTCGTCTAGCGGCGCCCACAACGCTATGAATTTTGTGCATCTGGGCAAGTACTGCAGCACTAAATATTGTGTCTAAATAAGCTGGTCAAAAAATAATCTAGGTTAAACATGGTTTGCTTCCGTATTGTAAGTTGTAAGTGTATTTAATATTTTATGAATGTATTTGTTTAAATAAAAGTTTTTTTCAAGTTTATTTTTTCAAAACTTGAAAACTCAATTGCATATCTTGTTTAACTATTTTATTTTAACGAAATGTTAGGACAATTTAATATACAAGGTATTTTTTTATCCCTCAACGTTTTATGTTATACATATTTCCGTCAGAAACTAGTAAAATTTATTTAAACAGCAATAATATGTTCAGCCTTATCATGTTTGTGCTGTTTGGTCACTGCATTGGACACGCAACTTGGCGAGAAAGCGATCATCATGCTTTTTATTCTTGAACTTGCTGAAGGAGCCAACACGTAACATTCGTCCGGATTGGTATTCAAAATAGATTCTGCGAAACAAAAGTTGTAGGGTTTAGAAAAAAAAATAAGCGCAAGAAAGTGTTAAAATTATCATCGTTTTCACACCTTCAACGGCTTGGATTGCGTAAGGCGACAAAAATTCTGGAACAGATTCGTCAAGGGTTGTAGCGGCCGACCAATTTCCACCGGGCACTGGGGATTCGGTTCTCAGCTCATAAACAACTGAGGGTTTTGGAAGTTCATTTAATCTGTAATTTAGAAAAAAAACAATGCATTTAGACTCTACATGAAAAGTAAAATGAATGTGCACAATAAGTCACAACGCATCAACTCCACATAAGTTAGATTATTGCATTGTGTTTTCAGTGAACTGGATTTCTATAAATGTTTGTCAATTCATAAAAGACTTGTTAAATTCTTTATGCATTATTACAGCTACATAATACAACATTATGCATTACAGCGGTACTTTCGTCCATCACATCTTCAATCAACATTCACCCAACCGGTGCGATCGTCAACTAAATATTGACGACGCGAATATTTAATCACAACCTGTAATTGGATTTGGCATGCAAATAAGGGAAAATTGTACATTAATTCACCTATCTGCATAATAAATAAAGATATTTTTACAAAATATACACCAAGAACCATCATTTACCTTTTTTACATAATAACGTTTAATTATGCAGGTTGTACTACTTTTGCACAACTATTGATGCAAAGGTAATGCTACGGTCTGCTATATTGGAAGTCGCCATGATCCAATAGTATCTGTGCAAGCGTCGTAAAGTATTATGTGTGTATGCATATTAGTGGTCTGTGCTAAAAGTATATGTTTTTCGTGACAAAGGAATGTGCCAACCACTCATCTCATGCTTCTACTGTGTTAGAGAACTAATTTTTGCTTGCCAAATCAATATTCTTGTTTATTCTGCAATCCAAGACTACCACTTCTCTACCACTTTTTCATTGCATAGTCATTGTGAGTGGTTGTCTTAAAGTCAAAAGCGGTCAACAAGTTTATAATAATGCACGCAAAATTTCTGTTAAAGCTCACCTTGCTAAAGCTGAAAAACTTTCCCTTTGTCAATTCAAGTGGCAAAGTTTTTCTTTTGTGGTCTCATCCAGATGTTTGACCTGTTAGCTGTTTGTGATATTTGCATTTATCATTAAGCAAAACCTGCGCCAGTGTCATCAGTGTATAATTAAATACACTGATGACAAATAATACACTGTCATCTGTTAAATACACTGTTAAATACACTGTTAAATACACTGTCATCAGTGTATAATTAAATAAGAGTTGAGTTGTGACGACTTTTTTTGTGGTACGGTAGAATGAAGTCATCATTGAAATTAATACTTGGATCGTTTTTGCATTGTCTGCAATGGTTTCATGAGCTCAAACAATAATGAATGAAATTATATTTGTTACAGTTTATCTGAACTTTCAATGGGTCAAGATGATTTGCGTTCAATTGCTAAGTGAGTAATGTTAATATTTACAAAGTTAAACATAGATAATCCTTTACAACAATGTACATGTGTCCCATTTTTAATGAGTGTAAACATTCCGTACCAATCAAGCTTTCCGAGGCACAACAATAAACCAGCCATAGTCTGGCGGCTGTACACTGGTTACAATGAAATATGGTTCTTGTCTTTGCTAGCAGTACAAAACTTGTTAAGTTAAGGGACCTTGGGCAAGATTGTGGTAATGCGAGTGTTAGGTTGTTAACTATTCATTTATGAGTAGATTCAAGGAGGCCTGACTGCATTTATTAGCTTAAATTAAAGGAGTGTGCTAAACGCATCACAGCCAAATGTACTGTAAATCTAAACACATTCATACATACGTACATATATCCAAACATGGCTAAAAATTTATGCGTGGATTCGTATACCTATAATTAACAATCGCTCCATCAAATCTACTCGATCATATGAGAAATACATAATAATAAGGCTGTGATTATATGTTAATTCAAATATTGGTAGTGTAATCCATACAATTTGCAAAGGATCATGGCGACTTGGCCATACGTACGCCGCTTAATCTGAGAATGTGACAGTATTTGAGACGAAGGTTGATCAAATTATCTGATGTAGGGATGTACATATTACTACAAAATCTAAACGTCCTTTGTGTCCAATCCTCTGTATGATGTGCATATCCATTGTGTGGCACATTCGAGCAACCTACCCAGGTACATAGCGCTATGACTTTTATGATACCGCAGACTGTATTAAAAATATTCAAATAAAATTAAATGGCATCCCTGACGATTTTCGCATTTCCTTCGTAGTTATAATTGCATAGAATAATTTGGCGGTATTATATTGTCATATTTGTGATTCCTTATGCAACACATCCCTTATTGCCAAAAATCTTCCTAGTGCGAACAACAGTTCCACAACAGGTGGATGCGTAACGGGAAATTAAATTACGTATGTATTGAGATTGGCGTCTCATCAGTTCAACCACATTTCAAATAAATTACTAAATTATCAAACAATAATATGCACACTTCTACCACAAGCAAGTTTCCTTAATTCTTTAAAGGAAACTATCCGAAAAATGCAATCTAAATTATACTTTTAACTGCATAAAAACCATGAAATATGAGACCACCGCTATTCTGTGTACATTAATTTGGTCTTACCTGTACCCATGCAAAGAAGTATTAATGTTGAAATTTTTTACACAGGTGTGTCATTTATCTTTTCTCGATATTATCCGTTGGAAAAAACTAAAGATAACTCACCTTTGAGCATAAAAAGCGTCTGGGTGGAGGGAGACGACTGGAACTCCGTGGGGTCGTAGTTTTGCTCGTAAGCCGCCTGCTAATCCTTCAGCAGCAAATCTAGCTGTGTCGAGTAAACAAAAGTCAAATTAAATTAAGGATATTTTAATTGTTCCGACAACAATTATGCTTCGAAACCCCAAATATCGAACTAATTATAAGTATCTGAACCAACTAAAATTAAGCACATACTGTCCCCGTACTCGGCTCTGGCACCTCATTTGCATATTTTAACGCATTCGTGAGAGTCATAGAGTTTACTCAACATGGAGAGCCCGTATCGCCGAAAATGGGCTATTGAGATTTATGCAAATGAGGTGACACGCCTAAATGCGAGGATAGTACATATGATATCAAACAAGTACATATGTAAATCGGTGCATATTTAATATTATAGAACATCAAAACCCCTTGACCTCTTGTAATTTGGTACATTTCCATAGGTATCTACGTTTCCCTGCATATTTACCTGCTGTCCAAACACCGTGGGTAATTCCGATGGATCCGCTGCCCCAGACTCGAAGTCCAAGCGACATGCCGTCGTCCGCTCCAAGAATTATAAAACGACCTGGCATAATTAAAAAAATTTTAGAACATGAATTTTGACGAGCTTTTTCATTTTTTGGAAGAAATGGGTCTAAGGCATTATTATATAAGTTGTCGTTATACTGGGTCAAGAATAATTTTTGCTGTTTACTTTCATAATTTTATGCATATTATAAACTCGAATCATAATAACACTTTGCAACAACCACTTTTCTTCTATGAACAAAATTAGCGTATATCTACGATTATACTGTTTATATGTAGTATAATTATTCGTGAAAAGGTGTGCGTTATAAAATTAAGCAAAATTTGAAGGTGAAGTTCAGCATCATTCTTGCTTTGTCCTTTCCAGAATCCCTAATTTTTTTCTATTCTCCATTCTCTGTCATATGACATAACTTGTTCAACTCATGGAATTATGCAGGAAAGGTTGGGTTGCTTGGAAAAAATGGTGGAGCAGTTTCATCGTTCAACATTCAGTTTCCATACGATGTGGCCATACGACAAAATATATCTTGGAAAACAGAGCCAACAGAGCTAACAGCTCGTCTAACAGAGCTACATTTCTTATCGTGTGCGATGTGGCCACAATAATATTTGGCTCAACCAACGTAGTTATATAACCCTCCTTGGCTACACAACAAGCAGCAATCTTCCTGCAATCATGTAGAACTCATTTTAATTTACATCTCTGAAATTGCGAGGTTACAATAATAACGTCAACACAATAGTACAGTAATTGTGATTGAGATCATCTTTCTTCCTTCAGTAATGAACTTGAAATGCTTGCGTCCCGTCCCGTGTACTCTATCGGCTTCGATGATCTATTGCCATTGATGATTCAATGTCGTCGGATGAAGAGGAGAATAAAATAACTACTAAATACTAATGCATATGTCATGAAATAATGTCCGTGCATAAAAGTCGTACTATTTTTTCCATGCAAGAAGTTTTACTTCTCCGAGGATCGAGCTTCACAAAGTTTACTAATGGGATGCAAAATGGTCATTTATATAGAATTTGTTCACTGACTCGCTTGGCAGAATAGACATCAAAGTTAAATATGTAGGTTCTTCAAACAAACAAAGAGTTTTGTTCAGGTATAATGCTCGTTGTGTCTTTCGGCACATAAAAATAGACGGTATGTATGTAAGTAAAGCGGTGATGATAACTATGACTAACCTTTGGCAGCAGAAAGTAATGGCAGGAAGGCTTGTACGAGCTTGTACATCCCAACAACAGTAACTTCAAGCGCTGTCCTTAATTGTTCTTCATCGTCACCACCAATTTTGCTGCTATTTTTCACACCCGTGCCAGCCAAGTGCAGAACTGCCCACAAACCTGTATGGAAAACAAACAATTGTGTTCACCTACTTACTTCTCATACAGCTTTTCTTAATCCGGTATTATTGTGAGTTTATGTACATGAGTACGTCTTTTTTGTCTGTTATGTATGTACAATGCTCAGCTTATTAACATGATGATTTGCGATTTTTGTCAATCTCTTATCTCACAAAGATTAAGCCTAAATACTTGACCGAGTATTTTAGTTGTGTGGGTAAAAATGGATACAGCATTTTTATATTTTTGGCAAACATCTTCAATTTCTGAAAGATTAGAGCTGAAGTCAGAACGAACCAATTTAAGCCTAAGAATTTGCTCAAACAGTGATATCAAACGAAATTGGGGCAAAATGCAAGTAAGTGAAATTATCTTGATTTCAGTTTTTAATGTATTAAAGCAGCTATGCAGCCACATAAACATTTCTGTGTATAATATGTCACCAAACGTTATTAGGTATTTACGAAACATACAAAGAAAAACGCAATTGAGTGACACAGATATAGTAATTTTTGTCAAAAGAACTATTTTCAAAAGATGAAAGTAAGTGCCACATTTTTATGACAACGATACAATCATTTCTTTGAGCCAAATCTAATTTTAAATAAAAGTAATGGTTATGCCTTGATTAATACAAAATGCTTACAATACATTTCTAACCCAGTTCCTAATTATTTTTCCCTGCAGAGTTTTCATCTTCATTTCATTCATTCCAAGTACTTACTCACTCATCTTACTTTCTGAATAGTTTGAGTTAATAATTTTATCGTAATAAATTGGACTCAAGTTCAAAAAGTGTATGAATTATTTAGCAAAAAAATGTCTTAAAACCAGTTGCAAGTTGGTTCCTGTTTTAATTTGTGCTGTAGATGTTTCTGGTTGTTGTCGAGTCACGAATACTTGAGGCAACCGCACACAACAAAAAACGAGATTGAGAACTGGTTCATTTGTAATGGTGTACAAAAGATTTTGATCTTTTTGTAGTTTAAAAACCAATCCCATAAGCCATTTGTCGATTTTTGATCTTGTTGCAGTGCACTTGAAACAAAACAACGACCAATTCACTTGAATATGAAAGTGTGTTTTAAATAGTGCACGATATGCTTCAACCCCCACGGACACTTTACAGTCGCGTAACTGGCGTGATCAGACAATTGTCGTTCTCATGAAGAACGTGTATGACTTGGAATGATGATACGAAAGACCGATGACCGAAAATTACGATACTTTAAACTTGAATCCCCGGATCGAGCAGAACAATATATGCGAATTGCTGTCTGGAGTAGCATAACAATGAGCTTCCTGCTTGGAAATTTTGTCATGGTGCAAATTTGAAGATACATTTTTTTTGCAGACTCTGTTTAATGAATCGAGTTCCCATCAGCCCTTTGAGAATAGTCATGAGCCAGACAGTGACTTTTTCAAATGACATAATAGACAATGGTGATATTTGCAAAAGGGTGACAATCGTAAAGTCACAGGATGTGATTTTGTTGTTATTATTACATTTTATGTACTTGTCACGAGCGTGCTTCACCATTGATATCAATATCAAATACATGCACAGATTGTTTGTTACCAAGAAGGTAACAACTGAGTTTAGTTTTTTGCCCTCGCACATGCCAATAGGAAGTTCTTTATTGGTCCAATCTTAGTTCCCCTCCCAATTCTCATGTGCGAAAATAAAGCTTGACAACCCATTTAAAAAATTAATAACATCAAGATAGATTTTGCACCTGAAGCAAACAAGAAAAGTAATCTATATCAATTTATCTTTCTTTTGTCCATATATAAATGTGGAAGTAGTATGTGTGCCAGTTCAATAATCTGTGTTGTTGAACTGATCGATCTGTCAAATCACAGTAACGAGAATAAATGAACGATTGTGTGTCTATCTACACATCTAGCACATAAAAGACATGTATACAATACACACATAGGTCCTCCAATTTGACCATCAGACTTTAAATATAAGCATGCACATAACACAGGTCCCACCCTGATTTCACTGTCCAACAGGATTTGGAGGAGAGTAATATACGAAATGGTATTATTAAACCAAGCGTAAATATGGTCCTTAATTTAAGATTTCTTAAGATTAATTATCGAAATGCTGCCAACTAAATTGTTGTGATTTTGTTAATTACCATTCTTATGTACAGATACATATGTACATAAATATTTTGAGAAAAATTGGACTTTACTTGCGTAAAGTTATTACAACACAGAATATTTTGAGTCTTATGTGTAAACAATACTTCACTAATCCAACAAGTTTTCAGCCTTGAGCATACATATGTAACGTAAAAAAAACAATACAAAGATTTCACAGACAGTGAATTGGAAAGTGCTTGAATGACCTAACATAACATACAGACAAACGAATAAACTAAACCATAGCTGAACTATCGAGTTCGAGTATCACACTTATGTACATACACATGCAGCCACTCACTTTCGGTACCACTCCATGACGAGCAATTAAGTAATGCGATCGTAATTCCAAATAAAATCATCAACCATGTTCTCATCCACTGCTTAATATTGTCGTATATATTCTTACCCTTTTCTCCAGCATGGAAGCTTCTCCCAATGGCTTTGATTGTGTAAGCCAAGCTGTCATTGTTGGTAACGTCCAAAGGGATCACATGCAACCAGGGAGAACCACACGTCTTCAACCGCAGACTTGCCTTACTATTAACATCATTAACACCTGCGAACACCCGGAATCCAATGGATGCCAAATGTGTAGCTATCTGAGTCCCGATTACACTACAATTTCATTTAAAATCACATTCATGTTAATTTGCATTGAATACTTTAGTTGATTAGCATTTAATTTGTCATTATAATCTGCATAATAATTTTCTCATGCTCCCAGACTCAAACACCCACCTATCTGCTGCAGTTACCAAAATGGTCTTTGACCCTGTCGGCACCTTACTTCGTCCCACCAATTTCTTCAGAATGAAAATTAAGATGCACACCGCCACAAACACAATCACACAAAGTTGTACGATTAACACCCAGAGCAATTGACCCTCCATGGTTGATTATCACGAGTCACAACAACACACCCACTCGCTCTGTCACTCTTATAAATTTATGAACATTGGCAACGTAACAGAGCTGGCACAACGAATTAGTACGTATGTACAAGCTCCACTACGTCGTGGGTCCCCGTTTCAATAATTGGTTGATTAGCTGAGACGTCTCTCCTCAGGAGGATGTGACCTGTTAACAGATTTAATTATGCAAATTAAACGTTTGTACATGGGAGAAGAGTCGACTAATGAAAAGCTTGATTTGTTTTATGTCAACGTAAGAAACTTTCGAAATATTTGCATTGCAGAGCTTTGTTTACTTATTGCAACCTTCTGACGATAATTTAATGTGAAATTCAATATCGGCACTTTAATTGTAAGTGCACAATAATAGTCGAAACTTAAAGCAAGGATAATAATGTTCTGTCATTGATATTTTTATGTTTTAGCAAGGCGTCCAATGATTAACATTTAATGTTTAATAATTGTTAGTGAGACAATGTGATCATCAAAATTATATTTTGAAATTTCACCATTAACTTAGGATTAGCATATCCTGGTCTATCCATCATAAGGTTTTATTGTATTTATATGCAGTTGTGGTAATTAAGTACAATTCTAAATAATTATGGTCGGGTGATCCCTTGATTAGTTATTCCCACTGTTCACTTGGAATGTGATTGAGTGACCTAAATTAATGATTAAGAATTATACTTCTTACAAGTTGCTGCTTGTTCTTCATGCAGCAAACGCAGAACAAAACGAGATCATATTGCACAATCCACGCTACCAAAATAAATTAAAAGTGCCCAGCCCCACTGCAATGTTTACCGTCGTAGTTACGTGTTTATCATTCAATTCGTCAAACTAAATAGATAAGTTCATAGTACACACTATTTACAGATTTAGTTCATTATGTGTGGGTTCATTTATGAGCGCATATCTAGAAGCGTTTCTCTACCTGTACAAATATTTAAACGTACAGAAATATGTGAGAAATTCATGCTAAATCTCATTCTGGGTCTAAAACGGACACTTCAACCAGCACAAGATGAGAAAGTGTGCATAAAATTTTCATGAGTAAACCACTTGAAATTAAAAATAATTTAAGCAGATAACATACAACTTGCAAAAAATCTACCAATTATGATGAAAATCACGAATGAATGTATATATCTATGAATTACGATATGGCGTGTCTAAATAACATGCTAGCACCCAGGTCTAAAAAATAAAGTACCAGACTTGTATTTTAATACAACAAAATTCTTCTAAGTATACAGAGTTGGACAAAAATGTCTAAACAATTGAATTTTTAAACTACTGACAATGTCAGATCAAGAGAAAATACAGAGTGTGGAGGGAGTCAAAATAAAACAACTTGTTTTACCTTATGAATTCACGTGTCCAATTATTGTCGCATATTCTGCGGGATTTATCTATGTGTGCATGTAGATGATATGGTTTAAAGATCACATTTTGCCGTGTTTCCCAATTTCCGAGCTTCTCTGTGCGTATTCACCGAAAGCAATTGAAATCACCGAATCACAAAAACCATTAAAAACTACACAGGTATTTAAACTTAACCAAGAACCAAAACCACTCCACACTGCCATCAACCTCTAGTCTAGTCAACCCCACAGAATGAAATGCATGCAACCTCAGCACAAGGAACCAGTTCGCCTCAAGACAAATTTGGTGGAACGACTCTTGTTAAAACATTTTCTTATCCCATATCACATATACAAATACAAACTATTACAACGCCTGCAACTAAGGGGTGAAACCAGGGTACGTAATATCACATTCAGCATTGAAAATCTGTTCAAATTGACACGTCCAAGGTGTTTTTGACATCTTACGCACGGACACAGGGTCACTGGAGGTCAAAATGACAAATTCCGTTAGTTGGCTATTTAAAAATAATATCGATTTGAATCCTCACATGATGTTATAATTTAAGAAAATCATGTAACATGACCCCGTGACGTGACCTTACGAAATACTATACTCATCTTCAAACTTGGTCTGCACTCTGCACCTTTGCCTCTGGAAGTTGTAAGTTTAAATCTCTATGTCTGCCGTTCACGAGTTAGAGCGCGAACAAATATGTAGACGGACGGACATAATGATCATATAAAGGGGTTTCATCCCTTCATAATGTTGATGATAAAGCATACAATAATATCCTGTGGTAGAGAGCGAGAAAAAAGTATATGAAAATGCCGTCCAAATGATGTTTACCTTGCATACATATGCATTCCACACTCGTCGGTAGTACGCCGTACACAACTGAATTGCTTCAGATGCGTTAAGAATGAGAGAACAAGATACGCCACAAGCAATTTTGTCTCAGTCAGTTGAAGAGAATAATGTGTGTAGATGGGCAATCTGGCTGGTAGAATGACCAATGCGGTTGGGTTGGACTTTAAAAATTACCATTTAATGCATCCTCGTCCACGACAGGGTATTAAACCGATCGTGGTCCATTTTGCATATTATGTCACGCTACAGTGCGTGATACGCGTTACCATCGTATGCAATCCGGACTATTTACTTGTTACTCTTTCTTCCAATCTTTGAAGGCGAAAATAATACAATTGTAGAATTGACCATGCAACATATTTCATGAGATGAAGCCTCCTATTTATGTGCATTTCATGATTCCATTATAACTGGGGAACCATTAGTGGTACAAATTCATGTACTTTTTGCACAAATAATCTCATCTTATACATATTTACTAATTCTGATACTTAAGCAATCACTTGGACGGTTGTATAGTAATGTCAATTCCTGAAAAAACACAGATTTAAAATACGCCTAACCTGAATATATGTCAAATATTATGGTGATAAATCATGGGAAGGCACGTAGCTTAAATTAAAACCATATATGATTAACGATAAAATGCACTGTTGCTTAAAAGCAGCCATGACAAGACATTGGTGACAAGCTGGATATAGTTCATGCAATTGAAGGAATGGATATTCTAACTCTAAGATCAGTCCTGTAAATTGAGGCGTGTGATTAGGCACGAGCCCTCTTTGTTGAGCATATATATGAACTTATATGTCTAGTTTGCCTACCTATGCACAAATAAATGACTTAGCCACACCTCAATGCAACGTGACTAATAATTCTAGTCAACAAGTCCAACCAGTGCCTGGCTCAGTTTGCCATTATTTTGTTCAGATTTTGCACAAATTGATCTGCTGCCAATTAAAGAAATGACGATCCATTAAAACAATGTTGTGTCCTTAAAAATAATTACTTCTTCTCACCGTCACACACATTTATGTAGCTAATCCTTCCTACTGATTTGCACGTAGAGGATTAAACAGTGTGCATAATAATTCTGTCTTAACATTAAATGTGCATGGACTCTAAACATTAAAGACTTGAGCATTATAATAGAGCAGACTGAGCTGAGAAAAAATCTTGACATTCACTATGAAGGATATGTTAATTGCTGCAGGCTCTACGCTGTCGCCACGTTTTAGACAAACCGTTTAATTACACGAAACCTATTGTAACAAGTGTTTTTGCCGAGTGCAAAACTTTTCGCGTTAAACCTGCAAGCTTTTTGCACATTTTGCTTAGGATTATCTTTTGCTAATCCTAAGATATATTCAACTCCTGGTTAACTTGCTTACTATTATTTTAACTACTTACTTTTGAGTATGAACTAGAAACATGCAACCTCCGCTGCACACACATACGCATGTTAAACTTTTTTTATTGATTTGCATGACAGTTTTGCATCATTTGGTCGAGTGGATAAACATTTTGATGCATTTTGTGTATATGAGACCAGAGCAAAAAATAAATTAATTCCTTCACTATACAAGACAACTTTTCAAGGCAATGTTTCCGCATTATAGTTCCCTCATTGGTGTCACTTCCTAAATAATGCTAGTGATACTAACACAGAATGGTTAAGGGTGGAGTACGTATATTTAAAAGCCTGCTTTGAATATATTGCATTATTTGTATTTTACTTATTTTTTTCTTTACTAAATGTATCTTGATTAACTACAATTAATAACATATAGAATTTCCCTCAAAATGGACCAAAAATTTACTCTACTGAAACAGATATACATATGTACCTGCATATGCATATGCACATACGTTGAACGAGCCTAGACGTTAGGCACATGTTGGAAACGTTATGCGGAGTGGCACACATTGAGCAGAATTGTAAGGACAACTAGGGTCGTGAAAGTAATACCATGATTTTGCACTGCACAGCGCCTCTGGGGTTCACTAAAGTGATTTCAGGAAAGGTAAACATTAAAAATTGAAAGCGACTGCGAGAAGGAATGGAGGAAGGAAGCAGAGCACACAGTAATTTCATTCCATTACTCGGCTGTATTGGACACCAACATTTATTAGTAATGACAGCAGCTCGCCGAGAAATAATGGATCCCCAACTTTTTTGTTGTTCTTTGAAAGGGTTTTTTTCTACTAAAGTTAGCAACGCGGTAAGTAGTTTCGAGTATCAGATGCCTACTTTCACTGGACTAACTTGTTTTTATCAGCCTCCTATGGGATTCATTCAAAATCATACTTGAGATCCCAGACGTGCTGTGATTCTCGTATTCGATTTCTCTTAATAAATTGGCCGAGAAGACCAAAATGAATCGTAAAGCGCCAACATTCAATTGAGGAACAATTAAGGAATCATTTTTCATAATAAGTCACGCATCTTTCTAATAGCAAGGAAAGCTTTAAAATCGCTTCGTCCACATACGAGCCCAATACTACTGGCAGTTATTAGTTTGTCTCCCTACTCCTTTGACTAACGCGATCGAGAGGAAGGGACATTGGAGAAAGTTACGTCGGGGTGTTTCGGTCTAGCGTACGAGTATTACGGAACTCATGTTGCAAATCCATACCAGAGTGGAGAAAACTCCGGTGTCTCCGATTCTTGAGTTGGTGAAATTGGTCGTGTTGTAAAGTGCTTGGTTTGAAGCATGAGAGATTCACACATTTTGATGCACAGATTTAATTATCAGTCTACCTACATCTTGATTACTGAATTTCAAAAACTTGTCAAAAACCATAATGATAAAATAATAAGGTGAGATGCATCCTAGGATTTTTGGGTAGTTTTTGTTAAAAGTCACCACAGACACAATACCCAATTGTTTCTAGCATATTGGTACATACATGCTTTTGAAGAAAATGCACATGTAGAGCACATCGCATGTGCACGCCATGAAGATTCCCCTCCGTTCAGTCTGCTATTCAGGCAAATTTCCATTTTCCACCCCACTCATAGCAACAAGCAGGAGCTCCTCCCGCTTGTTGAGAAGAAAGCTAGGCGGAGAGAAAGCGTAGAAGCAGCAGGACTGCGGGATGAAGGGCAATGTATAAGCATTGATCGCTGGCTGGTGAGTAGGGAAAGTGGTGGCTGAGTAGAGAGAGTCACATGCCCAACAGACTTTCTTTCCTTTCTCCTCTGCTGGGCGAAAGCAGGGAAATCGGTGGAGCTTTCGGCTGCACTACGACTGCAGCATAGCCCGTGGAGTTTGGATAGGTCGATAAGTTTGGTGATCCGGAATTCAAGAGAGAGCGAGAGAGAGAGTCCCATAGTGGTAGCTGCTGCTGCTGCTGCTGCTCTACTCTCTCCAGTCGTTTTTTGACTCCAGCCAGACGCGAGCCAACTTTCGCCACGTTTAGTGTAATTCATTCATAAAACATTTTCTTAATTCGGTGCTTTAGGTCGTAAGCAGTGTACATAATTGTATATACTACAGTAATTATAGGTACCGCATATACATTACTTTAGGGATAATAGAAGTACATACGTCTCCTTAAGAATTAAAGTAAAATATTTCTTTCTGGCAGCACAGCCCGCTTGTGTAACTCTTATTACGTAAAAATTATCCTTCATGTGCGATGAGCCCTTTAATTTTACTGGCTCCGTCTCATAGTTTCTCCACAACGAAACAAGTCAAGTCTGGTCATGAAACTGCTCTTCTTCAACACGAAAGATAAGCAGAGGTGACTGCAGCAAGGGCAGAAATGGTGACATAAAGCTCTTGTGAAGGTAGTAAATTCTGAACTTGGTAGAATTTTTATTTCAGCCAGTACGACAATATGTACATATCTATCAATACGTATGTAAATAAATGAATAAATTCGCTCATGTAGAGTAACCAAAAGGGTCTAAGATTTACCAGAAGGCACTATTTCTTAGAGTAAGGGCGTAAAAATTAGTGCGTTAGGCAACGAGTTGTACTCGGCCAGTTCTGGCGACTGTGTTTCTCCATCGTCGTCAGCAAGTAAACGTCATTTTGAAGATCAACAGTATTGTACTAATAGCAAAATTCCTGGAGAGGAGTCGTTGAATCCACAAGCATTTCGTTGGACCAAGGCGGAGGATAGTTCCTTAAAAAACATGGTTGAAGTAGATGTCACAGAACCGGAAGACATAATCAATGGTGAGCCAGAAAATTTATTCATCTATTCGTCATTTGACATTGACAGCTTATAATGTGGCAAATAAATAGCTAAACTACAATAAATAAATATGTTGTTACATAATACAAATCTAATGCACAATGCACAAATTTTGTAAGATTCGTTGGTTTTCCATGGTTATCAAGTCGTCGTAGGTAGCAGTGTCTTGTGTCCGTGTTAGGTCGTCTTGGTTTAGTTAACTAACAACACTTGGGAATGTCAAGTTGTCTCACTGGTAGCGAACTACTTGTCGATTGGCATATGTATGTACATAAGATTACATAATCGTATTACTGGAATACATGTATTTGTACATTGTCCATCAAGATAGCACTACATTTATTCATCCATCCGGTCAGAGTCGTAATACTTAAATAACCATTTAATAGAAAAAGCAAATGAAAGATAACATACATCGTCAGTCGTGGCTAAATTCTCGAAATATCTCATTTGAGGCAGAAATACAAGGTTGAGCAAGAAATCAAGTCATGTATTGAGAGCAAATGTACGGCTTCTATTCATTCACAGACATTTCACCTGAGTAGTCAGTGTGTGTGTGTAAGTAGGTTCCAGTCAGTTGCATAAATATGTACTCGTTGTGACAGTACGACGGTCTGCAAGTTCAATTGCTGGAGGGAATGAGTCTGGGATTTTTGCGGAGAACAATGGCAGTCACTTGTTCTGGTGAAACTAATTGGCTTAAACTATGTTTCCCTTTCTCCAACTGTCTACAGGTTGGATAAGCCCTTTCACAATTTTCCCCATTTCGCCCATCCAAACTCGCTTGCAACAAATATTTGTCGGCTGCCGGGGATTGGTTAACTTCCTTCAACATTTTGACTATGGCTTTGCTGAAATGATTCAGATATTGGGTCAAAGGCGACGAATTGTGAGGTGGTGAGAGGAAGCCGGAATAAAGTATTCTCTCGCGATAAGGAAATTGAGGATGGAGATTGAAATTGGTGGTGACAAATGGAATTTCAATTTCATTTCTCTTTTCAGTAGAAAAAGGAATGCATTGAGATTCGTTTGTTCCAAAAGTTTGATCTCACCTCAGCATTGACCCAACAGTTCGTCCTTGGATGCCAAACTCGTTTACGAGAATTTGATTAGTTGTACAAACTTCTTGGTGGGAACAGTTGACGGGGATTTTTCCATTCTGAACATGTCCAATGACATTCTGTAAATGCAAAGTTTGATTTTTTAGCTCTCGGTGCATACATATACATATATTCACAAGAAATTAGTGAAATATCTTTAAAAAATATATCATCTCACCAGTGATGGCAGGACCCTTTGACAAATTTCCTCAACTTTATTTTCACTATCGAGCTGTAATTCTGTGAATGGGTCTACCTCACGTCTTCTTCGTCCGGCTGGTGCTGCTGTCGTGGTCGTCGTTATCAGTAGCAAAACATTCTATCAAAGAGAATTAATGGGAAATGTGTTTGATAATCGTACATATCTGCGGGCTTGTTGGACTAACCGACAGCAAAGATAGCAGTCCCAGCAAGCCGAGTAAACCAAGAGATGAGTTGTCAACTTTCGAAACGCTTTCATGATACCTTAACAGTTCTAGAATTGCATCCAACTTTTTTCACCTTGCCAATGTACCAAACAATATACTTACGTCCCACCCCACCCCCAACCTGTTCCCCACCCTCCACCGCCACCACCGCTGTGACCTCCATGCCCATGCCCACCTCCGCTGTGACCGTGCCCGCCTCCGTGCCCAGTGGCCGCATAATCGCTGTCTGCTAGGTTTTTTTGTATATTTTTTGTCTGATATCTCATGAATAATTTTTTATCGGAATAATTCATACCTGGGAATCCGACTTGGGACGCTGACACCGCAGCCATCATTGGATATGACGAGGAAACCGATCTGGCACTGAATTGCTTCCCGGGCCGTTCATAATAGTCATCATAATACGGTTCTGTTACACATTTAGGAGAGAATAGAAATTGACTGGTTTGGACGGAGAAGGTTGACATGATTAGATTTTCTTGCCTGAAACGGGGTAATATCCATTGACAGATGAAGTATAAAGGGATGGCAGTTTTGGAATTTTGTTCAAGTAACCCTTGGAATTGGATCCAGAATATCTCGTCGTTGGTGGTCCTGTTGGCGTCTCGGGGTCGTCAGTTCTGTCCTTACCCAGTGACGCTGATTGTCCTTGTTTATTAGCTGCTCCAGAGTGATTATATGCAGGCTGAGCAGCACTCGTCAACCTGCAGGTGACACCGAGAAACACCACCAGAAAGACCGGCATCACTGAGTGACGATGCTTTCTCCAGATTCCATTAATTCTATATATTTTCAAGAAACTCGTCATTTTATGGTAGGAATTAAGATACTGCGTCAGTTGGAATTCACCGCACTCTTGGCGATGCTTTTTGAATAAAGTTAATCCACGAGGCTGCGTCTACTATTTATAAGTTTGGATATGAGAAATTTGGTAATGCAGCATGGCCTTGTAGAAGTGGCATACATGGAATTGAGATCAGTGCTTTGTGCCCCAGTTTTACTTAAAATTCTACTGATGCAAGATGCACAAGTTTAGAAATTGCAAATTGAGCGATAACAGCACGTTAATATTTAAATACGAGGAAGATGTTGTTTATACAGTGCATGTTTTCATGTTATCCATTATGCGGATATTCGACGGTAGGAATTCGATACGCCAATGAACCGGAAAGTATGATACACTTGGTGTAATAAAAGGATCACACGTTCGACGTATTAAAAACTTTGACAGGATCCGATCTGACACTGACTCATTGTTGCTCATGAAGATGAAGAACAATATGTAAATGAGTGTGTGAGGCACTACTGGCAAATTGTGAATAGTCACTGCTCCATGTGAACCCGCATGTGGAGCATTAAATTTGTACATGGTTTACTAAATAAAGTAATATCAAGACTGTCTCATATTTAGAATAACCTTATAATGTGCAGTGTTTATCACCAAATGTTAAGCTATGTAACACTGACTAGGGTTTTCCTAGAAGACCAGACAATCATTTTGGCACACCTTTGACGGTTGACAACTGAGTATTTTACGAATCGAGCTTGTAAATTCATGTCCCGATCCGTTATAAATTTGATGTGCTTTACGGTTGCCCGACTATGACCAATTTGAGAGTAGAAAAATAATTTACTCATCAGCGTTGAGGATGCAACCCAATCACTGGATCCAGACTAATTGAAATGACATTCTTACTGCAACCGCATTTTATGCTGATTGATATTCAGACAAAAATTGTTGTATTCATAATTAGGAAATGCGTACACTCATACACGAATTAATAAATATATTTATATATATTAGCCATTTTCCAATTTTGTCCATACATATATTTTTATGAAAGAGGCTAATTTAAGTCCCTACAGCCATACTTTAATCATTTACCGTGCATACAAATTTTTCTCATGCTCATGCTGACCGAAACTTGTTGCACTTTTTTGTGTGGTCTAAATACAAATGTAAATCCGTTTTGTGTTCCGGTTCCACAGTTCTAGAATATGTACGTAAATATGTACGTGCAAATATGTGTATTAATTTATGACAAATATTTTTAGATTGTAGGACGTATGAAAATATCGCATATAATAAAACCCATTTCATAAAAATATAGATCATCAAGATTATTCCACTCTGGTGGAACAGCAACCAAGAATGCATGCAACGCGAAGGAAGGCAACATAGGTTATACATACGTGTGCATATTAGGCAGTTTGCAAGACTACGTTTTTAAAATTTCCGTAGCTTTTCCGTAAGTCTTTATATTTCTTGATTTTAGTTAAAACTTACGGAGGTAATATGAAAAATGTTCAGAGGACATCTCAGAATAATTTTAGGATGGATTCCGTAAGTTTTGACAAAAATTAAGATAGAAGAAGAGTTACGGAAAAATTACGGAAATTTCAAAAACGTAGTCTTGCAAACTGCCTATTATTGATATTTCTCGTAATGTCGCCAATCAGTGGTGCAACGTTACGTGACGTTACGTGACCCACTGGCACCGTCGTCGTAGTATCGTTGGCCTGCTTTTCACTTGTCAACCGGTCAGGGCAAATTCGGTGCATGTTTCGGAACGCCTGATTAGAATTTACTTTTATTGCAAGTGGTTCAAAAGAATCACGTACGTTGAAGTGTCGAAAGTCATTTTCATTCCATGGTATGAAGTTGTGAATCGAAATGTCTGGTCTCATATATAGCTCGCATTTTGAATTGTTTGGTATCTTCTTTCCCTCTGCCAACGACGTTACGAACTAATCCAATCTATCAGTACGTAGTCTTCGCTGCATATCTAAATACGCATGTAGTCTGGTCTGCACTAAAACAGGGCTGACTATGGATTTGGTCTTTGGAATAATCTCGTCCTGCACTTCGTCGGCATACGTATGACGCGAAGGCAGATTGTGGCCGACTTTCTTACCATATGGCAAAGGAGTGAACATGGTCGGCCAATCAGGATTATATTTTATGGTTCTGGGAAATAAACTGTATCCTTACTTTTTGACATGGTCGGGTCTTACACGTAATGTCCGTAACAAAGTGAGAGCAATATGAGAGAAAGTCGCAGGTGTTCAAAATTTTGTAGAGTGAAACACTTTAACATGTTATAAAACTAATCTTACATTTCCGGCTAGTTTTCGTAAAGCTCAAAGTGCTGTTCAATCTCTTGAACTCTTGTTTTTTGCTTAGAGTTAGATAGATAAGGATATTTCTGCGGATCAATTAATGTATGGATTGCATCTCCACTTTCACTCACTCGAATGGTTGGTAATTCAGTTTGTACAAAAAACGGGATTGATCTTTTATGCCACTCAAATCCTATCGTGTTGAACGACATGACACACGGACAGCCGGTGACATAAATAGGGGGACAAAAGTCAACACAGAAAGTCATATAGGCAACAACACATCCCATATGCCGACAATATATACTTTATTCAGGCGGATATTTTGTTTACATATTTACATATACATATATATCACATCTAAATGTACACATTCGTATGGTTAGGTTCGTGTCATGACAAAAAGCTTTGGGTTTTTGGTGCAATTAAAATGTTGGTCTATAAATTCTTCAATTTTCTCCAAAGCATGGCTGGATAAATGTCAGCATCAAGTATTGTTCTCAATTCTATTTTGTACATGTACTCAGCACGACCTATTGTGAGATATGGTGTGACTATTTGTTCATCTGGTCCTTGGACTCGTTTCTATTCATCTCCGCAGTGATCTGTTTAATTAGGTTTCTGTGCCTTCTCCTGTATTCAAATTCTCTTCTGCCCTTCAAACGCAGCACTTTGCTCTGTCGATAACTTTCTTTACGGGTAATCGGCTGGCTGTATCGTCACGACCTTAAAGGTATAATAGAGATTTATACATGTATGTACCTTGCTTTCACCGTAAAACCATCCACGTAATTTTAGCAGTTTCAGCATTCTCAATTTTAGGCAGGAGTTTGCGCGATATCGAACAAAATGCAGTTAAATTGTACACTTTATACAAATTTTGTTAACGAGTATCTCAACAATAAAACGTTGCTTTATGGATGTACACTTAAGTATCGTTCTATAAAAACAGGTACATAAACAAAAATCTCATTAGATTGCCCATCCATGCATAAATTCTGAGATGTGCACATGTACATACTTACATTTGACGTAATGCCATTTAAAGTTGTTAAAAGAACAGGATGTTAATTAGCATAAAATAACAGAAAATCAGAAATTATACAATGAAAACCGAGCTGATAATATTTTTCGTCTCATAATCCCCTTCATATTCCCCTCTCGAGCACTTCTCAATACCATGAATGCACAATCTGAGTAATATCAATAGCTACTTCAAATTCTCATATTGACAGTTCTATTACATGTACTTACGTTGCATATATTCACATAGGCTTAGAATATAGATTTAGTCTGTGTAAATGCCTTAACAAGGCGACAATTACATGATAAATACGTAAATCATATTGAGTCCCAAACATTAATTTTCAACTTGTTATCGCCATTTAAATAGTTTGATTTAGCAACACAAAACGTGTTTAACGCAAAAATAACGTAGTAATATTATTTGGCGAGATTTAATTTGAGAGGATTTTGAGGAGAAAAGAAATCAATCTTTATAGATCCTAAAAACCTTTATAGTTTTCGGGAGAAAGTTCTCAGGGTAAGCACAAACGTCTCTGGTGCAATGATGACCCGTGTCATGTGATGTAAACAAGGTTATACTTTCTCCGTCTTTTCTTCCACTCATGTATTTATCCCCTTGCCATTTTGCCACATGAGGTTTAGAAAACGTATCGCATTTGTATCGTGGATCGAAGCAAAACAAAAAAAAGGGCGACACGAGCAATGAATTCTTCATGTGTTTTTGTGGTTAGTTATGTTTCTGCTCGTGCATGTTGGTTCTTGCAATATTTCAGAGTTTTCCATTCTGCGACAATATGGTGTCATATTAATTCGATTTGGCAATAACAAAGAATTCCCAGTTCAGTTACGTAGAATGGAAAGGAAACCAAATAAACCAAACAATATCCCGAAACAATTTTGATTACATATTTGCCGAGGTTGTTCGGTCGCCAAATTCGGTAAAGCATGGATATATTTGTAAGTGAATACAGCCATGACCGCGATGCTACAATATAATATACATGCAAGTGAGCATGAATTAATTACAATTTACCCATGACTTGCGACAATATCCTTTCTCGATGTAAGTATCGCAATATGGAAAAGTATTGTCACGATTGCTGAGGAGTTGGCCACCAATTTATTTATTAATTCGTGTTGACTGCAGTCAAACAATTCCAACCAGCTTTCAAATTCAGTATAATACAAAATAACCGTATGCATAGTCAAATGTATATATTACAAATATTACAAATGCGTAGTTTTAAGTTACATTTGAAGCAAAATAATGACATTTGTTTGTTCTTTAACAATTTCATTATGTAAATATGAATTTAAAACATTCCGACTCTACAGTTTTTATTACGATACACATTTTGTGAGCGTTTGATCGTGGGAATAATTGGCTACTTTTCAAACTAATGGTGCACTTTTCTTGATGCAGGCGAAACCTGGTTGGAGTCTATGTGTAATAAATCGCTATATACGCCGTAGCTACATACATAAAAGTATGCACCTATGGAATAATGGGATGTTATGGAATGGCAAAGAGTTGTCAGAACAGGAAATAGGTTTCAACCAAAGAACTAATCCTGCATAAGTACTTTTGTAGGCGCCTTTGTTTTATGAACACTTCTGAAGGCAAATGCACCACCGACAAATCAATATCAATGTGTAAATAAGTAATCGATATTGATCACCACCATTCCTCCTCCATTGTATTACTTTGTTGCGACAAACAAATGTAAGCAAAGTTAACCTTTCCTACACCCTTCAAATTTTCTGTGTCCCAAAGTCGAACGGTGTGTCGTATCGTATCTGCAAATTACCCCAACTCTTAAAATCTCCATAAAGGTTGACACAACATGAGTAATCTTCAAAGGCAGGCGTAATAACATTGAAGAAATATACACGAAAGTATGCACTTTCTCCCGAATCTAGGATCCAAAGTTATTATTCTACCTGCCTCACTAATAAATTAACCAAATAGCTGCTCAATTCGGACAACTTTCGTAACTTTCTCATAAGTAATTTCTGGATTGATTCGTGTGGGTCGCATCGATATAATTTCCAGTCTTCTCTTGTTTTGAGGATTTTGGCAATACGCAGGGCCAGGGTTGCTCTCTTTGTGGCAAGGAAAGCAGTTCTGCAATAATTTTTTATATTTGCATCAAAGTCAGATAAACTTAATAAACGTTCATTCACTTACGCTAAACGCCATTTATCAAAGACTTTCGTTCTTCTTCGAAGCCAGTCATTCTTGATTTGAGCTAAAACACTATTTTCAGACGAGGAATTGTTGATCTGCAACGATTCACTTACCGGAACTGAGAGTGGCTTCGGGTGTTGAGGAAAAATGCCACTAATGATTCTCTCAATGCAATGATCACTTTCTAAAATTTCGACAAGTATACTCTTGATAAAATTTGAAAGTATTATAAGAAACAGTAATCTGCTAACAATTTCTAAATTATTCATCGCACCCGCTGTGCTTTCACCTGTCTGCGGCGATAGTAAAATAAAAACTGAGATATGTTATGGCTTGACCATTTATGCATTACGACAACCCACATACATGCAATTACTTTTATATTGCTTAAAGTTTAGAAGAGAGAGAGAGAGAGAAGCAAATATTGATTCGCGTAGTCCAAGGCTTGTTAAAGAAATTTCACCCCACAACCTTGGCAAGGTGGACGATGGAGAAAATAGCATTGATCGGGTTCTTAGAGTTGCTGAGTTGAGGCAATGACAATGTGGATAGAAATCGATTATAAATATTTAATGTGTAAATCGATAAAAGATAATGGCCAGCTCGTCCTTTTTACTGCATAAATGTTTTTGAATTTATACCGTGTAGAATTGAAATAATGTCCAATTATTAGGTGCATTGTGAACACCGAACTGGCGGTTTCAAAACCCCATGTTTGTATTTTAAATTTCTACTCAATAGTATGTAATGACAATTAAGTGAACGTGCAATAATGTGGGCAGGTATGGACGAACCTTGTTCTATGAGGATGGAGCTGCCCAAATGAGATTATAATAACAACAGCGTTAGCATTACTACATAACTTATCCAATGCATCCTATAATACGGAACATCTTGTATGGTTTATGTCAAAATTAAATCAAAATGTGTAGTAATATCACAAACAACACATGAAAATTGTTGCTTATTTCATGACATGAAATTGGTTTGAAACATGTAGAATACAAAACTAGCTTACAAGAGTTAAATTATTTAAAGCAGAGTTGAAAAAGGGACCGTGCATCAGTGTGATCGATTTTATAGCATGCCACATTTCACCACTGGCCACTAATAAAGGATTTGAGGGAATTGGAAGACATTTCTTTTATACTTATCCAAAAGTTAATGGAATCCGATATTTTTTATTTTTCAGTTCCAGTTGAAGCCACAGCATTTCTTGCAGCAGTTTCAGCTCTTGCGGTGTTACTCTTTGTCATATTTGTGTACGTAAATAAGAAGTGGAGAATCCTGAACGTCGGACTCAACGCGAGCAAACCAACCGGACGCGGTACTCAGATCCCTGTAAAGCAGCATGACAATTCAACGAAAAGACTTTCACCCTTCAGACCTCATTTGGGTAATTCATTTTATTGCATTATAAGACTTATTTTTATACTCTACGAATGATATATTTTTGATATTTCATTCATTACTGATGACCACAAAACAGTAAACTTAAACCGCTCAATTTTTTATGATGCAGGTGACTCCTACATCCTCACACCCGAGTCGAGTTCAGACAGCGAAGAAGATGTTCTTCGACGGTTAAGAAGCCAAATGAGTTTGCAGCAACACCACGAAACGACTCTGCAGGATCATCGGGTTTCCATGAGTCGAGGGTCGCCTTTGCTCACCACCGCAGTCCGCAGTTTTTCCTTAGACCAAGCTTCCAGCCACCACCACCATCCTCATCACCACCACCCCCACCTCATGCAGCACCGTAGCTTCGACCTGACCTACCATCCCCTTCACCAAAGCACTCCCAACTACTCATCCAATACCGCAGTGCCCTCATCCGCTGGCCACAACCTTTTCCATGGGGCTGGCTCTTCCGCATACACGTCCGTGAGGCCCTTGAGGATCGCAGGGGGTCGAGACATGGATAACGTTGCTTCGTCGAGCTGTACAAGTAACAGTTCCAGGCGGAGATCAAAAGGTAATAACTCACTCGTTTTATGTACATCTATCAATCCATAATCCATCCAGCCATACATCATACATGACCTCAATTCCACCAAACAGAACGATTACGACTGATTGGACATTCATCTGTACTGCTGGTATTCACGCTATCTCTGACAACGCCCAGAAAAGTGGCTGAGTGTGATAATGATATAGAGACTCCTGATATCCGTTCTCTTAAGTAATATGCACTGTGTGCTGCACGTTTATTCTGTTAACTCTCCTAGATCGTTTCATCAACTACTTGTGCTGACCTCCTCCTTGTGTATAACAAAGTATATCGAATGCATTGATTACTTATTTGATTTTGATGAATGCCAAATAGTGACGAATCTAGTGTCCCTTATGAAAAATTTTATTAATTCGAACCTGTAGTTTACATTTTGTTCCCATTCTATTTGAACACTTCTTTTAATATTCTGCACTATTTCGCACATTTCTGGTTTCAACTTCTATGTTTTAGCATTACCCAATCACTAGTCTAAGAAATGAGGGACTCGAAAAGTCTATAAAATAAGACGGCGTTCCGTAGAAAATTTCACTGCAAATATTGCTCCATAAATCGTCTCGGAAAGCAATTTTCAAAACCAGTAATGCGAAAAAAACTGCAAAATGAAATCATATTTCACATGTGTACTGGAAATTCAGAATTGCATGAAACCAATTTCCCAGTAATCGGTTGATGTGATACAGTACAGAGTAGGAAGTGAAAGTGCGGAGAGGTAGAAAATATTAGAAAAAAGCAGCAGCTCACGGCCACGACGTCATTCCTCGTTCGTATTCCGCACATATGTACACCTCCATCGCCTTTGTGTGCTGGATGAAAGAACCATATGCTCCTAATACATAGTCACCCGTGATGGACGAACAATGCCGGCGAGGTTATGAGATGAAACAAGGCAAAAAGTTTGTAACGTTTGAAAATTTATGAAGGATGATAATACTTGGCTGCCTTCGCTTTGTTCCAATGGAGCCAACAGACTATACATATCCAGCCAGACCTTTTAACTTTGGGCTGCACAAAAATGCTTTCAGAAATTAAAGATGAAACCACTTTGTACTGGGCATATATGCAGATTACATATACCGACACAGTGCAGTGTAGTCCATGTGTATGTATATACTTATATACGCTTGTACTTAATATAATTATGCAAAAGAGAAAACACTGTGCTCACTGCTCAACTTTAAACTCCATTAGAATTTCAGAGTAAAAAAAAGCTGACACAGAAATAGTGAGTGAGACTGGCTTCTTTCTGAAAGTCGTTGTATCACAGCGTAAAGCTGAGGAGAAAGCACGTCCAATATGACGATCAATACAATGTGCACCAGTCTTTTACATTTTCACACTAAATTCAAGAACTCTCCTCCCAAAGGCTCAGAAATACGTGAGAATTAACACCATTCGAAAAACCGAATTTGTCATATGCTACTTGCGTACTTACATACGTAAATAAAGATTGTTCGTGTTTTCCCCTGAAAGAAAAAGAGTTAAAGTAGCGTATCAACAATGATCCAGATCTAGACAGCATTTATTTGACTTATCACTTTAGCGAACGATAACGACAAGGAATAACCGACAAACTTTTCTTTCTCTGTAAAGTATTTTTATTTCACTCTTCCACCACGGCTTATTTAGGATGAATTAATTAATTAATTACTTATATTTAACTAAATTATTTTCTCATTTCCTCTTCAATCTCTGATGATAAATGCAATCTTTATTTTGCTGTGACAAATTTTATAATATAACAAAAAGTCATGCGCAAGATGATTACCAGTTTAATTTAGCGAAAGGGTTTATATACGCATGGAATTAAGACAATTTCCACTTGGATCGTGACTCATAAATATTTCTGCTGGTGTAAAAATTGATAGATAAAATAGCATTTATGTAAATATTTTCACGTTTCACGGATGCACCCATTTATACATGGCTCAAGTGTTTACATATCATGTTGAGTATACTTGTAATGTATAAATACTTATTAATACACGCACTAGTAAGTAGTGTACTTTCTCCTCTTCTTTTCATCCTCACCTGGCTGATAATGAAAATGAAGGTGAAAAGCAAACACAATGAAGCAGTAAAAGTGCTTGGCGGAGGAGAAAGCCTTACGTAGCACGATTCCTCCCCTGCGATCGAAACTTCCCCTTTGTCCTTCCCCCGTGCATGTCGTAGAATGACGATCCAGAGGAAAGTGGTCTATATACGTAAGTAGAGCTGCGAACGGAAGCCAGCCGAATCCTGCAGATGTTGCTGCACAAAATCATCCTGGAATCAGATCTCGATCTCACACCGCATCATTTCAGTCGGCAGTGTTAACTCGGCGTAGAGTCAGACAAAATTTATATATGGAACATGGAAGTAGGGTCCTCGGCCCATTCAGATCTTTGCAGTATTCATCAATGAAGCATTCTGCTGTGAATATGCTCCATATACGAAAATGAAATCGAGTTAATATCCTCTTGCCCAATTAAAGATGTGGCAACTGGGTTTTTGATGTCATATTATATTTATATGTAAATATGTGTACTACTCTTTCAGCAAATGTAATGTAGTTGTGAGTTTTAATTTTCGTTGCAGACATTGAACCAGCATTATTCGTACATACATTGCAATCCTGGGTACTTTTTGCGAGTACTCATTACTGGAGATTAGTGACAGTCTGTGACTATTTCGATAGTTCGACTGGATGACGTAGCTCAATATTTGGTATATTGAGAAGTGGCCTAATTCTCAGCTGTACGCTGATTCAAATATTCCAACTCGACATAAACTACATGCGCACATAAATACTTTAGATAGTAGCTTTCCCATTCACCTAAAGTATACAGCACTTTTATGTCCTCGGAGATTCATGAAATTAACTTTCTTTTTAATCCATTTTCTAACATGGAAAAGAAAACCAAGGGCTGGAGAAAAGATTTTAGAGCAGGATAAATTAATTGCTCTATTCTATCCACTATGTTATACATAAGTACATATGTACATATGTAGATAAAGTATTTATATAGCAGTTGGAGACCCCCGGGACTTTGTAAATGATACTATGCAAAAATAACACTGGAAAATAATGTTGGAAACTTCTAGAAAAGTTATCCAACTACTTGTGGTTCTTCCGAGCGTAACACACGTATGCATGCAGTATGTGTACATATGCATATAAAAAATGTTTTCAACTTTTTTAATGAATTTAAATGTCGGGTTTCAATGTTCCGTCGAGTTTTGTACATCATATTATGGTCATATTGGGAGTGAAACACTGCGGCAAGACATACTTTAAGTTACCTGGCATACAGGATATCAAAAGTTCCTTAAATTCTGTAGGTTTCAATAATGCGGATTTTCGAGTAAGTGGTTCTTTAAAAATCAATATTTTATGCAACAACTTACCTTTCGCATCCTACACATAACAAGTACATGTATACCTAAAATACTTTAACCACTTTATCCCCGAACCTGTCCAATGTCAATCTGTCTAAGTAGTAACTTTCATTATTGGTCGATTCTCTTTGAACCCGTAAAATGTGTTAGTAGTAGATATGTAGCAGCATATGAAATTATAGCTTGCTGGTGGTTTTGATAAAAATAGTCTGCAAACACTGTGTAAAAGTTCTAGCCATAAGTCGAAAGAAACTTTATGTTTGCATGAAATGGCGGCTTATCTCAATAAATTACGAGTGTTGGTCTGGGAACATCAATTACAGCACAAAGACACGAAAGCGAATGACGTATGCGAAAATAATTAAAGCATGAAAAACATTATGAAAGAGCGTATGTTTGGCGTTAGAAAACCACCACCTTCGCTTAAGCATAACACCCACTGTGTCACATTTCCGTCCTCACAGCTGTGGTCAATAAAGCTACGTGTTTTACCAGTAAGACTCCAGCAATTTAATAAGGCCAGAAAAAATGGAAAGCTGTTTTCTCTTCTGACAACCAGACTGGTGAATCTTACACAAAATAAGGAAGGAGGGTAGCATGAAAAAATATTATTGATATTGATAACCTTCGTGCTCCATATTACGAGGAAATTTATGTAATTAGGAACGTATTCACTCTACTCTTTTATTATTAGTATTATTATATAAACGAGTCAGCAAGTAATTGCATCTACTCCATATTTTTCCTTCCCAAGGAGAAAGTCTTTAATGTTTTGGGTCATAGCAAAATAGAGACTGACGTCTTTCACCCCTAATTCTGATTTACTTTTGTGTTTTAGATGCAATGAGCCATTTAATTGTATGTATAACCAAGCCTGACAACCTTTATTTTCCTGTTTAATAGGACTAATGGCATCTTCATCGATGGGTGGTGTCCGTGGAGGCGGGGAGCGAGGGGATCTCATGTCATTGGCGGAGAAGGGCAAAGTGAACAGTTCCAGTGCGTCCTCGACCAGCTCGAATGGAAGCACCGAAGATGATCCCACCAGAGCACCGCATCATCAGCATCATCATCATCACCACCATGGAATGAGGGCACATCCCGTTCGCGTGGATCCTTCGAGACCGGTGTCAGTTTCCAGCAGTACTGCCACCACGCTTGTCGCAACCCCACAACCACACTCCTCGCACCAACAACCCCCACCGCCACCAATTCATCATACTCATCAACAGCAACAACATGCTCACTCTCAACACTCGGCCCCATGTTCTACCACTGGTTTTAGGCGAATGATGCCCCCAAGGACGAAATCTATCGACTCGGAATCTCCTCCCCCATCCCAGGGATGCTCAACATACGGCGACTCCATTGCTGATCAAGACGTAAGAAAATACACATGTCCAATTCGACCTCATTTTTGTGTTTTGCAGATTGACAGCATAATTATTTATAATAATGCGAGTGTAGGAGTTAAATTAATACATGCTGAATCAATTTAAATACAAATTCCATTTATTTAATTACGATTTCTTTAATTTAATCGAGGAGAAGTTGTTGTTTCCAAAAAAGCTGGCATAAATTCGACACAATATGACGTATGTCATCCAAGTTGAGAGAGAAAGGAATCCAAACAAGAACAGCCAAACATCGAAACCTCTCTTCTGATACCACGTCAAGTGACGTGACAAGGGTTTCAGTAATTCTAGTTCTTCCTTGGTATGTCTTAGGACAAACTCGGTCCACCATAATGCAGTGTCTACGGGATCCATGGGCACATCTTTGGATAATTTGGCGAGCTGAACAGACCGCTTTTTATAGCTGAAAAATTTTATGTAGCGGATCAAACTGGTAGCAATATTAGCAATGGTTAATTGAGATGTCTGTGAACGAAATGAACATTTACCTGTCGTCAGTGAGTAATCTCGAGATTGCTTCTGTCAATTTTTCTTGCGTGAGTCCAACAAAATCGAGTCCAATTGAAATGCCTAAATCCCTCATTCGATGGGCATTAAAATCCTGGTCTACCAATTGAAAACAAACAGAAAATTAGCATTCATGCATGGCTGAGCATAAGTAATCCAGGCATTGGATTTTTTTTCTATGTAAAATCACCTGCTAAAACTGGGAATGTTATTGTGGGGACTCCGTTACCCAATGCTTCTTGAAAACTTGGCCTACCAGCCTGCGTGAGAAATGCCTTAATTTTAGGATGTGCTGTAAGGAGAAATTATTTGGTTATAATTTTATTTTTAGTGGGTGGAATTGACATGTGAATCTAATTTCGAGCTTCTTCATTAATACGTAGTCAAAAATACTCAAACAATGTATCCGCATACCCAGCACATCTTGTTGATCCACCCATTCCACAAAAAGCAAGTTAGACGGGTATTCTTCAGGTATCTTTCCTCCTTCCCACTTCCAAATAAACCGATGTGGGAAACTTTTAATCGTTTTTAAAAATATTTCCCTCAGTTCGATAGGAAGGTTTGGTGCCTTTGCAACGGTTCCAAAACTAATATAGATGAACCCCTCGGTTTTATTTCCACCAATCTCGTCTTTGGCGTGGATAAAGTCTTCAATTTCCTAAAATCAATAGCATCATGATGTATGACTATACCCTCCGCCGTTATTTATTTCTTCAATTTTACGTTACTTTTTTTAGTGGTTTATGTTCTCCAGTCTTTTTTAAATGAATTCCTGGCACCTTTACGACGAAAGGAGGAAAAGACCTCGGATAATCCGAGAGATAATCACCATTAATAATCATCAAGCTGGTCAACTCTCGCATGTCATGCACGTCGGGGAGATTTGTTAGACCCAGTTCTTCGGAAAACAGGCTCTTGTATTTTTGATGAAATATCGGCTCGATGACTCGATACCACAAAGGAAGCATGGCACCCGCTACCCGGCTGAAAAATGTCAGCGGTGTTGGTTTCGACACATCATAATCTGGCAATGATTCGGTCTCTGCGTTGATTCCGAAGGACTCAAAATGTTTCGTTACGACAGGAATTGGTTGGTACAGTATGGTTTTCGCATCAAATTTGTGTGCCAGTCCATACGAGCAGTCCGCCATTGTGTCTGCTACGACAAGGTCTACTTGTGGATTGGATGCTATCCAAGCTTTAATTTCCTCACTTTTGTACATTTCGTGACAAGCAGAGTAGCAAAAATAATCGATGACCATAAACAGCGGTGGCACAAGTCCGTATGCTCTGTGGTTCACGTCAAAGTTTTGCTCGATAATTTTGTTCATGAACGCTTTGAGGTCTTGTGGCTGAATTTCTGTCACTTTGGGACTAGACAATTCAGAACTAGGACCATAAGGGCTGATGAAGGTGACATTGTGACCCTTTTCTGCCAATGACATTGCCAGCGGCCATTGGGAGACGCGGTGACTGTAACTAGCGCTATTGAACACAACATTAAAATATGCATTTAGTCCGCACTTGATAAATAATGACATACAGTTTGCATATAATTATGGATACCTACCATGTATGCAGAAATACAATATGTTCCCCCAAACAAAACTGGACAACGCTCAGAAATATGGATATACTTTTAAAATTTGGTATAAGCTTGTTCATTTTAAAGTTTATATGTGCTTGCTAAATGCGTACATCAATGCGTACAGACGAAACTAAACTGATTGAACAGCATAAAATTAGTTGAGCATTGGATTGGTGCAATCCTCGTGGACATGCTTGTCCTTGATATCGGACCCTCACTTATCACCACTGCCATGAAATCATTCACTTTGATGAAATATTTAGTTTGCATTGTCTTTAACAACTGAGAAATATAATGTGTATTTAAATGTATAGAAGACGCATTTTTTCGACCTTGGTTTTTTATATACTTATTTAATCCATCAACGACAAAAAATTCTCCAGAAGCAAGTTTTTACTAATAATAAGACCTGTCATGTCAATAAACAGGTTTTTGCATCACAATACAGAGCTAGGTTTTTGCGAATTACATCAACTCCATAGGAATATTTGTCTCTTGTCTTAATACTGACATGCCATATTTAATACATACATACATAAATATACGTTAATTTGAAATTCAAGGTTAAAACCCCTACTTGTCATGAATCACATGTAAACGTATTCCCTTGCGAAATGGCCCTTTTGAATAATTCACCGTTCAATTTCAGGACCACATTTTCGAGGTGGAGGAGATGTCTTTGGCGGAGGGGGAATTGGGGATGGTGGTGGACTCGGGTCGCGGAGGGACATCTTCCCCAGTCCAATGTGGCAGTTTAGAAGTTGCATTGGTAATTAATGCTCAAAGCATTTGTCATGTTTCAATTTATGTACTGGGAAATTTCTTGTAGGACTACGAAGCCGCCGCGAGGAAAATGACCGTGCATGTGATCCAAGGTTAGAAGTATACAGTGATAAAACAAAATTCGTCTTTTTGGTTCTGTAAAACGGTTGACGATGGCACAAAAGTTTGTCGTCCCGCAATTCACAATGATTTTTAGTAGTATTGAATGGACTGTTTTACATTGGTGACTTACTGACTCACAGGTTAAAAAATATTACAAATACATTATTATTTCTAGTTCGAGGAGTGCCTCCTAAAGACATGGGCGGAGCAAATAACACTCAAGTGAGTTGGGCGATATGCAAATTTTACATGACTTGGTCATTTAAATAATGAAATTTAGGACACTAATTATGCCGCAGCCAGCTAATCAATTCTTAATTGGTGTAGATTCGCCTGGTGCTGTTACCCGATAGGAAGCAGAAGCACAAGACAAAGGTTCGGCCAGGTGAACACCCATCTTTCATGGAGACCTTCGTGTTTAGCAAAGTTAATCCAGGTGAGTTGGCACACTAATAATATTGGCTTTTGTGCTACACATAAAACCATCAGTTTTGGTTAAGCGACATTTACCCAATTTTAATTGCTTGTCATGGCAGGCAGATTTTGTGGCTACTTTTGCAGTGCGACGGTGGGCGGGGTGCTCCTTCAATGTATATGCTTTAATTTAGGATGAATATATGCATATTCACATAGCAATTCCATTATTTCTGCATCCAATTTCACCAATTAAATGTTATTGATTAAGTTCGAAATTGTTTTCTGCACGAGTTCATAATTTACATACTTTGGCGGTTACGGTCACCTTCCAATAATGACCAATGCTCCCCAATTTATGTATTTTTGGAGTTGGTTAATATTAGCTAAACGACTCCGTGTATTACGTATGTTCTACCTAAATATACAAATTGGGAACCGTTTTTAACTAAATTCTGGGACAAATCGCTGCTGAGTATTATGGGATCTTTTTAGTAATCAATGGATAATTTATATTTCAGAGGACGTGAGTAGCCTGGGAATCCGTTTCCGACTTTATGGTTGTGAGCGTATGCGGAGGGAACGACTTCTTGGGGAGTGCATTTTAGGATTTGGCTCCTTACACTTGGAGATGGAAACAACAACATGGCTGAATTTCGAACCCCGTTATCATCTCTCGGTAAGCATAAAAATGCACACAGTTCAATACAAGCGTGCGAATTTACAACCTAAGATAAACATTGCAACAAGGAATTTAATTGTGTATAGATAGAACAGAGGAAAGTTTGGCACACACAAAATTTTCGGGCAGTAAGTCTCCTCAAAACATGAGTTTCCCATAAGAAGTTTGGTGTTTAATAATGAAATCATAGATCACCCTCAAGTGAGCGGTTTACTATTATAATAAATAGCAGAAATTCGAAACGTTTGTTTTTGCACGTGAAGTAGGTTGTTGTAAACAAAGAGTTATCCCTTCGAGGTATACAAGTAGGTACAAAAGTATGTACATGTGTATATAGTTATTCACATAGTTTGCTAGTTTTTGGTGCATTTGACATACATAAAGTGTAGTTGCCTTGATCTTCGTCATAGAATATATGTTCTAGTCTCAGGAGAAATCCAATCCTCTTATCATAATTAGTTTAATGGGCTAGTCAACTACAATATTTATTACAGTGGGACTCGAAATCAGAGACTGCAAGTTTAAGTAGAAGTGACAGCGCATCGTCCACGACCTCCATCCAAAGTGGAATCCCTGAGCTCTTAGTAGGTCTCGCGTATAATGGTAAGTTGACGCGTAGAAGTTCCTAACCTAACGCTTTAAATCTTGGCAATATTAAATTCACACGAACAAGTCATATCCCATTATGCTAAAATATTTCAAACAATGTTCAAACAATGTGTTCCATTATCCAGGTACGACGGGTCGACTAACGGTGGAGATCATTAAGGGAAGCCATTTTCGGTACGTACTTATTTAACGTTCATACTTTACTGCAAAAGTTTAATCATGCAATTAAATGGATAAGGAAATTAGCCAGGTTTCCAGTAAATTTTTCACTAAAAAACTTTCCCAAATTTCTCAAAGGTGTCATTATCCACCCACATGCATTTATTTTTCATCAGTAGCCATAAAATATATGAATCTCATTTTCAGTTGGTTATTAAATGGGAATTTGATTTAATGGATTCGTACAACAGATGGGAAGCATTTTCGTTTTATCGGGTAGTGAATTTCTATTTTAAAATGGACTTTGTATATAAAACCTCGGCATTAGCTTCGGACGGTCTGACCCTTAGACCTTTCCCTGAACTATTAATGTATTTTTGACAGTTTAAGCTAATTTTAGTCGATACATAGGCATTATAATTTTAGTCCAAGTAGTTCCAGGTTTCCAAATTTCATAAAAAAAATAATGTCATCCGTATGACGAATGTGACGCAAGGTCAAAATATTCAAAACACAACTATTCGTCGAAGTATGGGCTATTTCTATTTTAACAAAAAATAACAAGATACCGATTTCCGTTTCACTTAACGGGCTGAACTATTCATTGACATATTAAAAGCAAAATTCTAGAAAAGAGAGGCTTCCTCCTACTCTACCACACAATGTATCTGGCCCATTTCAGCTTTGAGAGATCTTTTCGCTTTCACTGAACTCGTTTTGACTGCATCGCAGTGCTCCGGAGTTTTCATGAGGTTCATGGTTTGGAGAGTTGAGTTCCTGCGGCAATGGAATTGAGAGCAACATCGTAGAAAAAAGAAGACAGATCGTCGACTCAAAGTCAAGTGCTTCACTTTCTTTATTCCTTTCTCCCGTCGAAGAGAGAGGCACTTTCGCCGGTGGTGGCGGATCTCTGCTGTCTGCAGAATAGTGATGCTGGTTATCTCTAAAAAACGAGACTACATGGTTGGCTACATTGACTACTCTTGTATGTATTGAGCAGTTAGTTTAACTTCTGCTCTCATCCATTCTTCGCTCTTTCGGTTTTTGCATTTCCTAACTTTCTCTTCTCTCGGAAAAGGGAGAGGAGAAAGCTGGCCCAATTTGTGGTGGCTGCAGACGAGGAGCATAAATTCAACCATTTACATTCCACTCAATTCAACACATTCCCATCTGTCTTTGCCCGTTCGACCAATTTCAAAAATTTCTTGGGTTTACGATTGATGTTCAATTTGTCCCATGGTGAGTGGGTCGTTATGGCCGACTGAATCACGCAGGATAGATGACGACGGGATCAGAGAGTTATTTTTCTGCTATGCCAAATAGCGTTTTATTTTATTAAGAAACCGAGTGCACGTACCAGGTCACTGACGGTTCACTGTTTGGCTGATGGATGACTTGTTTTATTTACAGACAACTTGCTGGGGGGAAAGCACCTGATTCCTACGTAAAGCTCGTTCTTGTCAGCTGCACTGGACAGGAAATGGGGAGGTCCAAGACGTCGTTGCGGAGAGCACAGTCAAATCCTTTGTTCAAGGAAACTTTCATGTTCCAGGTAAATACGTACATCAGTGTTTTAATATGTCATCAATCATAATTTTTCACTTTTCCAGAACCCACAATAGAATATATTATAGCTAAATACATTAGTAAAAAAACAATTATTCAAGCAATTATTGCAATTACATACAACTCGAATGGCTCGTGTTGTTGGTCCTGTATTTTTGGAACATTATGAACAAAGGCTGATTACTGATTGATACATATTTTTCTACGACTTTCCGATAATTGAAAGGTTACTCACACTGCTACAAACTTTGTCTGGTTGCAGGTGGCTTTGTTCCAAGTACAAGAGGTGACCTTGTTGGTATCGGTCTACGGCAGGAAAGGAGTCACGAGGCGAGAACTTCTCGGCTGGTTTGCCCTTGGTTATAATAGCTCTGGCGATGAAGAAACGACGCATTGGGAGGATATGTGTGACGCGCAGGGCGATCAAATGTGTCGATGGCATGTTCTACAAACTTAAGAAATGTCGACTCTACTTGACTACTAAATACTTGATCTCTGAAAATGCATCGAATTGACAACGTGTGAATCTCACTGCTGGAATGTACCACTAAAAATTTTTGGAGGAAATTGCTAAATATTTCCAACAAACCAATTGTATCCTAGTCAATGTAACTGCTTTGGAATTGAACCATTTAACCTGATCCATGTCATCAAAATTTGTCTATATACATACGTAATGTAGGATTTCAAGCTGTCATCATCAATTGTAACCACCTTCTTCCTTTGTGGATTTCAAGTAACGAGTCCGGCTGAATCAATGCAACGACCACACGTACATTTATGTAAAGGTCCATAAGTTTGATAGTTGACTTACTCAACCACTTGTTACATCTTTGTGCAAATGCTTTGGTGGAGACATGCAGAATGGAATTGTTTGTGATATTTACAATTTATCCATTTAACTAATTACTTAATTGTAACCTATAACCTTACATTTTAAACTATATTTAACTAAGAACTTCTTCAACTTGAATTGAAGAATCTTTCCAATGATCTCAATCTAGTCATAACTTGGTCAAGTTGGTCAAAACTTGTCCGATTTAAGCCATTTCAGAAACATTATTACTATACATAGATGAAACCTTATTACCGTCTAGTTTTATAAATCGCACGTTCTCGCACTTTTACAAAACTTACACAAAACAGCATATTAATTACTTAATAATATCAAGTTGGCTGGTATGATCGTTTCCTGCCTACACATCACTCACACACATACTCCAAATGTTCCCCGTCTGTACAAAATGTATAAATCTTGCCGTGTCATACGATTACATATATTAAACACTAGATATATAATTATTATACAGAAACATATGGTCGCTCATCATCCGATATGCATCTTAGGCATTGGAGGAAGAGTGGCGCAATTTCCGGCAAATGCATTTAATAGATTAAGTCCATAAATTCCAGTGGAAATTTGGAATTTATGAAGAAAAAACGATTATTGATGATGATCACATTTGAAAAAAAGAATTATCGTCATTTCACAAATTATTTAAGTTGGTGTTGAAATATTCAACGTAATCAGTGATAAAAACCTAACTTCAAACGCAAACAACAGCCAAACCCTTCTGAACTGACGCAACTCTATAAAATTAGGTACTAAAAATCTACCACCATCGCTTATTATTCTACCCTTTACTACATTTGTAGGACCGAGTTGTTGATTGAGACCAAATACGTGATTTTAAAAAAAAACCAAAGCATCAACTCCATTAATCTATAAAGTATTTACTCTTTAACAAATAATTAATAAAATTGTCCAATATAATTCACCTCAAAAGATTCACAACCCTTATTGATGAATGCGTGATTTAAACAACTTTGAGCTTTAAAGTCCCATTATTGCTATGTGTACATATGTACTCCGTATACATACATTTACTGTTTTTGGTTAACCAGTACAGTTTCTATTTAACAACCTTGTAAATTATAATGTAAGTCGTTTCTTCCCAATTTCTTGTCGGTGCATTGTTGAGCTGCGGTGGTCAGTGGTTGGTGAAAGTTTTGTGTAGCGTTCAAGTTGTCTTGTCTTTTCTGCATATAAAATATGATGGTGGCAATTGTACAATTGATTTCCCTAAATTTACATTGAAGGAGACAATTGATTGCCGAGGCGTTCCCGACAATCTCTTATTTAACCTCAAAAGAGCTGCAACGCTCGGTAATTTAATTAAAGTTAGTGATTCTACTAGTAGCACTCGTTTTGTGTTGTGTTGTCTCAAATTATTCTTTTGTATTGATTTTAAACACCGTGTCTTGTCGGAGCTATTTCTCTTTAGTTTTTAATACAGGCGAAATCCCAATAATTTTGTTCTGACCTACTTAAAATAAGTAGTTTGCACTACTTTCCAGTGCTTCCTGTGTCGCTTGACCTTTATTACCTTTTAATCATTCAAATTCAATGTCTCGACTGTCTCCATTTGATTTTCTTTACAGTTTCCAACCAAAAAATTGTAATACAGACAAAACTGTACACATTCTGCACATTGAACTTTGTCAAAATTTAAATGGTTATATTCAGTATGTATCTATTATTGTATCCAAAAAAAATTCTGAAATCTGACAAACCTGACAAGCTAAATTATTTATTCCGACTGCACTTTTAAAATATTTAGGATAATTTGCATGAGAATATCAAGCCACTAAATATAGATAATTTCGTACAGCACAAATTTTGGCCTTGATAACTACACAATATAATTGATCTATTTATTAAATTATTTATATATTATGCTACTGTGTCAGGTGTAAAATTGGATCTTATTAAAATTAGATATATTTACACATTATTGTTAAAAAGTGACAAGGAATGTGACGTTTCCTCTTTACTACGGAGGTCAATGGAATAGCGTGCGTCTCAAATATGCCACTATCACATTTGACAGGTAAATAATTAGGGTATGTACATAAATATTGAAGACATTACTAAAGCGGTTAATGAGACTTGTGATCATGGAAGGGGAGTTGTGTGTAGAGACACAGGACTTGGGAGGATTGTCGTGTGTGTACCATTATTATTGCTATTATTCTGTGTATGTCTGTGTCTGTTATTTGTCCTGAGTACTGTGACTTAAGACGGAGCGTGTGGGTTGAAGTTGATTCATTTCAAGAGTTTCGATAAAACGGAACTTCTTGCAGGAATCAAGGAGCTGGCACCAAGATGAGTACTAAAACCATTAGAGAAGGAAATGGACGGAGGTGCAGTCGTAGTATTTCGACATTTGGGTGGTTCACCCCCCAAAAGTCGTCACCACTGCGGAATACTGCCCTCTCATGTCTATGGACTTGACAAGTTGTTGAAAAGTGATTGTTCACGTAAACGCACATTTAAAGTTATGATAAGTTGTAAACTGATAAGAGTTTGGCTGAGGTTAGGAAAGAGCACAACCTGTGTCGGTACATATATAGCAAATTAGCGTATTATGGATGTCGTGTCTTCTGATTACTAACTAAGGTAAATGGTTTTGGAGAAAGTAAAAAAAATTGCAGCAACTTGTTACATGTTTGTATTAAATCCCCAAATTTGCGGATTTGTGGACATATATTTTAACAAAATTTCAGTATTATTACCATTATTGCGTCTTAATCTGTTTTGTTATATTTAAGTATGTACAAATATGATAAAAGGACACAGGATTTAGCGTATTACACCAACAAACAGGACGGACTCGTCTGTGTATTTGACCTGGATGGTAACATGAAGGACTTGACTGTGAAAGCACAAATTTTGAGAATTTTTGACTAGGATATATATCTGCATATATTTACATATACTTACATATATGTGTGCATAATGCTTATGATTTTAAGGTGGATTTTCACACGTTGAAATTCCCAATAACTTAACTGGTAATTGTCAATTGACCGTTCCATGAGTAAGAAGTGTATAAAGTAATATATAGTTTATATACATACAAAATTTCATATTGGGCATGCCTTACAGCATGCTACATGTTGTGTAAAGTCTAAGAAGTGTTTTATATTACATTAAAAGTTACATTCCTATCATAATTTGTATGCAACCCAACTGCACGCTTCTAATCATTCTCAAGTTGTCCACGATTACAAAGAACCATTACGATGTACTTACTTTACTTGATAAATACACTAATTTTGCTAATGCTAATATTTTGATGATGATGAATTTTCCACTAATTAACTGGCTGGGTGGAGTACAGGCGTGAATGATGAGTTTGCATAATATTTTTTAACTCGTACCAACTCATCCCTATATCTTTACAACCTAGCTGTTACCTTCTAAATGTAGTTTTGTATTCATGAATTATAATGATAAATAATTACGATTGGTAATGTTTACTCAAACAGTACCGGAAGGAAGTAAAATAACGATTTATTATGGTTACGCGTGGTGGTGAAAATAATTCACATTTCAATGTTCCACAGATTAATAAGAAAACTATTTAAAAAAATCTTCTCAATTACAATTAATTCAACTTTAAACTTGTATTTAGTCATCTTTTCTTCTGTCTCAACAAACTGTTGTAAAAATTAATTCAACAGCTGCAATTAAGTGGACTGTGTATAATCCAGTTGATTATTTCATTCCAACCAGAACACCAAAGTTTAAAAAGTTATCAAAATCGGATGAATAATAATAATCAGGATATGATTTTGTCAACCTACACCAATATTTACAACCAGTAAAATAAATTGTTCCTTGAACTGTGAAAATATAAACATGGATTTGGTCAATTTCTTTATTGATTAAAAATATTCTCATTTTAATTTTATAAAAATGGCTCTTCAGAAATATATAAAACACTATTATTTTTATCTCCATACGTTCCATCACTAAAATATATATTCATATCGCATTTACTTTTTATCATTCACGGCTGTAGACATTGCAGACGAAGGTGCTGTGACTCCATTGCCAATTCCACTCGTCAATTTCCCATCTTTAGAGTGACGCCATTTCATCCTTCTGTTTTGGAACCAAACCTTGACCTTTAATGCATACAGGTGCATAAATTAGCAATATATTTATGGATACTGTCCGTTGCCGATGACCGTTGCGCCCACCGTCACCCCGGGCAGGAGACAAATGATATGTTCATATGCAAGTCTAAAGTTCTTACCTGTGCATCAGTTAGTCCGAGTGTTGCAGCCAATTGTCGCCTGTCAGGTTTGGTGATGTACTTTTGAATTTGAAACCGCTTCTCCAAACCTTTTCGCTGCAAACTGGAAAATACTGCTCGCGACCAGGAACGCTTCCTCCTCCCTCCGCCCGACACCGAACTGCAGCCAACGAGTGAGGACATTGTCGAAAAGTTGGAAGCGTTGAGTCCATAAGTTGATGGGAGGCCAGAAGATGGGTGGTGATAAGCTGGGTGAGGAAATAAGTACATATTAGATATATAGCAGCATATATATTAAAAGAATTATATGCATTCAGTGAAATAAGTATAATTCTTGCAACAGATCAACAGCAGCAGTCTCATTTTTGTTGAGTGACAAATGATAGCACTCATAAAAATAACTGTGAATCATCTGTCATCACTGTCATGCACATCATCATCTTTGAACACAAAACCACCAAAATCAATAAAAAACATGAACCGTGAATGTCAAAAAGTGTTAATTTATCCTGACGTAGAACTAACGATTTCTTTGATAAACCTCAAAGAAAGGTCCTTTCAGCATGCACCCATGTTATTGAGTTGTATAACCTTCAAAACTGTGTTGAGTTGAGAAATATATACTTATTTAAGAAATTGCCCACTTCTTGGTTGGTGGCAGAGTAAAAGTAACAACCATGTAGAACCGGCATCGTATGTATACTTTAAAGGCCCACTTGTAATTTGATACTTTTTAGTGTAAAATGATACTCAAGTTGTTCTTGTGTGCTAACAAAACATCACCAACATCATCTCTGGTGTTTAATGCAATCAGTTGAATATCTACTTTCTCAGGACAATTTAACGCTATTACATGTCAACAGTTTGCATACTGTTGAACAGGCATGTGTATTATCAAAAAACAAATCGAGCCTAATTTATTTTACGCATTTATATATACCAAGCAAGCTAAAAATTATTGAAGTTAAAATATAAATAAATCTGGAAAATAGCAACAGAATTGAATTATCTCAAAATGCCCCTTGTACAGACACGGTATATTTCAAAGCGTCTACGCTGCCGTGCCTAACAGAATATGTACGGCATATTATGCATGTCGTAGACAGCAGTATCTTTGTGATTATTATACCAAAAATAATCCAAAGAAATCGAATGACAATATTTTTGGCCCTTCTGGAAGGATGTCCGGCCAGATCTGTCCGGCCAGAGGGATAATCAGATCTGGAGTTTTATTTCGCCTCGATCCGTAACAGTCATCAGTTTGTCGGCACATCTTTAGCATTCAAGAGTTTTATTGCATTTCTTCATTGGATAAAGTCTCACATTTCGCGTAATGTAAACAGTTTTCATTTCTACAATTCGTTTATGACCTTATGATGATTATTATTATTATTGTACCAAACATTGAAGTTTTAGATTGCGAAAGTGTTTTCTTTTTATATTTTAGTTATGCTCACTGCTTAACTATCTATTCCAGGAACTGTCTAATGTGTGCACGGACAAAATTCAGACTAGCTTGTTGATGCTTCATAATATGAATCATTTATTGTGGTGCCGATTTTTAATGGTTTCACAAATTGCCAATATTGAGTTTCGCATTCCATTCATGGCCAGAATTTGACATGGTGGTCCAAGATAGTCATTGAGACGTCTGAGAGGTGGACATAAAATTGAAAAGCCTTCCCCATACGTAATTAATAATCTACCAAAATAGTACACAAGCCCTAGATATTTTTTATGATAACAGGTCACCCGCATTCGAAAAAATTACACCACGTCTGCCCTCACCGATTTTATGATCGCTTGCACCATACCTCGCAATCCAACGTAACCACTAATTTCGGAGAATTACTGTACCTGACGAAGGCACAAGTTTGCCGTCTAATTTACAGGCGGATTGTTTTAATTAAAAAACGCTATAACTCAAAGTGACTGACAAACCTGATGGCGAGAGGAGCGGCGAGTTTTCGTAAATTGAAGAAGACATCCACGGATGAGAGAAAGGGGCGGAGATTGCAGAGCTGGGTCCACCAGTCGCAGCCCCACCAACGCTGACCGCTCCTGGCGAAGAGTTGACTAACAGCGGGGAATACTGTAAATTCTCATTGTTTCTGCAATATCTCCCTAAAAAGAAGCATTCTGTGCATCGCAGAGAGCTCGATGCATTATTGTGGTGAAAGTTGGGATGTCTGTGGTGGTGGTGGTGCTGTTGATGATGGAAACCAAGATTACTGTGGCGAATGGAAACGTTGAGATCCCCGTTAGAAATCGTCTTTGAAATGTGACAGTAGGATGGCTCATCCGATGTCGCAAGGGGAGATGATTCGTCATCTGATTCTAGGTGGTTGACAAAAGAGTATATTTATTAATAAGTGATGTACATTGAGGATGGGGAAAGGTGGGGAAAGTGAGACAACTAAAATTATCAGCAAAATTGATGATTGCAGGCGAAGGTTTTCTCCCAATAGTCAAGTGTTGGGAGAAAGTGTGTAATTTTTAAATGCATGAATGACTAATGATGAATAATGAATAACAGATATTCTGTTACCTTTTGTTGTCTCAACTTCTGGACTGGAATTCTCGTCTGATAAGATTCTGTCAATTCCAAATGACAATTTGGGCTTGGAGGAAACTTGAGATTGCGTTGTTGTAGTCTTTTTGTCATTAAATAATTCAGCTTGATATGATTGGTGTCGCGGTTTGTTGTAGTCAGCAAAAACATGGTTATTTGAATTGAGATCCATTTGCAACTTTTTTTCTCGCAATTCATATTCCATTTTTATCAAAATATCTGCATGATTTATGCTCATTGAATTGATCTGGGCTAAAGGCTCTATATCTTCATGATGATGATGAGGATGGAATGCAGACGACCGATGCGATCCAGTACTTTTTCTCTGTAGTTTTTCACGTCCAGTGGTTTCAGAAGAGGAGGATCGATTATGTTCCGGGGAAGATGACACACTCAGAGAAGACACCGAGTCGTAGTTCACTCTCTTTGCTTTTTTCGATACCGGAGAACAATCTGACACTGTATTTTTAGTTTTGGGAATTTTCACCGACTTCTCACTTTCATGACCATTGCACCGATTTGGTGTGTCTGTTGGATGAAGGAAGGATTCTGATTCAGAAATTATTTCTGGAGAACTTGTGTTGCTGCTTCTGTCGAATTCTGAATGTACTGAAGATGGTAATGATTCACCGCTCATCCCTTCAGCATCAATGTAACTTTCTCGACTCTCGTCGTCGGAACAGTTTGCAGATTTTTTGGAGCACATTTTGAAAAAAACTATTCTCAATGCTTTTTTAAGTACTTCACAATCCTGAACTATTTATTATTGTTTGTCAAGTAATTATTGATGAAAAGTTAAAACTTTGGGCAACTTGGAAATGACCGAATGCCGGTATGTTTTCTATGTGCGTGTGTTGTTGTTACCTCTCGAATGTCTGGAATTAGATTGACCGATTAGTTCTCAAAAGAGGAGAAAAAGTCAATATCGTAATATGGATGGGGGTGAAGATTCCTAAGCACCAAGCATATTTGTTTTATTACGTGAACGGCTCAGGAGAAGATGAAGTGAATAATACTCGTGAGCTTATGGATAGCCCGAGAACCACAACTTAACCAACCACAAAATTTATTTGAGTTTGAGAAGGATTCGGATTTACGTTATCTTCTGGTCCTCCTTGTTTCAAATCTTGGATCTTCATCTGGGTCCTCCTCGTAAGCCTCGATCTCATTGGGCAGGAGGCAGAGATGAATGCGTTTGTATTGTTTACGAAAGATCTTTCTACAGTTAAACTATTATGGTTATGTGGGGATGATCCCACTACTTGCTCACCACCAGTAAAGCAACGCAACTTAAGAAGCAATATGTTCTCTTAATACAACAATTTTCATAAAAAATATCGCTGTATAAGTATGCTCATTTATGTATCTATGTACAGCGTGATGCAAAGATTATGCATGTGAGGTCCTTGAGTGAGAAAGGCAGAAACCAGCTTCAGATGAGTTGCTCATTCAATGCCAACCCATAATTTTGAGAGCATGATAAATTAATTCTAAATACTGCAAAATTTCTGCAGTAAATAAATTTCAATTTTATTGGATTTCTAGTTATGGCAATTTATTGTATTTTGTTAAGGGGGGAAACCAATACTTTGGTGGTTCACTAATCCATTATTGTAAAAATTCAGTAGATTGTGGGCTCTTCTAAGGATCGTGGTAAAAGCGAGTGTAAAGGTGATGGCAGAGAACTATAAAGTTAAACGATGGGCGGAGTTGGAGACCACACGTCTTCACACCCAATCATCCATCCTACTTGCCTAATCCTAAATTTGATGCGTGATAGCAGTCGTCCATACAATGAAAACATACAAAAACAATAAATCGTCTTCAACACGAGGAAAAACAAATAGTTTTATTTGTATGCATATTATCCTCCGATTTCACCAACATTGATCATTCTCTCTCCATTTTTCCTCTTTATATATGATTTTGTTTTACAGGACAAATATGAGAAAAGTGTTTAAATCAGAACTTTAATAAGTGCAAATGCATGCTAAATTATAAATAAGGTATGTATTGGAGCAAGATAAATACAGCAATTTGCCAGAAATCGAACATTATAAAGCAATGAATTAGTATTTAGAAGCTCATAACCATCAAGCTGTCCATTATCGAATTTTATTTTATTCTCGTTGTTGAATAATAATAATAAATCACCCAACGATGCAATAAATATTAATGTTATTAATATTAGTGGACATGATAACACGGATTTTACACCTTGGCGTTGGTGTACGAAGGCCCTGTGCTTTCTTCACACGAGTGGTGGTGGTGGTTGGTGGTGTTGACTTTGGAGGAGGAAGTGGCCCCCTGCAGAGGATCTACCTGATTCAATTACCTCAATAAAAGGCATACCGTACCCCACTGGCAGCTGCTTCAAGATCAATTCCTGGCTTGCTGTTTGAAATTTTTGACTGACTTTTGAACCCATTTATCACAGCGATTTCAGTCTGACCACCTCCACGACTAGGATGCAATAACAATAAAACAAGTCTAATATTTAATTCATCTCATCTCCAACCACTTCTATCTCCTTCATGCCTTTCCCACCGACTTGCTCTAAACCATAGCCTGACCATGAAATTAAATGCAAATACAAAATATTATAAATTATCATGAAGTAAATTATGTGTTGCTCAACGGAGAGGGCACAAATATGTACGTACAACCCTATGCATTAAGTGCATGTGGACGGATGCAGAAGAAAAGAAGAACAAGAACTTGACCACGTAAGTAAGGACGGATTCAATGGGTATCACTTTTTGATCATCTTTTTGATGTGGAGCCTTATTTTCATTGTACATAATTTATTTATTATCCCAATTTAACAAACGTCACTTTCATGTCAAATTAGACGCAAACAAATTACTTGAATCACACAAATATCACTTGATGTTAAAATTCGTTGGAGCAAAAGTTTTGATTTTCACACCTGTAACTAAATTACTTGAACTTTGAACTTGACAAAATATGATCGAGTCATTTTTCTGTGACTGTAAAGTTTATGAGTCACCCTCAGAGATTGAAATTAAAATAACTGCTTTTATTTATAAGTAAAAATAGTATTAAACGCAAATCTATAATCCGTTATGTGTTTAATAACCATCAACTTTATCACACTCTGGATTTGTTCTGCTCTATTTTATTTCAGTCTTTCATTTCATGTCCATCCATCTAACGAAACCATCCTTTTTCTCAATCTCCTACGTTGAGACGCTTTATACCAAGGGAGGAAACATTACATTGGTCACACCGCATAATGTAATGTCCACACATACATACATACAGAATCACACAAATATTTATAATGATATTCATTTTTACATGTTGTGGGCAAAACGATAAATTTTGTTGTTGGAGCATTAAAACCCTTTACAGCATAAAATTTACAACTAAATGCGGAGTGATTTCTCATTTGTCTCTCTCAACGTCTCAACACGATTCAGAACTATTTGTTTTTATGGAAGTGGTGGACCTCCCTCCTCGTCACCTCACATTGGCTTTGTCAGGGCACATATTTTTGACGCCTGTTGGCAGAAATGTAAAAGAGTCCATAACGCTGTCAGGGGTCCCGCTTACAAGCACTTTAGCAAACCGTAGAACTATCATCATGTCCATGGTCCATCCCTGCAGTCCCCAATTTTATGGCCGCCTATAACTTGCCTCATCCTCCTTGGAAGTGGAGGTTCCTCGCAGGGCCTTCCGCTAGCTCATGGCCCGTCGCAATTACTCTCCAACTCTAAACAACTAATCTACATTTAAATATCGTGATAAGGCCGCATGAGGTCTGCAAGCTGGTTAAATTATTATTTGTTGAACAAATTCCATCCGTAAAGGAAATTTATTTATTATTTCCATTACATATTCAGCAAGAACTGCCTCGTTTGTCTTATATCATCCGAATAGCTAATGTCTTGGGCACATTAATTAAATAATTGCATGTGAATGAATTTTCCATATTGGAAATGAAATAGATCGTTTTAAACATAATTATGACCATAATAATTTCTTAAAAACGTAATATTATTATATTTAGTGATAATGGCCCATTATTACAACAAATGTGGCAATAGACCATCAGAATCAAAAGAGATCTACTATTTACTACTACTAGTCACCAACCAGCACAATAAATAAGAAGCTTTATCATCATCGCTCACATAATAATATTAATAATGCATATTAGACATGAGGGTGAAACAAAGTGAGAATGGGAGAGCAACGGACCATCATCTGAAATGTTCATAAAGTCAAAAGTGTTAGGAAATGATGCATTGTCATCCCATGAAAGAAACTCCTGCTGGTCCTGGTTAAGTTTGATTTATTTCCAACCAAGAATGCCTTTACGTGCCTCTCCTACTAATTGGACAAGTGTGGCCTTTTCAAATTAATTATCATCAAGTAAACCATTTTCGACGTGATTCTTCGGTCCTTTTCTGTATTAAACTTGTGAGAAGTCTGATGCACGAAATATATGGGATTTTATAGTTTAAAAACATGTACATATCATAGCCATACATACGCACACATTTCATACATATTTGCTTCTTCTAACAGATCTCTCACACTTGAGGTAAATATTTAGCCATAGTATTTAGCACAGTGGATGGACGCAGATTGCTGGCATCGCTCATATCTTGCATGCTATTGTAAAATTTGCAAAAATTTGGTACAATTTTTTTGCGATTGAATATATATTCCGTTTGAGGCAAGACAATAATAATAAATGTAAAATCTATGAATCATGAAATAGCTTGTTAATTTTTGCATGAAATTATAAGCAAACTGAAACTACTTACATAATTGCATGGCTTGGGCTTGCGTAAGGATGTGAAGAGTGGACGAGAGCTGTGAGTTGTGAGAGGCTAAAGCCGGAGGTGAAAAATTGGAACTTTTAACCGAGCCAAGTTCAACCAGAACCTAACCCATAAAGTTTAATTCTGTTTTCTCCTAAAAAACAATCACGTAATTTTTGGTTCTTCAAAATTTTTAAAGGTTCGAAATTTGTGTGTATAATATATGGCAAGTGGTGATTGTTGTGTTGGTGCTGTCCGTTTTTGGTCTAATAATACAAGTTCAATGGTCAATAATCGGACTATGTACTAGGATGTGATTTTCAAATAAAAATGGCAATCATCATACATTAAATGACTCACCTTGTTTAATTAAACAAACAACGACATGACAATTAATGACGTAATCATATAAGTTTAACATTATATTCTTAACTTTCTAGCATCATGTACAGTGTGCATGCAAACTGAGAGTTGATCTGTTTTAATTTTAATCAAATTTGAACTCGACCGGATTTAGGACCATTCAAGTTTCATTAGGTGAGTTTCATTTTCCATCATATTTAGTAAAGTAATTTTATTAAAGTAATTGTATTAAATATAATTTTGAACAGCACTTTGTATTTACATACTGCATAAAATGAAATTTCTTACTTGTTCACTTGTATATAAGGTGTAGGTGTTACATATACATAGTTGATAGTATTTAGAATCTTGCCTTGTTGTTTAGAATGTGTGAGAATTTTTCAAAATCTTTCACCGCATTATATTATGTGGTTTAATTTTGAATTGCATAATTGAATAATATATGTACACATCAAGGCTTTTGTATGCAGTCTTTCTGAGCTGCAGTTTTCGTCACGTGACTGCCCGAAATCCACCCGAGTCATAGCTCGGGTGCGCCACCACCGCACGAAACCCGTTCCTATTGGTGCTCGTCGGATCACATGACGAAAACTGCAGCTCAGAAAGACTGCATACAAAAGCCTTGGTACACATATACAATACGGTACCCAATCCGGCAATATCATGTTTACAAAAAAATTCAGTTCAGATTGTGGCTTAATATTCATATGTCAATCAAATTTTTAGTATGTTCGTGATAAACAATGCTGATACGGTAAAATAACTATCTAGGATAAAGAAAATCCGATAAAAATTGGATTTTTGGCGAAGGTTTGAATGCGGCCAGTTTAGCGTGTGGGGCGCGTGGGGCGCACAAACTCTCCTCAATAGGATTATGAATAGTACCATTTTGCCGGATACGAAATGGGGCATGCCTGATGCTTTTGAGCATATTATACCGTAAATCTACGAAGCTCGGAAGAAGGTGGCACCTTGAAGGTGCATAATTTATGAAATCAAAGCCATATGAATTTATGAAATGAAAGCCAGTTGTAAAAATCACTCATCATAGATCTAATAGCATCACACAACGTTTTTAAGTAAATATGGAGAACATATCTAGAAAGCACTGGTCCAACTTCTGTCCATAATAATAAAAATAATGAGCGGTGTATGAATTGATTGAGTATTGGATAATGATGTCAACCAAGTACATCACCACACACACAATAGAATAAAATCCAAGAAGGGTATCATCGTCATCATCCTTTTCTTCTTCTGATTCCCTTCTCGAGCCTCGTCGTCAGGAACTAAGACGTTGGTCGCTTTTATCATACATAAACATCGCCAAACAAAGCCAGCAGACTCTGAGATGATTGAAGACATGAATGAATGGATAAAGTACAGGAAATGAGGAATTGAGATGCTTGGCAATAATAGGACTAATACGTGATGATAATTCGACTTTTTCCTTGTATGGCTATTACTGTCTGTCACATTCATGTTGGTTGTCTGTTGTTTATAACATTGTAATCCATAAGTTTAATTTTTACTGATTGAAAATTGAGGGGTGGAGAAAATAAATCAAATCGAGGAGATTAAATTTGACATTTATATTTAAAGTAAAGTAGCATCAGCTTCATTCAACCACACCTTTGTAGGTCCAATAACTGAAACAAATCCAAATCTGAGATGTCAATCGTCAAATTATGCTGTATTTTATGTACATGATCTGATGAGATGAAGATATTTAATAAAAGCCTGCACAGTATTGTCTTCGTAATAATGCATTAGAAACAATGACTTTTTAAAGGCGGTTGCTCTGATGGTTATCAGCTAAACTGTTCAAAATTTCATATGTGACTAGCTTCTGTCTCTCTTTCTCTCCCTCTATTTTACAAATAGGTTTTGGATGAAAAAACGGTTGAATTTACAGTCAGATTATTGAGATAATCTGTTATGGACAAAGGGTGAGGGTCCTCTTTATTGTTTTGAATTTTTAAATGAATGAATGACTGACTGACAAATGGTAAGGGAGGATAATAGATAATAAATGAATTCTTAAAAAAAAGCTTAGGTGAGGCTTGCTTAAAAGAGGAAAACAAGCTGTTATCATCGTGTACTAAAATAATATGCGAAGTCAATGCTCATCTCACGATTTATAATTTTTGGCAAATATAACAGCAAATTATATGCGTTTGGGACAATATACCTCGCCGTGGGCCGTGATTAAATGTTTGATATAAATATATCTTTTAATGATCATAGCTAAATTTGAACTATATTTAGCTATGATACGTATTGCAGTAATTAAACTTCGTTATTATTTGATTCTGTTATTTTTGATGACTTGCATGAATATGTTTCAAAAATCAGCCTACATATATTTGAAAAATTAAGTGTTCTGAACTATAATATTTTATATTATAAATAACCCACACTTCGTAAATTTGATCAGCAAGCGATTATTAATAACGAAATTAACTAAATCCCGCATCATTCCGTATGAATTATTTATCGACATTGGACACTAATAAATTTTAAAATATATTTTAATTCTTCGTATCACAAACTGGCCCACGGCGAGGTATATTGTCCCAAACGCATATAATTTGCTGTTATATTTGCCAAAAATTATAAATCGTGAGATGAGCATTGACTTCGCATATTATTTTAGTACACGATGATAACAGCTTGTTTTCCTCTTTTAAGCAAGCCTCACCTAAGCTTTTTTTTAAGAATTCATTTATTTTTTTGTTTTTAAGCCTAAAAATAAGAGTCCCTCCCAAATTCACTTCACCATCCCCTATGGTATAGATGCATTGCATTGCATACCAAATTAATTATAACCTTTGAGTGCGGATGCGTTACATATCAGATAAATTCCCTATATGTAAGTGTAAATACACTGTAGAAATCTGGTATATTCAGGTAGGTATTGTTTTCTCAGTATCTAAGTTCCTGCGTGGTATTAAAATTATACCGGTCCGTAAAAATTTGCTGCCGATATGGCAAAACTTTAGTACGGAGCTATTACATGTTCTATTACACTCTTAAAAACCCGGTGTTAATCGTCACCAAACGGTGTGCGTATGTGACTTCACCGTGCGGTAATAAGGTGTCTCACCTAAAATTAACACTAGCTAGTGACAATTTGTCCCCATGCCTGGAAGATTTATCATCAGGCTGTGAAAAACATATCACCTTTTGGTTAAGTGGCATATTTACACCGTTTGGTTACGATTAGCACCGGGTTTTAAGAGTGTACATTCTTAACTTCAGTTAAGAGTGTGCATAAATATTAGATATACACATAATATATGTAGATGTACATATTTCCATACGCCAGTACAGGTCTCAATTGTTTCACTTATGTTGGTTACTAATGGAAACCTCGTATTTAGGTATGCATGATAAGTAATGGAGGACTGCTAGAAGTAACGTAACTGGTTGCAGATACCACCAAGAAAAGTTTTTCATTTCTTATCCGATTTCGCTCGGGTTTGCTTTAAATGACGCGTTATAGATTTCTGCACATGAAAATCAGGGTCTCACACTATCATTGCATGGAAGAAATGAATTTGCCAGTCGTTTGAAAGTTTAAAATCGATTTTAAATGCGTTAAAGTAAGATTGCCATGTCTCTAGACCTGACGGGCATCATCTACCCAGCAAGGTCTGCACGATTGTCTTTTACACCATTTTGATACGATTAGCCGTTTTGTCACAAACTTGAGTGGAACTTTGGGAGGGGGTCTGTTTGCATTCTTAAGGTGCGTTTATGCTTCACGTCTTCGTCACGTCCTCCTCCAAATCCGATTTTTTGACTGGTTAAAATTTTTAATTGTCGTAGTGATAATTTCGTTCAGCCAATCAAAAAATCGGATTTGAAGGAGGACGTGACGATGACGTGAAGTATAAACACCACTTTAGGCTTCGCCGTAACCATGCACTTTTTCATGTGGTCATGGTTACTATGCCTCACCTAAGAATAATGTGGTTTAAGACAATATCGGTTTATGGTATGATCCATGACAATTCGAAAACAAGAAGTGTGATTGAATATACTGTTCGATCTTATTTACTTCACTAATGCTACATGAATAAATCAGGAGTAAGAATAAGGGTCGATTCTTCGGTCAGGTTGAATTATGGGGTTCTTTGAGGAAATATCTCAAACCGTGGTAATCCATTAATTAATTAACAGGCTTTAATAGTAATTTTCTCATCCAAAGGATCAGTTAGCTGTGCAGCATGAGAATGAGACATCAAATATGGAAGCTGCTCCTGATTTACGAGGATTGAAATTGTTTTATGTTTTAGCAGATTATTTCCAGTATCTTTGAATAAGAAATTTATATGTAGTTTGGTGAAAATATAAAATTAGGATGTGTTGCAAAGCAAACGTCCACCCACATGCATAGTTTAACGAAAGTATTTTTTCTTATATTGATGACATATGTATGTACGCACTGATGAGTTTAGGTAGGAAATAGTTTTACAGCCTTATCGCTGCTATCTTCCAGTTATCTTTTGCATGCGCCATCACCAAACATATCCATAGTCAGTTGACCTGATATACCAATTTATTTGCATTTAACAGAGACTTCACAACCGCTGTTACTATCAACGAGTTGGCCATTTACACTCAGAAGATATGGATCCTAATTTTGCACGACGATTTTCGTAAGACACAACACAAATATATCAAAACTAAAACAAATAATAACGAGTATATTTCTGATGACATGAAAATAGAAATGCGGGGAGTACGCTATATGATACCTTAGAATTAGAAAAAGGTGCAACCCAAGATGACATAAAGAAACAGTATCGGAGGCTAGCGCTGAGATATCATCCAGATAAAAATCCCAATAACAATTCGGCAACTGAAAAAGTATGTATTTATATTAAGTAATGCAGATTTATGATAATTATTTTTTTGCATGTACATATTTAGTTGGATAATTAGTAATTATTCAAATTTGGCTACCAATTGTTTTATTTTGTACTGTTTCAGTTTAAGGATGTAAACAAAGCTCACAAAATTTTGTCAGATCCCTCAAAAAAAGAGGTGTGATATCTAATTTAAATTTAAATCCTGTATAATTTAATCTTAATAATGCTTACTCCAAAATTAGATCTATGACAAACATGGTTCCCTCGGACTGCACATCGCGGAAAACTTTGGAGAAGAAAACGTTAAATTTTATTTTATGCTATCCTCATGGTGGTGTAAAGCGTTGTGCGGCGTATGTTGCATTATCACTGGATGTTACTTTTGCTGTTGCTGCCTATGCTGCTGTAATTGTTGTTGTGGAAAATGTGCTCCTAAAGTAGAGGAAGAAGATGTAAGTTCAAGTCAACTTTGTTTATTTTTTCAATTTTATATGGCGTGATGAAATTTGACTGTAGAAGAAAAGTTATATTGTTTGACTTATATATTTCAGATACCTAATGCCGAGGATTTGGCAGCTGAGGAAGAAGAATTTGCAAAAGGTGATGGTCCCACAGTGACACAACCTCTGGGAAAAAGTAGTCCATCAAGTGATCACTCTCCAAAAATGACTGCAAATGGAAGTAGCTCTTCAAGTGCCATTCCACTTGGTCCTGGACCAATGTCATCCTCACCAAGAACCACGCAACCAATATCTTTGGGACCCCCTCCTGGCTATAGCTCAAGTCCTACACGTAGTCCTCCTTTAACAACAGCTTCGGAGAATACTGAGCTAAACAATACTGGTGGTTCACCAAAGCATTATAGTAGTACATCGAATAAATGGTGATTTATCGCACAATTTCCGGTCAAAGTCCATATTCTTGACGCATTGTACTTTTGTATTAGATTGATGATTGTTTCAAGATTTATTATGGTAGATTTCAACTTGAGTATTTCTTTTTGTCTTTTGTTCTAAGAACACTCTAAATTTTATCTGCGTAAATATTAGTGCTTAAGAAACCACAAGTTTGCCTAGTACTTTTACTATTTATGCATGGTTTTAAAACCAACCGGATTTGGTAAAATTCTCGTCAACAATTACCCAAGCGCCTATATACAAACTCGACTCAATAATATTGGCCGCAGTGCCCTATATACATAAGTACTACTGTACCACTACTGACAATGCAGACCTCTTGGTGTACCTATAATATCTCTTCGAAAGTAATATACATAATACACTTATATATTCCTCAGATGAGTCAATATGCAATTTTGTGAAATTAGTAATATGGTTAATAATACGTGAGTATGAATGTACGAACGGTTGAATCAAATGAGAACCTGTGGATATTGTGTTTGCACAAGACAAATAAACATAAAATGTTATTATCTGGAAAAATGAATTATATGGTTTTTATTTCCCCACTAAAAACGAAGCGTCGCAATCTTCCTGCATACTTGCATTAATTATAAACATCCTGCCATCGTTAAATGAACACACAATGTGCATGTAGAAAAGAAAAGCTCTTATTACCAGCATGAACAAGAACATCTAATGTGTTGAGTCCTACAAATGAGTTTTGGGATTAAATGAATAATTTGCATAAGTGTGTACATATTTTATACGTAAGTGTTTTATTGTAGATTTACATTTGATTTTGACGGTGTCCTATGCTGTCATCCTTAACTATTAACTATTGTTATTTCACGTTGGTCACGCTTGTTGAAATGTCACAGGCCAGTAGAGAGACTTAACGCCGTGTTAACATTGTCAAGGAACAAGGGTGATATGGATTTAAATCGTTTAAATGACTAAATGTACACATATATTTACATACATACGAATGAGAATGTATGATGATGATACTGTTGTGCGAGAGAATATGGGAGAACTTCATAGATATTTTCTCCTCGTTTCATGTCTGAGATTGTTTATAATAATAAATTAGGAGAGAAACGATGGGTTTAAGAATCAATAAAAATAGTTGGACAGCCAGGAATGGGCCCATCTGGTCTGGTGCTACGAATAATAACAAAGATGCTGTGGTGCAATAACTCACACTTTTTTTGTAGCGTGGGAGCAGGAGGGGGTCCTTCAGGGGGTCCTTAAGACGTGTGTTTATCATTTCCAGAATTTATGAGACTCTTGGTCGAAGGTGGTACTGATGATCGAAGCACTTAGGATTAGTGAAAGCCTTTTTAATACGCCAGGCTCATTACTTGTAGTAATTTACTACTGCATAATGCATAATGTTCGTACACTAGTCCCTTGATTGAAACGAAATCAAGGACCTCGTGTACTCGTGGCGTTGGGGTTCTAATTTGTGCTTATTAGGTGTATCATTATTAGACACATTTCAGAGCGAGGCCATTTAATTGAAGCATATTAATTGCATTGGAGGCGAGATGAGATTTCCTCCATTACCCCAACCAACGCAATGTACTATATTATAACACTTGGGGTTTTAATGTCTTTAGAAATGATGCGAATAGGTCCATGACATGGTATCCCTCATCCTTCTCACATCTTTAATGAACTTCAATCCCTAATGATTCCTCACTACATGGAATATCTGGAGAAATTAAAGCCCTCTTTATGTCATCATTGACTCGCGTATACTACTATGGTCGAGGAATTATAATTAAGCACATTTCTGCATAAGTAAAAATGTGCTTAATTTTAATTCCTCCACCATAAGAATATGTCTACCAGAACGTTTCTTACATGAAAGCGATAGTAGTTCACCTATTTGTGCACCACAAATATATTTATTAGGGAGGCACAATTTTAAACCTAATCTCAAGCCAATTGCAATCCTGAAAGTTTTATCATCTAAAAGTCTAGTTACATTTAATTTGAATCTGTAAAATACTACTTCCCGAGTGTTAATCCTTATCAGATCAAGTTGCAGACAATAAAGGCAAGAACAAACGTAGTGAGTGATTTCGTTGCGCAAATATGCGCAAATATGTATGAATACGTCGGAATTACTGTAATATTAAGACTTCGTGGCGCAATTGGTAGCGCGTCCGACTCCAGATCGGAAGGCTGCGTGTTCAAATCACGTCGAGGTCATAAATACATTTTGCAGTTTTTTGCGACCAAGATTTTATATATATCAGTCGTGAAAATAGATTTATTTTTGTCTACCTGCGTGTTATTGTGTCATTATAACGTCGAAATAATGCACACTGATCTGCTTGCCATCTCCTTTAAGACGCTGAAATGCAAGTAATAACATAGTACCAAATATATATTTAGATAGATTCCTGCTTGGTGTAACTCGTGAAAATCTCATCTCGCCTCCTATTTAACGGAATTGGATTGATTTATTTCTGCCTTTCTGTGGGCCAATGAAGGTCCAAATCGCACTTAATAATATATATAAGATTCGCTATGCATTACCAATATAAATAAACAAAATCTCCTTACGGCTACAGACATAGTGCTATCTTAACTAATTAAAAAAATTGATTGAATAAAAGATAATGAATTTCTGAATTTCTCCTCCAGTTCAATTAATAAGCTTCAATCAAATGTCCTCTGTAAAGTATAAACATAATACGTAATGATACACATAAGCAAAGAAGAGTTGGAATGCTACGAGTACGATATGCGATAGAACCAAAGTTTATGCTTGAGGAAATCTCATGTTTCCTCACAAAGAAGGACATAAATGGAGATGATACATAATCACCTTTATGATTTTGTTACTTATATAAACTATGTACATACGTATAACACAGGGTATAAATATTTTTTTCAGATCTGAAGATAGCAGCACATTTTGTAGTACTGATGAAAACAAAATACAAAACACTTGTTCACTTAAGGGTTAGATGAGGGGATTCTGCATAAAAAATGTATCATATGCTATAATAATATTTGTAATGCACATATGCAAGTGGACCAATTAGCTGCGTGTTTTATGCATTAATGCAACAATGACTTTATTTCGTGAGGTGAAATACTATGAGAGTGACATTACAACGGGTGGAACAATTTAATATTTTATGCTATCGTTTTTTGTCAAGTATGAACTTTTGTACTCTCTAATATGTGACATAACCAGCTTCATCATTCTCAAAAATTCCTGCGAAATGCATAAAAATATTGATCTCATTTTGTTCATCGTAAGTTTGATGGGCCAACTGTCTTTGGGTGAGGTGAAAAGTTCTGCACAAGTGGCAATCAAGTTCCCGAACAATTTTAGAACTCTTGGCAAAATTAGCAAGCTTTTTCCAATTAAAAAGTCCCGTGTGTGGAAAATCTCAAAGCAATCCATTGGAGCTGAGAATGAACTAAACTATCTGAATGAGACAGAACCACTGTTTGTTAGGGAGGCTTCCGACTTCGCAAAGGAGTTCAATAATGCTGCTGATCAAGTTGCAGAGATACGTGAAAAATTAAATGGTTCTGGAGAATTGTCCACTTGGACAGATTTGAACAATGCATTAGGCGAGGACAAAATTAAAGATTTTCTCAACGGTTTGCCTTTACACGTTCTTCGAAATATTACTAGTCTCACGAAAATCAATCCAAAGTTTGGCGAGAAAAAGTTAATTGAACTGTTTATGGAACAAAATAAAATTACCGAGGTAAGATTTGAGCTATTTTATTGTTTAAGCACACCAGGCTTCAGATTCATTGCAACAATTTGCAATATATAATTATAGCCAAACAATGAAGGGAATAACGGGAACACAGGAATGAACCAAGAACTACGATTTCAAATCTATCGGAGCTCTTCTTATTCTACCACCACTTTGACACCGAATATTGGATTAGCCCCACAAATCACAACGACCAACAATTTTGAAATCCCAAAGTATCAGGACACATTGCCAGATAACGTAGGCAATAGTTTAACAAATTCGGGATATTTTCTACCCGATATTACAACTCCTTCGACTCCTATATATGAATCCAATCTGAATTTACCATCAAACTCCATGATAACTTTTCACAATCCAATCAACACGTTCAAGACCAATGTTCACGAATTTTTGACCCCGCCATTAATCAACAGCCTAGAATTCCAAGACATTCCTCAACCTCAATCTCCAGTACTTCCCTCGTCACCCGTATGGATGGAACAACCAGTAGTATATTTGCCAACAAATAACGAAAATTATGACGCAAAATTTTTACCGTCGGCCAGCAATATTAATGGCATGATTATAAATGAAGGCTACAACGGTTATTATCATCAAGAACCCGACAACGGATACATTGAACAAGAGCCAAGCGTAGATATTGGACAGTATTATGAGCAATATTATGACCATGCAACCAGCCCACCAAACATCAACAATTATTATCACCATCCGTTAAATAAAATGCAATATCCAGTAGTGACAAAGTACCCACAAGAACCTCAAGCAAACACTGATAATATTAAAATATATAAAGAAAATCAGAGCAATAAACCAGCAACAAGAAATCAAAAATCACCACCTGACCAAGATCAACCACCTCAAAAACGCCCTGGAAATAGCAATCCTTTGCCAATGCCAACAGTAGAACAATCTCCATCACACCATGGTGGTGGTGGTGGCGGCGGCGTTAAAGGAGGATGGGGTTCAGGTCATGACGACTGGGGACCATCTGAGATTTGGAACGCGATGAAAACATACTGGAAGAAAAGTGATAGCAAATCAACTGCTCAAAAGGTTTTCGAAGTGTCCATCGGGATTCTCTCATTTTTAGCGTTCGGAGGATACTTGCTCATGCTCATTTATCAAGTTTTTGCTGTAACCACAGCCGTTCCATTCTTTCCTTTATTATCCTCCACGGTCCCACAGAATCCAACACTTTTCGGATTATTGTTTGGCCGAAGCATAGAATCGGATAATGGGGTTTATCGATTCAACCCAAACGAATTAGTAAATGGAAAATATATCGAAGAATTGGAACGCATCGTCAAAACTGCAATGGATAAGGTGAGACTGCAGTGGTCTGGTTTTGTGGTGGGTGAAATGCATAAATAATAAGTTAGTAATTATTTGTTACTTATTAAGTATTATATACGTAATGATATACAATAAATATCTGTACCATTGAAAGAATTAATTTCCTCGAAACTTTTGCATGTAAAATAATCCTTTATTTTATTATGTGCGTGCAAATAAAATGTTGGTGTTACGCATTTTGATTTGATACGAATTTAACTATATGAGTTCTTTACAAGATCGTGTTTTGGTACACAACTCACCCGGAAGTTGGCTCGCTCAGAGAAGATAGCATGATGGCCATTATATTCGAATGTCTTCTTCTTCACCTGCACAAAAGTCACCAAACCGAAAAAATAATTCAAGTTGAGAGGGACACACAACAGAATTTGAAGCATCAGTGCATCTAAAAAAAGTCGGTGTCAATGCACACATTCTTTAAAATACCGTATTCTGTTGTACTTTTGTATGTTGAGAACGCCTTATTGCTAACGTATACTAGGCAAATAAAAATCAAAAAAACCTTCGTTTTAAGGAAGGGAGTCAACATCTGCCAACAAATGACTAATCGTAAAAATTAGTTTTTTACAGTGTCTCATCAGTTGATTACAGCATCTCCTCCTGGTCAAATCATTCACTGCATGAAATACCGATACTCTTGTGCACAATTTGACTCTGGTACATATTTACAAGGGTAACGAGTTGATTGATTGAGTTGGTGGTGTGATTAAGGCAAAATCCGTAACGGTCGGAATTCTCTTGAAAAGGCAAAATGTTGCTGCAAAATCTCAATTTTATATCAATTTTGACAGTTCTATATTTAGTATGTTTTGGTCTGTGTGATGTGTCCGTACCGCCATCGCCATCGGAGGATGAGGGTTCATCATCTCTCAAAAAAGGTGTCGAAATGGGGCGAGCGATTCAATCTGTTTTAAATCCGTTGGGTACGTTAATAAAAACAAACTCTTAATTTTACAGCTGAACTAATAAATAGCCTCATTCTTTTCATGTATTGCTACTCATTTCCAGGGGAAGTGTGGCAATCTGCCAGTCGAATGTTGGGGAAAAACGTGAAAAAGTTCCGAGAAAGTTTACATGAAGGAGTAAAAGTAGCATATTTGCTGCAGGATGATGTTAGCGAGGGCGTAGCAAAACTTATCAAGAAAAATCAGCAAGACACTTTGCCACATAATTCACAGCAAGAGTCGATGGATGAACAACAGGTAATAATAAAATCTCATGAATATTATCCACTCCAAGATCAGCAAGACGAGCAAGATCAACCCTTTGTCCGTATCCCAGTCTGCCACACTCAATCCAATTCAATACTCACTGACATAAATGACTAAACTGAAAAACAAACCAATAACTGTAATTCACCTTAAGCTACACACACATCCATGTTTTTGGTGCATAATATTGAATGATAAATGATGTATCCTCTCTTGTTGTGTAGCGTAATAATCTTTTAACACCACCTTTAACCTCAATCCTTACCCGATTAAACTACTAACGATAAAATCGATTCCTTCACGTCTGAGGGAGTGATTTATTAATTGATAGTATCGGTAACGTGTTAATGGGACGCACTACTGCCTCCATTGACGGAAATTATTGATTTTGACAGCTTCTACGGGAGGGAGTCTTGGGTGGGTTGTTGAAGTTGGTGGGTGTAAATTCCAATCAGTTGGGCGTTATTGCCCTTAACGTGCTCATCATCGTGGCAGAGTGGGTAAGAATCTTACCTATATTTATGCAAAAACAAAGTATTTCGATGATATTTCAAGCATCGCTCAACTCGATAGGAGAGTAAACCATGTAATGTTAAACCCAGAGTTTTTTGTGACCAACTACAACAAGGGAGAATTGGAGCAGTATCAAAGCTTCTGTCTGGAAAACCGAGCATTTTCGTAAACTTGAAGCGCCCATGAGTCGCTGAATGTTGCGCCTCTGCGCAAGTTCCGAACCAAATGTTGTAGTTTCGTAAGCCAAAGGTCTGGGTTGAACATGGTTTGCGCTCCCATTGTTAATAAATATTTATAAACACTAATTGGTTAAGATCACATCCTCACTGATGGGAAACAATGAAAACGCCGTTGCAACTAGTCGCATGGTAAAGGATAATTTGGTAGAATGGGTAGTAAAAGGCAAGAATACAAAGGTTTGTACACACTATATTTTATAATCGGAGTATTATTTTATTATGAGACGAGAAATTTCGCCGCTTCATTTGTATAGATTACATTATATATACACAAACGTCATTATTTATTAGGTTGAAAAAATCCTGCGAGACGCAAAGAGCCATTCTCTCCCTGAAAATATTATCAAAACGCTGGAAGCCCAAACTGGTAACTCTACTGCCTGTGTACAATTGTTGATTTGCAAAATGTCCCCGATGATTTGGGGTGTACAAAAAACGGTACAGAAGCAGCTTCAGAATAAGACTCACAACGAAACAACAGGTACGGGTCGATCTTCAGAGTCCATGTTGGATACGTTTCTGGGGACGCTGCCACAAAAATCTGCCTTCATTAATTTCGGTGACCACTGTGAAAAGCGATTTCCATTTTGCAAACTGTTAAAATTCAGCAGTCCTGCTAAATAATTAGTTCAGTCCAATAATGGTATTGTATAGATTTCTAGTTTTCACAAAATTAATTTAGTACTTATTTGGAATGGGTGTAGGAATTGATTTGTTGTTGAAACAATAAAACAAATTTATTTTATGGTCGCTGAAAAAATTATTATCAATTTATGAATATTATGTGTGCAAGTAGAAACTTTTCAATCATTTTAATATATATATTTGCACACGGATATTATTGTTTGCATGCATCCGTCTTGGTGATGACGATCATGCTGTTCAATCAGCGAATGATGTGCAACAAAGATTGATGTGGTGATGATCCTGAAGAAAACTGGATTCCGATTCCGGCTTTCATTTCAATTTATCATTTCTCATCTATGCATGTGCAAATAAAAATATACATGCATAAAAACATTTGCAGTTGCACTGCGCACTTTGGCAGTGATAGGATTACACACTCTACTTTCTACTCTTCCGTGTACTTCAAAATAATCTCACCTAATTATTATTTATTGAGAAAGGGGATGAATGAATGCACTATCACGTCGTGCACACAGTCCCGTTCAATTCGATGGTCATTATTTACAAACCATTGAAGAACGTCGACCTTATAAACGATATATTTAGTGTGGAGATTAGATATACACATCCTTCAACTTCGACCATGGCTTTCGCTTCATTAAATGAATAACAATAAAACTGCATCGTGAAACTGCAGTGGGCAACTGACCGGGTGTCCGAATGCAGTTTTATGTACTTATTTATGATGATGTATACTAAAAAAAATATATATATAGTAAATATATATATATTTATTTTTGTGTGATTTATATCTAATTTGGTCGTTCCACTTTTTGTTTGAGACCTTTCAAACCTAATCTACCGTGATGAACCGATTACAAAAATCATTCAGACGACTCTTCGTATTCTTTATGATTTGCCAAAATTGTGTGATTCTAACCTTAATAGTGATTTACTCTTGTGAAATACTTAAACAGGATCCACATTTCCCTTAGAAAGGATACGCTGTTATTGCATTACAGATGTACTGGTGGATGGCTGTTTATATTTAGACTTGAATTAGACCAACCAAAATTAGATGGATTCACACAAGAACGAAAGATGTACCTCAACAATAAGCCGCCTCTGTACCTCTTTTCTGCCAAGAGTGCAGCCCACAATACTGATAACACGCCATTACTTTACTCACCGTCCATTCCAACAATTAAGCCAAAGTGTGTCCTGTTAACTGCTGTGATCAAAAGTCAAACCAGAACTTACCGGCAGCAGGCTCACTGTATTGTCATTTCATTAAGTTTCTTTTCTCAGCGTCATTCGAAAAGACGTCAACGCCAAATTTTGCAAAGCACACTAAATAGACAACAACCAGCCCTGCATGCATGCATATTTATTTTACACTGCCTGCCTTATAAAGCTCGCAACTCCTTTCGTCATTTTTTAACTCGAGAAGGATTGCCGGCTTCTTCGATTAAATGTAACGTCGCGTCGTTAGGAGTGTGGGTGAAACTCGGCCAAGCAACTCACGGCAATAATAATACGGTAATAATATCACAGACTGTTGAATTTATCTCTTCGTATAAAACATTGGCAAGTTCATGGACGACCAAATGCAACCACCAACCACCGAGGCAACCAACCCCTCTAAATGCACAACTCCCTTGCATCGTCTCGTCGTCGATGCGTTGTGAGGAGTCTGCACTTTCGCAAAAGAACTGAATGCAAGAAATCTAATGAAATGATCTTCTCCCACGTTATAAGATGAGGCCAACTTAATTTGAAATCTTAATATTTATTTATTTAGCAACTACAAGAAATGAGTCAGTCAGTTAGTGGTACAAGACGGTGAAACAACTACACGCCATCCACCTACATATCTGCTCATTCACGGTGAAATTGTAAGTTGCAAATTAAGTGGAAGGGTAACCTACCTGTTCGTTGAAGAGTTTGAACTGTTGACTCTTCTTCTTCACCTTTCTTGGTTTAATATTCAGAATTAACTGTGAATTTTTTTTATTTAGTTGTGACACTGTACGCGCAAACAAGTCAGATTTCTTGCAACTTTCAAAGGGATTCTCTCAAGTTGGAGCAAGTCAGGTAAAATAATGATTTATTTTTATTGTTAAATTAGATCTTTCAAACTCATTACATCCGGGCGTTGTTTATCAAGTACATTGGGCTCATTCATGCGAGGTTTTGAGAGGAAGTGGCCGTTTTTCACACTTTTTCCATCAAAATTAAAGTAATAGTCTAAACAAAGTAGTCATTGAACGAACGAATGAAGCTCCAAATCAGTGTTGCCCACACTCTCATAAAGAAACATAAACAGTCAAATGAGTCTCGACTTGGGAAGTCCTCTGCTTTCCTTGTCCATTCATGCATATATTTAATGATACATACTCATTTTTCATGTATAAAAACTACAATCCACTCATTCAGAATTATGTACAAAGTGTGGCCGTGTGTGGTGGGTGATAAGTATGTATTTATGTATGAGCAGGGTGCAGGGATACAACGAATTTAGAACTGAAACAGCGTACAACCTTCCAGCTTAAATAAAACAGTTTTAGTTTATTTGTATTTATAAACTGATACTCCTCAACTTATTTATCCATTCAAGTCAGCATGGACTTCATCCAAGACAAGGAGCGACAGTTTATTTGCATTCATAAAAGTCAAGAAAAGAAACGAGTGAGACACCAATAATCAGTTTTTAGCTAATTTTGAGTCTGCTACCCAATTTTTTTTACATTTTACATGTAGCACAGCTTGAAATTCTCATCGGCTAACCAAGTGTGCACATTTGTTAGGCGTGCTTTGCAGACAATTTTTTATACTCGTAGCAAATAAACACTTTGACACGGCTAAAATGAGCCGGATCTGTCGTATGCTCATTTGCTGCATATTTTCCGTTTCATGTATTTGATTATCGTATATTTTGTAAAACCGATTCTAATATTGTAAACTGATTATGGAATACATAGGCATGTGCTTCTTCCAAACAAGCTTCGGAGTGAGAGGAATGTTTAGTGTTGGCAAAAAAATAACTGTTAAATACTTTGGGAAGTTGTTAAAGTGTCAAAATCAATCCGTAAAGTGTCGGTTAATTGTCGGTTAATATTGATCTCTCTCAAAAGCTTCTTTGATGAGTTACCTGCTCCACCGGTAAAATTCTGATGACTGAAAATGTAAAATGGGAGGATGAGAAACATAAACCAGTTCTTCACTTTCAAAGCCTTCGAATGAATGTTTTGGCAGAATTTCAGAATTTATACATTACCCAAAAGATTCTTCATACATGTGTGCGTAGATACGTACACAAAACATACCGTTTCCTCTTTAGCTCTTTGCTGGCCAAGCTATGAAAACATGCACACTTTTCATAATTAGAAATTTAATTGTCCCCAATACATCCAAATTACAAAGTTTGGGAACACTTTCGGAAAAATATCATATATTATTGTGCTCACATTGTGTTATTCTTGTTGTTGGTCTTTGTCAAAGATTTGAGATCAACGAGGCGAGCAAAATTTCTCTCACTGAAAATGCGTGCCCATTGTTGGTTCAATTTATCATGATGATAAATGAAATTGGAGCTCGCAGACTTTGTGCACTGACTGACACTCGATGTAGCTCAAAAGATTCTTGACAATTGGTTCGCATTCATTGTCAAACAAATCAAAGCAACAGGCAGTGCTAATTTAAAGTGTAGCAAGTCAAAATTATGATTTTCAACTAGGGCTGGGCAAACAAACAGTCATGCATGCACATATTTAGACACAATATTATAATAGAAATATGGAACAATTTTAAAAATTAGACTATGTAAAATAATTAGGGGACGCGTTGCTATTTGAGGTTTCACAATCTTTATATAATATAGATTATTCAGGGGTGCAGAATGAAAATGTGCAAAACACACAAAATTAAGCACACAAAGACGCGTCGCATGAAGCGACGCGTGCCATCAGAATTCTCATCCTCTAATTTATTACTATCATTTCGGAGAGATCAGATCCCTGGTTGATAAATCAGACTAACAATCTGATGTTATTGCGACGAAGGCAACCAGTTTTATTTAATTACTTGCTGCATCAAGTCGGCATCAGATTCTTGTAATCTGCCAAAGCTACAATTTTGGGACACGAAAGCTCAAAAGATCAAAGCCTCAAGATTTCAAATTCCCATTGACACAAAATACTTGTAACGTTTGTATCTTGTTACTCGTAGTAAATAGAGAATAAACAACGTCTTCGTCATGAGCCGCTGGTGCGGCGTACACCGCGTACATCATTATTATATATGACTTTGCTTAATGGTAGAATTAAGCAAACGAAACAATAACTTCTTTTTTCACTTTTGACTCATAATAATCAAATGCACGAGAGCAGTGAAAGGGTGATGAAGAATAAGCTTGAGTTCACAGTTTATAAAAAAATACTGCCAAATGGAGCAGCCGGAAGGATGGCTTTTAAAACTAACTCTCGTGTTGGAATCACTTTCCTTACAACTAAATCGCTGTTCACTTATCCTCACCAGCTCATGACCGTCACCGCAAAAAAAATTATGAACAGTATATATTCAGGTTGCAGCCACTGACGGGCGCATGCAATAAAAGGAAAGTATTTTGATGGTCTTTGCATCAATAACTCGTATAACCTAATAGCCCAGCTAGCTGTACATACTGTGGGCACTGATGAATGTCGTTTGAAAATGGAATGGGAATTTTTGAATGTCAATGTCAATGACTAATCCCACATGTTCATCATCAAGAAGGATACTCGCAAATAAAAAGCGGATATATTTCCGTGCGAAATAGGTCACTTAAATTAACATCAGAGAGCACTTATCTTTAACGAGACCGTATGCATAGGTATGCACACATAGTACATGTGGATGCCGAGTGTTGAAACCATCTGTTTATTTCTATCGTCTTACGCAGGTTTCAACGATCATTTATTACCGTATTATATTGTATTCGTGTGCATATGCAATAGACGAGAAGGAGTCATCAGTTCTGGTGGTAATGCAAATTGTGATTGAAAACAAAAGTTTAAATCAAGTAACGGTGCATTTATAGCTGCACTTAAGGAAATGGGTCGCTGGGGGACGATCGTTAAGCAAACCCCGAAACCTCCAATGAATAACATTAATGAAATTTATATGATTGAATGAGAATGTGCTAAAATTCTTTTTAAATCGGTAGAAATTTTATATGTTGCTGATGTATAATTAATTATACCGTCTATAAATATTTTGCCTTATCATCAACTTTAAATGTTAAGATTGCACACGACACAAGTGAAAATTTTACTAAATTTTAAGAACGGAAAAGATTGAATTGCGTAGATAAAGTGATAAAACAAGCCAGCTCAAGGTTGAAAGTGTATGCATAGTTAATTTAGACTAAATATATAATGCTGCACAGAAATTTAGTAGAGTTGCCGAAAACCTCAAACCCTTTGGTGATAAAAAATGGGCGAGTCTGTTGTCTGGTGCATTGCATACACATACACAAATAGTTCGTACAGAAGAAGATGTGCACTACAAACCACTGATAACAACAATAAAATCAGATAATGAGGATGAATTTTGTGCGTACCTAAATATGTAGCTGCTGCTGATAATAATTAACAAAGCAACCCAACCTAATCTAGTTTCTCACGATTCCGTTTTCTACGCTGTGCAAGTTTCCATTTGAAGAGCATATGCTGCAATTTAGGAGAAAAATCACAAATCGTGACGTGCAACAAATGAAATCGAGATTGCCAGGGGAAAACATTTTTAGCTCTGCATGGCTCATAGTTTTATCGACCTTATAAACTTAAAACAGCTAAAACATAAAGGTGCGAAAAACAAACAGCAAACAAGTTGCACCCAAAAAGAGTTTTATAATTTAGTACTGCATTGTCTAAAGGCAAACTATTAAAGATGCGCAGGCGATAATGGGGAACAGATGAAAGAAAATTATTAGTAATACTAGTCTATGGACAAACCACGTAAAAAACTTACCCTTTACCCGTTTAAATACCTTTGCGGATGGGTTGAATATTTTAAGATGCCAAAGATAGGAAACAGATTTTCGATCGGGGGAAGAAAACGAATGTAGGTTAAGTATGTACAAAATATGCCACACGTCTTATTTTTCGTCATTATCACTCAAATCAGAGTAAGAAAACTTTTTTGAATTAAGCGAATTGAGATGACAATAATGGCACCGTCCACTTAATCACGAGACGTCAAGGATGGTAAAAAGTTCTTGAAGACGCTTGACTAAATTTAAATACATACATCACACTGAATTCTCCCCAAAAAATGCATACTGTACTTTTTGACATTTTAAACTTACATGCACAAGTGATTTATGGGAGAATAAATCAGAACGCGGTCACAGATTTGAATATATCGTTGAAGTCGGTGTAATGATTACACATAAGAAAATTGTAACACGTAGGTGTAACTTTTACGGGCCAAATTGGGACTGCCTTATTATAAATTTATTACACTATTAACGATAATGACACTGCTTGGTTTTATAGGATTCATAAGTAATCCCGTACTTCAGTGATTAAGGAATATTTGTTCATTTTTTTACAGGAACTCATAGTAGCACAACAATGGGTCAACAAAAAGAAATTAAAGCCTTCATCCTTCTTGGACTCATTTGCATTTCCACAATTATGCCCGCTCTCGCAGCTCCAAACAACGCTCGTAAATTTGCAGTTAAGAACAACAGTCCCAAGAAGGTTTACCATAAAAATATCGCACCCTCCAAAGATAATATCGACAGGACTGACCGAGATCAGCAGCAAACTATGATGATGGTAAGACATAATTCACATTGAGTGACATGACCTACTCACCACCGCATTAGTAAAATCTGACCAATTTATTCTGCTCTGTCACAGAACAAGCAAAGTGAAGCCCTGGGAGCACCTCCATCAAACGAAATGATGATGGGTCCCAACGGATCACCTGCCAACATGATTTGGGCCGTGGCTGCCCCCATTGTCCAACTGCTTAAGGTTTTCCTTGCCGGTCCCAACGAGCTTGATGGAAATGGTCTCACCCCTGGAGACGACAAAATGGATGGACCGGTACTTTTATTTTGAATCCGCAATATGTAATCTCATATCTGGGTAGATGTAAAGTCTGTGACACGAATAGGGACAGGGCTTTTCATGGGGTCAGGTGATTGGTTACGGCATGAAACTCCTTCTCGCCGCCTTGGGTGGAAACAGCAATGGAAATGTTCCCGATGGAATTGACAAGATGGGAGTTGGCGAGTCACCCATGCAGGTACATACACAATGAACATACTTATGCATACATAAATATGTAAGAACTTAACACAACCCTTTATTGGAAACGATAATCAATTTCTCTCTAATAAGTAATTATTAGTCACGGCCACTTACCACTTGCCTCGCTATTTTTTAGTTGTAGTTTCACGTCAAATTATCTCCTAACCAAACTGCAGAGCTAGAGACGAATGACTCGACTATAAATTTATACAAATTCATCCGTATTTTCCATTGGTCTACATGATTTGCACTGACAAAACCACGATTGAAATGGGCCAAATCACGTACACGTTATATTATTCTACTTACCCTTATACATGTTCATTGGGGGGTAAACTGTCCCCTTACACACACAAATAAAAATAACCCGTATTTAAATAATAATTTAAATTTTAAACACTGACATTTTTCTATGTAGGGTGTTGTGGACAGACTTTTGGGAGCCCTTACTGGCAACGAAAATGAGGGAAACGCACAAATGGTGAACCAAACTCGGGAGGTAAACTGAAATTGTGCTATTATTATTATTGTAATGTAATCAATTATGCCCTTTATGGGCAAATCACAATGACACATTTAGATATATAATTGGAATTATGCATATGTTTAGTTTATCAAATTGGCCATGTCTCTCATCAACGCCATGCAAAGTTCCATCAACCAACGATCAATGAGGGCACGGAGTCTCGGAGAGAAGGACAGAATGGCAGACGCTGCTCTTGCTTCACTCTACATGAGCAAGGTAACACTTTTTAATTTCAAAATGTCACAAGAAAAATAGAGACAAATATATCAATCAGGAATTACAGACCGGAAATTCTCATGACACGATTTTCTTGTCAGTAAAGTGTACACGCATATGCATGTAGTCTGTACTTGTGGATTAAGTTCCACATATGTATCCGTCTTATATTGGCACTTCAGCAGGTATAGTTGGATGCATGAATACCGAACGAAATTAACATTTTGATTTGAAACAAAGGTTGAGTAGGTCAACACAAAGTTCGGGTCATTGCACAGAATTTAAAACCAATAGCGTACCAATAAAATTTCCAAGATAAAGATATAAAATATGACCTCATTCCAATATGCAAACTGAAATTGGACTGCTGCGCAAATTAATTTATCAGGGGAAATATTGTTTGTAATCGTAGTCATAATCATCGGGGCGGGGTGTTTTACCGTTGATCATGAGCAGTGAGCACAATTAGCACATAAAATTGTTATGCATAACAAATCATCTTTCTAGGATTTTAATTTCGGAATCACTTGTATTTTTCAGGCGTTCGTAAAGTCCTTCAACACCACGCAAGAACAATGCAGAGAGCAATTGCTGTGCGAATCGGCACGTGAATGCGTGGATAACATTGGGTCGTCAAGTGCATTTGGATTCTGTCACCTCACTGCGTAAGTAAACTAATCTCATTTGCAAGTAATTCAAGAAACAAGCAAACGCCTGAAGGCGGCTCTCCGAATCGAATTAGTCGTTGTTGTAACGCTCTCATTATTAACTCGACAAAGGAGTCGAGTTAATTGGGACTCCAAGTTTTAATTACCCAAGAAGACAATCCTACTTAACTTTTTTGGGTTCGTTTTCTTATGCAGATTCGCGACCACCAACTTGATGTATTACACCCACGCGGGTAAAAAGGATATGACTAAAGCCTACCTCGAAGCCACCCGACGAGGAAGATCTCATGAAAATTGCAAAACTAACTACCAGTGCAATGAAATCAACCTCAATTAACCAGAAAATTGGGGATCCGTACAATAATGATTAGACAGTTGTTCGTTATAATAGAATCGTCGTATTCTTATCATGTGCACATCTTGCACATAATACATTGTTTTGGCACAAATTATGATAATCGTTATCCATTTTGTTATTTATTTTGTTACCAATATAATTGTGGAAATTCCTTTCCCAGAAATTTATTTTTTTTTACTGCAAACATTACCACCGCCATCAACTGCACCAGCAGCGTCCAAAAGAAATCTGATTTCGCAACAATAGTCACATAATCTAATTCTATATTTATTTCGCTTTCCACTGCAACCTTTATCTACATATCTACATGCATTTAGAATAATAAACTTGATTTTATATATTAAACCCTTATTCTGCTTGCAATTTGTCATACTAATTGAATTCAAAACTTTTAACCAATCACCCCGCATAATTGATCAAGAGTGAAAAAATATTTTTGACAAATGATGTCATCAAGAGTGGTGAACGGTCAGTACAAAAGCTCAGATTTGCCCAGAACGTGTGACACGGACACGGATCATGCATTTACAATGGATCAAATCCGATGCCCAACAACATTTTATGAATATCAGCCAACCGAAAAATATAACGGGCAAAAAATATAGAGCTTGACATGTGAGAATAGTAATTAGACAAAACACAACTTACATAGCCCACGCAGACCAGCCTTCTAAAGCTTAACCACTACGGCAGGAACAGGGGAGTTTTTCAGTTTCAATTTGGAATTACAACAAATTGTTTGCATACAAGAAATTGTCAATTTTAGAGAATGTCAGGTCCTGTACGATTCATCTCTACAGCTCACCATCACCAAACTCCAATCGTCTTACTTCCAATAGTGAACTACTCTTCCACACCAATATCTAAATTCTACAACAATTTTCGTGATGAACGTCACGTATCCGCCCAATACAAAACAATTCAACAGAGACCACCAAGAAAATTTCAACCGGATTCAGGTGCAGGCGAACCGACCAGACGATTCGATTACAATATACTCTACGGCAGAAATGGTGGGCAAGATTCTTTCAACCACAGAGACGGATGGTAAATAGTAAAAAAACAGGGGTCAGATGTAAATGTGTAGTATAATTTCGGATTGAAATTAGGCATGGAGGAGTGGGAGGAGGAAAACAGTCACCAGCAATATCTGCACTCGCTCTCTTGGGATTTCTCTTCTTTCTAAACTTGATTCAGGTAAGTCGCAATTACATGGATGAAAGTGGCAGGATACAAAATTGGTTCGCTGAAATCGCTTGTAGAATTCCTTGCTGAACAACAGGCTCCTTCTGACTACGACCACCTCCAATAATGGGACAGCAATGGCGTCAGGTCGAACGAACGGTAGAGTAAGACAGACACGAGGTATGGAATTCAATCAGCACCTTTTAACCCCAGAGTCCATCCCAACCCATCCGAGCCGACAGTTTTCGCACAACAATCTCGCAAGCATAAGTCCGGATTCCAGCAGACAACGCACTTGGAGACAATTCATGTACAACAAGTATGTACAAGCCCAACACAATGATCATAACGGGCGAAGGGGAGACGTTTCGGTGATGCAGCAAATGAGTCAGGCTACGAGGGAGTATGTCAAAACGTTTTTTTACAACGTGGAAAAATTATTTTTCCTGCATGGGGCAATTAGTGGGAATGGGATTGACAATTTTTGGGGGTAAGTCAGTGACGGCACATAATCTTTTTTGATATTGGGAAGAAGTATGCAACAAGTAACTTTTGATACGAAGGAAAATTAGGATGATTGATTAATATTTCTTGTCAACGTAACAAGTGCATTTTGTTGATAGCGCCGTTCAGAGTGGGGACAGAGGACTCTCTTAAGGCAAATTAGGTGTCCGTATACGCCAATAAACAATTAGGTATATGTTCTCAAACTAAGCTAGGTATTAATACCATGTGTATTTATAGATAAGAATTTTTACAATGTTAGACTTTACAATATTAGTTAATAAATGACGGAGAAAATTCCGTATGGTCAACTAAATCTACAGGATTCTATTAATTGCCGTCAACTTTGGAGAATCAGACTTTATGGGAAATATGCGTTACAGTATGAATTTGGAAATGTTCTAAATATATTTGGTACGCGTCAGCGCTGATCTTCCGAAAGTGGGGTCATTCATTCTATTCCAATCCGTTTGTCCTACAACAAATCCCACATCTCTCATTCTCTCTTGAGCTCGTTTTTCTTCAATGTCAGCCCATCGGACCTGTATAGACGATTACAACCATAACATAAAAACACATAAGAACTATTTTATGAATGATTTGAATCATTTTATTCAATAAGCTACTCATACCCTTTTTTGGCCGGGTCTAGTCTGCTGACGAGATATGTAGTCTTCTGGGAGATGAGACGTTAGCCATGATTCAATACTCGAAGAAGTATCCACTTTATCATCATCGTTTCCAGATCTTTTTCGGCCCAAACCATCCAGTCGATCTAAACAACATTTTATATGCCAAATAAACAAATGTAAAAATTATAATCATGCTGGCATACGAATTAGTGACCAATTACTTAATTTTTCTTCAGAAGGTTCGATTTTCTCCCATTTACTTGTTTCAGGAAGCTTAGTCGACTGATTTTCTGTGTCATCATCCTACAAGTTTATAAAATTGCATTACATGTGTTCAGCAACAAAATAGAAAATACCAGTGCAGTCCGATATCATGCATTCATCTTTTCTCAACCTGATTATCAACCAATTCCATTTCCTCTGGTACGAAACTCATTACTTTTGACAAGGATTCTCCCATGTGTAAAATTTCAACTTCTGATAAGCAAGTGTCGACGATACTTTGAGAAATTTGTTCAATTAAATCGCCATTATGATGGTGATCATTAATTGGGTAGTCAGCAGATCCCCTGCTACTCTTTACAAATTTGTTGCCACACTCGTATTCGTTTCCATTCTCCATTCTGTCCGGAATAACAGAAGTATCGACTTGTGACAAATTTGACTACTATGTACCTTGTCTGAGTTGATCGCGGTCTATCAATAAATACGATCACATTATACCATGCTCCTCCTCCCAAATTAAAAAAAAAGACTTTTGAATTTGATCTTATAGCAACAACAATACTTATTTTCGTCATACGAAATGTTTTGTCGAGACGAAAAAAAAGGTATTCACGCACCTCCCATTTATCCTTCACGGGATCAGTAGTTTCTTCCTTGGGCTTTTCTACATTGGGTTCAACAATCTCTGTGTCAGAAACATCTTCCATTTCCACCTAGAACACAAAATAGGGAAATTGAGGAAAAAAAATAATATTATACATTTAATAAATTCAATACATTTAAAGATAGTTTTATGTGATCTTACATCTTGAATTGCATCATCTTGTAACAAAGTTCGCACATCCAATTTTACAAAATTAGAAGGACATCTTTCCCAGCTCTTATGAATCTTCAAAATGTCATCTCGATTTCGATGATGAATGTTCCGAGTCACACAACTTTCTACACTTTCCTCAACTTCGGCAATGTAAACCTGGTGTAGTTATTTTTTCGTGAAGCATGAAGTATATAAATATATATAGTTTTGTGATAAGTAAAAGAATAATTTTATGAACCACGTCATTAGCATGAACGACTAATTGTAAGACATGATTAATGCATCTTGCAATTGAATAGATGAATAGCACTACTAACATATTTAAGAATGCAACGTGATATGCTTTACTACCTGAAATTTTCGTTGGGTAGCGAATGATACCATGTCATCAAAGTGACGCACTTGATCATTGACACCATCAACAATGATGAATGGAAAGTAACCATTCTCCACATTCTTCTTAAATGTCTTGATAAGATCAGATCGATACTTTGGTTCCAAATCAGCCTACACAATGACAATCGATAACAGCAGGTTATCTGTATTGTTGCGAATAAAAATTTTGGCGCACAGGTTCAGTCCTTACCTCATACTCGTACTCCATTACAATTTTTGTTACATCTGCCCTTGTTACAGGATCTTTGACAATTTTCTCTGTTTCTTGCATAAAGTAGTCATCTATGGATAATATTCTCGGTGCACTTTCTCCCAATTCCACTTCTTTGTCCTAATGCCGTTCATAATGAAAAATATTCATAATACACACACGGAACCGAGAAGAGGGTTCACAAGCCCTCAGTTGTCTGTTGCAACTTGAGAAAAAATTAGTATTAACAACAATTCACCTTAATGAGCTTTGCAATATAAGATTTCCCAGAGCCGGGGAGACCTCGTAAAATTACAACAATTTGTGAAGGTCTCTTGGCCCTTCCCGGCTGATTGAGAATATCCAAGATATCAATCGTTTGATATCTTGGTGGTGGGGGGTTGGATGCAGGGAGATGTTCTGCACTTTTACCTCCAGCATGAGATCCACTGTGTTTAATTATTTTCAATGTGAAACAATAATTGCAAAATTCAATTGATGATGTGTATTTGGTAATCCATATCCATGCATGCTTTGACGTTCTGAACTTATCATCTTGGTTCCATTTCATTTTACGGTGCACATTACAAGCAAATTATTTTTTATGGACTTCAGGTCTGTTCTCGTATGTCGAAATAAATCAATCAAAAAAATAACTTGGATAATAAATATTAAATACTGCCTTAAATATCAGCATCATAAAAAGGAATAAAATTGGACATGGATGCAATGGATAAATAGAATAAATGCATAATATGATATGTGATTAAGGAGTAAAGAATGGTTAAAACGCTTACGGGTGATTTCTAAAGACTGGGACTTTGTCAAGTAACGGGCTTCGACGAATCCTTTTATCTGTTTCATTGGAAGATTCAATCCTATCCCGTTTTGAACCAATATCCTGTCGAGGTCTACCTCTGTCATAACCTTTTGAATATTTATCACGGTCAGGTTGCCGTCGCTCATCCTCTGGATCACGACGGACTCGATCAGTCGTTGTATCTCTATATCTTTCATCGGGTCGGCTATTTCTAATATCCTGGTTCTGGTCATCTCTTCGACTATTAGCAGGGCGTCGATCAGTCAAGGTATCACGTGACGGAGCTAATCTTGTTATCTCTCTTGGTGGAGAAGAATCCAGTATGATTACATCATCAGTTTCTTCACTATATACTGGATTGTAACTTTTCTGTCGGAAATGGCTGTGGACAGCATTAGGACGACCAATATCAGGTGAATCAAACGTCTCGGGTGGTCCAAACCGAGCAGCAAAACCTCGTCCTTTTCCTCGATTGGCAAATGGTAGCTCACGTTTATCGGGGATATGGTGATCTGATGGATGTCCATAGTCTTCCCTGTTGTAATCTCCATATGAGTCGTCACCAATAAAATCAGTAGTATTGTTGTACGGTGGGTATTGCATTTCAGATGATGCATACTGCGGTCGACCAAAATTTGTTCCTCTGCCACGTCCTTGACCTCTTGCTCGGATAGGCCCACCACGACCACCTCTGAAAGTATTTGAAGGGTGGGTTGCACGATAATTTTCACGTGATTCACGCTGATGATGATTTCCTTCAGAGTAATCCAAGTGATCTGTAAAGAAAACCAATTTAATAATTTAACAAAAATAACTTTCCAAATGAAATGGATACTGAAGAAACGCAGAAACATAGTTAATTTCATATGTACCATTGTAAACTGAAGGGTCGATTCCCATAGGACCTTTTGGAGCGACGGAACCATGCCCATAATCAATGACGTCACTATTGGAGGGAATATCATCGAAATTACTGTAGTCTCCATCTGCCACTGGCCGCTCACAGCGGGGAAGATCATACTCGTCGTCCTCAACGTCTCGAGAACCAGTCCCATGGCCATAATCTATCACAGCAGGCGTATTATTACTATCAGAAAAGTCATCTCCTTCATGGTAATAGTCATCGTTATTATTGGTTAATTCTTCTTCTTCTTCGACTGCTCCTCCGCGATCACGAGTAAACCATTCAGAAATGCCCCGTGTTTGTTGTTGAACAGATTCGGGTCCAGTGTGTGCATGTGGGGAGAGAGGAGGGGGCGATGGGTCTTTTGGTTTACTAGCAACTACTAAAGGGAGTAATTTGGAAGTGGCTGTGAATTCTAATCGAGATGTTGTTGGTACATCGAATGTTTGAGTATTTTGAATTTCCGGTTTTGTTGCTGTTCCAAATCCACGCCGGTTTAAATAATCATCTGTAACTTTGCAATCGTCTTTGCTTAAGAAATCAGACAATGTAGGTAGTTTCGCAGGCGTCTGCGCTTCACTTAATTTGGATCCCCAAGAAAATTGGTTATCAGTTGAGAAAGGATTTTTGTCTGACTGGCCAATATCAAATGGATTGTTGTCTTGCTTTGGTGTTACTTCGAAGGGATTTCCGGTCTTACTTTTATTTGGCATTTCCCAAGACACTTGATCAAAAGCAAATGGGTTTGCTTCAGGTTTATGGTCTTGAGGGTCTCTAGAAACACGATCAGAAGGTTGGTTGGATACAGAAGGTTGAGGTGGTTTCTTGTTTTTCCCTTCAGCAGCAAGATGCCCAATGGCAGATCTCTAAAAATATGAATACATCAAAATATTCCATAAGTTTTCGACTTTGTTTAGAGATTAATAGAAGTTAAAAAGTTTTATCCCTTACGTCACGATCTCGTGGAATACGCTCAACTGGTCTGTCTCGCTCATTGCGGGATCCACTTATTGGTAACACTCCAGATTTATTTTCTGTAGGGGGAATATTAGGCTGTAAACTCATAAGAGGGACAGGGCCAGATCTATTTGAAAATTGGTCATTGCAAGTATTAAGCCCATCGGCCTTGGTAGCGTGGGACATATTTGCTATGCGTTGTTGTGATTCAAAATTTGAAGCCTTAAAGTTGGGATGGGATTGTGTCGCAAAGTCATAAGAGGAAGAAGAGTCGGAACGAGAGTCGCTGAATCGGGGCGGTGGAGCAGTTGTCTTGTTGGGCATTGTGGAAGGGGGAGGCGGTGGCACATTAGTTTTGTTTTGTACAGCAGGAGTTCCTGTAAACAAGTACAATAAGAGTTGAGAAAGAAATTATCGTGAAGAAATATACTATTGATAATAACTTATGTAAGGTATGTACCGTCTTTTGAGCTTTCCTCTTTAGGGCGAGATTTTAACAAGTCTTCCAAGTTCATGTTCTCAGACATTGAGCTGACCTCTAGTCGAGCTTTGTTCATGCTGTCAATAATAAATCTCCTTTGTTCGATAAGCTGTTCTCTCCATAGGTTCCATTGATCCATATATTTATTATACGCATCATGATCTGGATGGTTTAGATTCGAAGTCTTCCAATTTTCAAACTGTTTCTCCCAATCACGAAATTTTTTATCAAATACTTTTAGAGTACGACGATCATATTCCACAGGTTTACCATCTTTTGGAGCTAACGGAATCTTAGCGGAAAACGATGCTGTTTGTTGGTTACTTGATGAATCGGACTTTGATGTACCAGACGTATCACTTCCAATTTGGAAATTATCTTTAAAATTATCCTTGTCTTGTTTCTTAGTTCCTGATTCGGGGCAACTGGTTTGGAGGGTACTTTCAGTTGAGCTAATGGCTGTACTACATGTTATCTGCTGTTTAATTTCATCACGAAGCTCCCACTTAATTCCATCATCCGTTTTTTTATTGTTGTTACTATTCCATACAACTCCTCCTTGAGTCGTCCAACCGGTTGATTGATTCCTGTTGTCCACATTATTACTAAGATTATCACTCTGTCCCTGTGGACTATCAAGTGTTACTGTTTCAATTTCATCTGAAGGGGCGTTTGGATTTGGAGATTTTTTTGTTTTGTCATCATCCATAAAATCCAAGCCAGGAATTCCTTTGTTATTTTGACTGCTGCTACCAAACAAATCTTGAGAGACGTTTAAAGCCATCAATGGGTTCACTTTAGATAATGTTTCCGTAGCTTGTTGAAATTGTCGAGCAGTTTCCGCATTTTGAAGTAGTTTTAGTACCACATCTGGAATTTGTGGGTCAGAATTGTGTTGACTTTGCTTTCCAGCAGCAGGGGTAGCAATAGTATTAGAACTAGTAGTGCTGCTAGCAGTTGTGGCAGCGCTACTAAAATTCTGGTTAAATTTCGAGCTGGTAGCCTGACTGGTTGGTTGTGGTGGTAGTGGCGGAGGGGGTGCCGCAGGTGTGGGTGGATTAACAGGTAAACTCGGCGGGACTGCTGTTGGTAATGGTGGCTGTAATTGTAATTGATGAGGAGTAATTTCTCCATAAAAAGAATTACGTGGCTTCAAATCTTCTGGTGGAGGTCCTGGTGGCAGAGGAGGCTGAGGATTTGGCCTAGGATATCCAACATTGGTTTGGAACAGTGGCTGATTTTGTTGTTGAATTTGTTGTTGTTGCATAAATGCATTTTGTTGTTGGAAGAACGCGTTATTATTATTGTTCATGTACGGATTGATGTTCATCAAGTTAGCATTAGCGTTTGCCCAAGCACTGTTTCCAACCATGCCCATCATAGGAGATTGCTGTTGGTTCATATTATTATTGGGGTTGACCATACCAGCAGAATAAGTACTTGGCGTTTGAACTCCATAACCGGCGTACCCCATTAAATTGGTTTGTATTTGCTGTTGTTGGCCTTGTTGAAGCTGGAACTGATTTTGGGGAGTTGCAACTGGTTGTCTTTGATTCTGTTTTTGAGCTCCCTGATATTAAATTCGTTATTTTAATATACAACTCATGTTATGGTTTTAAAATTTTGATTTTAATCAAATATAAGTGAAATAATATGTCAAACCTGCTGCATTCCTCCGCCAATCCAGGGGTTCCACTCACTTCCACTGCCCCCATTGTTGTTGAACCCACCTCCGTACATTTCTGTGAAAAACGTTCTACCAGCAACTGAAAAACAATCAGATTTATCAATCGGTCTTCAAATATCGGAAGTCATAATTTTTCATGTGTATACTCACCCACTTGGTTAAAAGTGTATCTATTCCTTGATTAATTGCACAATATTTATGTTAGGATGACTTACGTCACCACGCCGGTCACAGAGTTTTTAAAATATTGTCATTGTTGGCTCAACTTCTTTCTGAGAGTGAAAGGCAATAATCTTTCGTAAGGAACTCAACTTTGTGGTAGCAAATCCTCTTCCATTCTCAAAAATATGCAACTTACAGTTTAAAGTAGTATTTATCCACCGAGATGCATTGTTCACTATTGAGAAATCAAGTAGAAAATAATGATAATCCGAAATCGGCAAGATCCATCATTTTTTTAAAAAAACCTATGTACAACATCCAACTTCCAAGCTACTGCGACTAGATTATAAGAGTTGAATCAAGAGCCGAGTTGCTGTCTCACATTGGCTGGTTTGCAGTCGTCTTTGTTCAGACCATATTACGCTTCATTTCATGAAAAACTGAAGTGGTTTGAAAACTGAAAAGCATTGAAATTGAAACTGAAAACGGGCAATTTTTCTGGAACGCAATGTTCCAACACGGTTCCAAACAAAACGTCCTGTCCTAATAAATTAGCAATCCAAAATCCAAATGTTAGCATGAAAATGTCACAAATGGCTCAGAGACAATAGGAAAACTCAAATTTTAATCATAGCCCTCTCGTATGACACTCAAATAGTTGTTTAATGGTTAAATGATTTTACAAGCAAAGCTGCTTTATTCCAGTATATTTCCAAAGAAGTGATAAGTTACAAACTCCCCTCAAAACTACTACCAAGTTGGTAGTACCAAAAACAAATATTACATTGTTCAGTGTGTCAAACGTTATAAATTACAATTATTATCTAGTATCTACATACATATATGCTGGCTGGACCATGTAAAATACCCTAATAAAACTTTCCCCAATGGGCTGGGTAGTCATCTATCAATAGTTTCGACATTAGACATTCATCCAGGCACTTATTGACAATGTAGCATTTTCACATTAACTTCATTATTACCTCAATGCATACTGCAATCCACTAAACTAATTAGAATTATAAGCATATTTCAACACAATATCACTACCGGCAGAAACATAATAGTAACAATTAAAGGACGTAAAATTGCATTAAAAATATTAACGTAAAATTGTAAACGACAGCTTCCAAATGCGTCCAAAAGTTTGCTAATATAGACCATCACCTTCAAAAATACTATCAATCATCAGTCAATTTCAGTTTATGTATATGTACTAACTATCAACAGTAGTTCTGCTTGCATACATAGTTCCGGTACTGCGTAATTTGCGTGCATTCAGGGGAATCATATCATATATTGGTGAATATAGTAGTTAACAATTAGTGAAATCATAAAGTTGAAAAGTGAATATAAATAATCTGCAAGTACGACGGACAAGACTAGTAAAACGGTCAACGGAATGTAAAAACAATAAAAGGTATGAAATTTTAAAATGCAACGTACAAAAACAAAATGTCTATCATATATATTATACCCTCATCTCTTTTGCACAACTCTGGTTATTAAAAATAGAATTAAATGGTAACAACTGAATACTTTTCGTCAACATAAATAATACACAAATAAAATGTCTACTCATGTGGTCAGTTTGCTTGAAAAAGTCAGGTCCGATTCCTAGTGCTGAGGAGTGTAGATTTAGGGGGGTCACAATTATTGGGGTCTTTGGCGCGGCCATTCGGAACTCTTTTTTGGTAAATATTTTATAATTTCGGAAGAAATCTGTAAAATTCATGCATAGATTAAATTATCGGTATACTTTTTCGGTTTTTATTTTGCAGTTTGCTTGCTTTATTACCTGCTCTTCTGGATTAAGTACCGACATTGAGCTTGCCTTCCGCATATTATGCCTGACAAATGTACAAAAAGTCACATGTATTGAAAATTTCTATTAAAAAAGATGAGTATGAGGTCGATTAACAAATTATTTGCTTTATGAGTAGGAAATAATTATTCATTGATGTGTGCGATAATTGAATAACTAATACTAAATCTAACCATATATGAATTATTTATTTCTGTCCTACAAATCTGCTACGCATTTACTGACAATGAAATAAATCTCAGTTTCGTATGCATTTCAACAAAGTACATAATTTCAAGAACTAACCACGAGTCCAGACTCCGATTTTGCTGGTGGCCTGCCCTTTTCATGCTGCAAAGTGTAATGAAATAAATTGAAAACCGTATTTAATTATCATCGTTAAAGACAACTGTTTGGTGCTCGCATTGAAAAATTACAGCAAAAGTGTAAGAGATATGTAAGTTAAAACTAATAAAGAAACACAGATGAAAAGGGATAATTAAACCAAAACCGGAAATCCTATTGTATATTTAAATAACCCATCAAATGAGAGCAGAACAAAATGCGTGCTTCAAGCTGATGTATAAATCGTTGCAATAGACTCAATGTACATAGGCACAAAATTATGTAGAAATAATTAGCATATTGCATGAAATGTGTTTGCATTCTAGCAAATAGCGTTTTGAAATTCTATATACACGTTAAAGAAATAATTACACAATCAGCAATTAGTACATAAATATTTCTGGGGGAATATTCAAAACTCATCATATTAACTTGGAGCGACTTAGGAATGTTGCATGCAGTGATTTTAGTAATTTCTTGAGTAGTATTATCACAGTCGAATTGTTCATGCTCTCATTCGGTTGGTATCATAATCCAAATCCTCCAAATGTACTCGTAGTGTATGGTGTCGCACTCTTGTTTTAATGAATACTGATGTAACTCTCACCTTGATGTATATTCCGGTTCAAATGGTTTTCTTGCTAAAATTTCCATCACTTTTGGTATTGAATTTCTTATGGATGCTCGCAATTTGGAGAAGGAACCTGACCTCCTTAACTTCCCATACTGCTAATCAGTAATAAACAAATTCAAAGAAGTTGCTGTTTTATCTAAAACTTGTAACGTCGTCTACAAACTAATAGGTATTTATGATCAACATTCTCCATGTTAATTTCGTCACATTGAAATGTTCCTAGCTCAACGAAACTCATTCGGCATTCGACACTGTCAATCTATAAGCATGTCGTTAACATGCACATTCGAAAATTCGCCGTCACATTGTGGAGAAAGGTGTACGATACAAAGCTGTAATTGGATTGCAATGCAAGCAGTGATCCGGGTGCATCAACCAAATAGACAAAATCGACAATAAGAATATGCGTAATAATAGCAATGATGATGTTAGACATGTGTGTGTTGTAAGAAGTAAGATGAGGTTTAACCTATGTATGAGTACATTTAATTAGTTTTGCATGCATTTGCAAATCACAAAAAATATAATTGGCACAATCAACCAAATGTATATTGTGACTGGTTGTGACTCTTATCCTTAGAGATGAGATTTCACGAGCTATTGGCTACAAGCCCCATGAAATGAAATAAAATAAAGTTCACCATCGTCATAAAATAGTATGCGAAAATGTTAAAAATTGGATTATATTTTTAAAAAAAAGTTTATCAGCACTAATAAAAGTAAATTAATAATATAATTTGTTCCTAAATGTATGTAGGTTATTATTTGATATAATATCACTAAAACATACCTGCTGTATTCAAATAGTTTTACGAAAAAGGCATTTGATCACTATTTTACTTTCGGGAAGGCACGCTAATTGAGATTCTTGAATTAATATTGATAATGTTATTTTTCTTTGTAATTATATTAAATCACGCAAGTATGCAAGCATACTATGAATTTGGGTCTAATTATTATTGCAAAGACAGTGATATTCCATGATTGGTTCAGTCTGATATTGCAAGTTCGAATAGTACAATTCTGAATTTTTGTGAATATACGCCAATCAGTCGAGGCTTATTCAAATTTTAGCCAGATTGGCTCGCGCTTCTCTCAATCACATTTTACTAATTATTAGTTTAAATACGATTATCACGATTGAAATCCCAGTGCATTTAACAGTTTGGTTTTCAAACCGGTCGTTGATCGTTGCATATCTCCAGTGTCTCCTGAAGTGATATTGGTTCTCTGTATACTGATATTTGGATCTCCTGACACCACCTTTGCTTGCCCTACCGACGGCTGTAATCAATTGAAAACCATTTAATAAAGTAATAAAATTTGCTATCATGCAATTTATTAGATGGAAACGAACATGGTCAGTCTGTGTAGTTTTTCAAACTCAGGTCAATATTAATTCATATTATGGCTCACTTCTGTTAGTAATGAATTAATTGTAAAAACGTTATTATCATTATAGCTTATCTTGCTTATTTCTAACCATTATCAGTGTAATAATCACCATGAGTGTAGTTAATGAAATATGTATGTACGTATAGCTAGTCGATCCGCTCATTCGAAATTCAAGGGCAACCTAAATTGCTCACGGCTTGTCGTAGATGTGTATAAAGCAAACACGACGACGTCTTGTATAATATAACTACCTACTAGAGGTACTTTTTTACATACAAGCAAAAAAAATAGTAGCTGTGTAGTTTACAATTTCTCCTACTACAATACAACTGAATGTAGGAAAAGGTATTTAAAAAAATCCAAGAATGAATGATTAAAGCTGTCAGAATACAAAAAAAGAATCTAAGCTAGTGTGTATCACAGTAAGTGTACAAAGATAGTAAAAGCCAACAAGCAAATTTCCGAATAAATATCAATTGTCTTTCTTACTGACCTCATCCCCCGCGTCGTACTGACATGAGTCCAAGGATTCTCGAGATCCTCGACGACTACGATCACGAGAAGTTTGAGCCTGCAAACTTCTTCGTTTTTCTTGTGGGGTAAGTACACCACCACCTTCCGGGCCTAGAATTTGCGCCATTTTGGCTTGAGAATAAAAATTATTACTTTTAAATTATTATTTTTAAATGAAGTTAAATTTTAACATTGAATTTATTTAACCCCAACCTTGCTTAATTACGTCAAGAGCCTAATTCAAGAGGAACAACACTAATTAGGAATTTATTTTTGTAATTGTATTAAGATTTGGGATTTTGTATACCTCTTTTCTGGAACGCATTGCACATTCTTCAACAGTTTCAGCAGCTTCATACTTTCCTTGCCGTCGATATAAAAATCCCAAATTTTTTAATGTGGTCGTGACAGTCGGTGAGTCTACTTTTGCAGTTTTATGCCAGACACCATAGTCAGCAGCAGAACCTTCCTTATTCTTGGATTTATTCTCTTCTCTCTCCTCAGCTATATAAATCAAATAATGGAGACGATTATAATTTTACTCTTACTATAACGCCAAGATGAATTATAGGGTTCATGGGCGTGATATGGTATATACTTACCCACTTGCCAAATGGGTTTGTTATCATCTATAAACACAAATAAGCAAATATTAATATTATTTTGTTACTCTTAATAAGTCGCAGAAGAAGTACACCAATGACTTTTACGTACTGTCTATTGCACCATATTCTTTTTCATGTGCCCTGGTTAGTACTTGTTTGTACAATATTTCTGCTTCCTTGTATTTTCCTTGTTTTAGGTAACAGGAAGCTAAATTGTTTTTGGTTTTGGCCACATTTGGATCGTCTGGACCAAGTTTGGATTCATATATTTCTAATGCACGTCTGTAGTATCTTTCCACTTCCTCGTATTTACCCTTGAGGATAATATAGTACATTAGCGAACATTTAGGTTTAGGTAATTAAGAACTAACTACAAACTACAATCATGTCTCTAGAGACTGGAGATCATACCTGATTCTGACATAATAAAGCCAAATTGTTCAATTGTTTCGCCACATCCGGGTGAGTCTAAAAATTTACCATTGAAAAAAAAATATTATGAAAAATAGTTGCATATAGAACAGTATTTGGTAATTCTGTCAGCATTATAATTTTGACAATCTCCAACAGATAATATCTTAAAATACAAACTAAATGACCTACATTTCCCAGCACTTTTTCTCGAATTTCTAGTGCACGCTTGCACAATGGTTCTGCGTCCTTGTATTTACCACGTTTACCATACAATACTGCTAAATTATTTAAAGTTGCTGCAACCTGAAAATTTACATTTATTATTATTCAAATTATTTAGTATCTTTGTGATGTCTAACTCACTGCTGGATGGTTTTCGCCAAGAGTCCTAAAATATTTAAATAACTATTATTTTAAGACACAATGATGACGCTTTTCTTATTTAAGTATATATCACTCACTTTTCTCTGATAGCCAATGCATCGTTCAATAGCTTTGCAGCTTCCTTGTATTTATTTTGATCCCTATAAATCGACAAAAGAATACTTTGAATCATATATCATTAATCTATATGCAAGTTTTGGCAAACACACCTGTAAACCAATGCAAGTATATTGAGCATTGTCGCGACATCAGGATGATCTCGACCAGATGTCCTTTCCAAGTCCTCTAAAGCTTGTTTACAAAGAGGAACTGCAACCTCATATCGCCCTTCATAAGAGGTAAATAAATTTTATTAGCTAGTTAATCATAGTCAATAGGCTAGATGTGTAACAACTCAAATGAACCAAACCTTGCGACGCATATTGGATGACGAGGTTGTGAAGGGTCCTTAATCTAGCAGGAATTTCGTAGCCGGCACTCGCTTGTTGCACAAACTGACTTGGAGGAGTGGGCGACATTGCTTTATACGGTTAAGATTGTTTGTATTAATATCTCTCATTAGTTTAGTAAGTGTAAACCAAATAGGTCCACCTACCCCTGTCGTCGTTGTCATCATCAGGGAACAAGTCCATGACGGGATCCGCTTCTGATTTATTTTCTGAACGTGATGAAGATTCCATTGTGCTCTCTTCATTCTGTATATGTGCATACAAATTATTTCAATTTGTACTCCATGTTAATTGGGGAAAATGAAGCAAAGCCAAGCATTTATAATGATGAAATTTCTTACATCTTGGTCATATTTTTTTATTGAATTGAAAAATTCGAGTCCCTTTTTTTCTTCTTCTAATTGGGCAACCAATTGTTCGGATGCTTGTAACCGCTGCTGAGTAGTTGCTAATTCATCTCTCAACCAGGCGTTTTCTTGACACAATCGCTTTACTTGTGTTCGTAATTTTTGCTTTTCTGCCTCTGTTATTTGCATGTGTGTAGCAAGTGCGACCATAACCTGTAAAAAATGTAGGATTAAACTTGTTTTCTGAGTAGTAAGGAACTTTTATAATAAAATTAAAAACTAAACCAAGGTCCGATTTTAAAGATGTTCGCAACCAAAAGGTCACGTTGGTAAGCTCGTACCTTAGCTTCCTCAATCCCGATATCTATCATCTCCAAGGATTTGTGAAGTATATCTGTTTTCTCAAATGCAAGAATGGTGTCACTGTTGCCCGAATCTTGAGACTTGTGATTCACGGAGGGTTCCAATGCTTGAAGATCTGCATGATGTTCGATTTTTAGGGATTCTACACGGGTTAATTAACAACAATAATAAAAGTTTGAATTAATATTCCATATATGAATATTGTGTCTTACATGTTTACATACATACGACATATACGAGGAAAATTCTTACCTAAACCAGAGATGACGGTCTTGGTACTGCTCACAATCTCATCTTGCGTTAGTTGCGTCATTTTGTCCACCAATTGTTTTTGTTCTCTAGTTAAAATGAATTAAAAATACGTATTTCAATATTAGACACTAAACTTTTTATAACCCCAGTCACAATAAACTCACTTTACTCCAATTTTGAAGTATAACCTCATTTTGTACCATTTATACATACGAGCAAAAATATTATACAGATAATGATTGATATTTTCAGATTTTTGAAGATTTGGTAATAAAATTAAACATCTATGACAAATATCATTGATTTTTGCCAACTGACCGGCACTATAAGGCTGCGATGAGTATAAACTTATCATCAATATCCTCAACAACAAAAAAGTTACATTTTAGTACCGTTAGTTTGTGTAGAATGCATGAAACGCTGCCGATTTTCAAGTATTACCGACATATTAATGCATAATGCTGTTGTAAAACAAGTTGTGAAAACTTGCTTTCCTATCTAGTTTGTAGTTTATCCATTATAAAATTGTATACGCAATTATTGTACGTACTAATTTCATTAAAACGAGCCAATCATGTTGATGTGCGTCAGATGCGTATATGTGTTCAATTTTCCTAGTCCGGTTTTTAGTAACTAGATCTCGATTTCGAATACTTAATATTGCACCAGACAAGCAGATAACACCTGTCTGTAATTACATTGCAATGGTTTACAATATAAATATCTATAGTTATTGATTGCGAAATGCCTTTTGCGAAACGCTTTACCACACCAATATGTATATTATTATATTTGGGTAGTGCATGGCTGTAGCTTTAATTGTGTTTAAATTGTAGAAACTATAAGGGTGAAGGAATGCAGAGAGTGTTATCGTATATTATACACTTACCTATCCATATAATGGCAAAATATTGAAAGCCTTATTGTTTGATGTACGTCCTAAGATTTTACTGTTCACATTCGAAATTTAAAAGTTTATTACAGATTATTCTTCGCCGTAGCGTCAGCGGCTGCCGAATAGAATTCACGGTGTCATTCAATGGTTATTGAAATTCGTTCAGCAATTTAGCACTTCATAATATATTTTAGTAACATATTTCGTTTCTACATGCTAGCTCTAGCATTATTTTCTGCAAAACTTTAATGTAATTAGACTATGACTATACAATCACGTAGTATTATCTTAAAATCCACTTCAATTGAATTATTCTTGACAGCTGTTCACTGTTATTCTGGCTGGTTCTGAATCAGATTCAGCAACTCGTTCATATAAACTATGAACTGAAAGTTTCAAGGTATTATGAATGTCGCGAACAATTTAATCCGATTGAATTTATACAAAACGAAATCGTCCCTTCACTCACTTTTACTATATTTGATGCTTGAATTGAAAAAATAAGAAATATGCATCACGGTTTACACTTATATTTCGACGACGAGAAATTACGAAATTTGGAAATTTGTAAGTGGGACCAGACAATTGAGGAGGAGCAGCTGTAATTTACTTTCCTTTATTTAGAACAGATTCGAACTCTCCTCCACTCCTCGTCATTTCATCATCAGCAGAACGGAAGTGAGCAAACTAGAGACTAAATTTTTTATCTGCTGCCTATGCCACAGCCAGATTGAAGATCAAACAACCGTGAATCACACGTCGGATGTCTAGCTCTATAGGTTTAGATTATTACGTCTACGCTCAATGTTTTGTGTGTATAAATTGCACGAATCTTCGCACCACCACCATCATCAGCCAACTTGCTTGCCGCAAAATCACCTCAGTGGGTGTGTTTATGTTAAGGACAGTAACACGTGCCCTAGCGCCATCCTTTTTACGGTAAGTCAAATTATTTCATATGAATTCGTAGTCCCTGCCAGGACTTATTACACCAGAAATATGTGACACACTCCAATTTAAAACAATGCATAGAAAGTTTAGAGTAGCAAATACCACAATTAAACCAACTTTTAAAGTGCACAATAATTGAAGTTAGTGGTTCAACGAGTAGAATGTGATGGCGCTGCCTAGCTGGTTAAAATCAGCCTTAAAATGCATACAGGGCAAAGAGATATTCACACGCTATGAGTAAACAGCGCCAGGTTTGCTTTCCCTTCTAATCACTCACAACAAAGTTTTCTCTCAACTTGTACTTCATACTTTGCCTTATTTTAAATTAGTGAAAGTTTTGGATAATAAATATTGGAAACTCAAATCACAACTAAGATTATTATATTGGTCAGCAAAATTTCCAATCAATCAAGTTACTAGATATCTAATTAATCGTGTATGTATGTATTATCTTATTTTTTGACGAATATTACAATTTGTTTACAGACAACCAACCAATCAAAGTAATCAAACAGCTGAGAAGATTTATAATGGTGTGCGATAAGTGTCAAAAGAAGGTAATTAAAGTCGTTATCATTTAGCATGATTATTCATAATTATTGGTTGCTTACGATAATAATTACTACTTAGGTGGGTAAAATCATCACACCAGATACATGGAAAGACGGTGCAAGAAACACTACAGAAAGTGGGGGCAGGAAGGTTTGTTCAAAATTAAAATTAAAAATTTATAGTTTTACGCAGTAGGAGGTCTATCAATATTTGTGATTTTAATCTAGATAAATGAAAACAAACTCCTTTCATCCCGAAAGACTAGAGTTAACCCTTATTCTACAAAATTTGAACAATGCCGAATATGCAAACAAAAGGTACTAATAATGCTTATTATGTCTGAACAATGTGGGTGTCATCATTTAGGTTTTCACGCTTTAGATTTATTCCAGCCGTATCATATATTAACAAAAATAATTCTACTTGGCAGCAAATGTTCAAATTTTACGATTTTAGATCATATGAATTTTTTTCAGAATTCCTACAAAACTCCGGCATTTATAAGTTAAAATGGATGAAAAATCTAAAATATTCGGATTGAAATCTTTCAGGTACATCAAGCGGGATCACATTACTGTCAGCCTTGCGCTTATTCCAAAGGAATATGTGCAATGTGTGGCAAAAAACTTATGGAGACTAAAAACTATAAACAGTCAGCAACGTGAATGGAAACAGTTAGTACTATTGATTTATAATTGATTTAGTGTTTTTTTTAAGAAATCAATATTTTATGATTTAACTGTTTAGTTTATGGGATAGTTTAAATTATGCAGTTTTAGTTTTTAGCAGATTTCAATAATATTTACTTCATTGAAGTTGTTTGCTGTTCCAAATTCCGCAGAATTGACTTGTACGATGTATGCTTAATTCAATAAGATGCAATAAATATAATAATTACAATGCTTGACCGATTTATTAGAGTCATTTCACTAACATTTACACATTTTCGTAATAAAAATTAGACGAGTCCCACGTTCAAACTTATAGTGTAAAACATGTATATATATATTGGAATAGAGTTTACATTTATATTTTGTATTCCGTGTGTATTTTGTGACATGTGCATTATACATTTGCACACTTGATTAAGAGCCAATAATATATCTGAACTTGTTTAGTGTAATTTAAAATAGAATGGAATACGTAAAACAGGGGTTAAACAAGTAAAAATACTTTCTACATAAAAATTAATATTATATTTAAGTAATAATTATAATAAATCTATGTACAGTAAACAAATGCAAAACTTCCCTGAAAATCAGGTACTCTTCACAAATGCTACATTTTTGATTGGCTGCAACGCATTTTACCGGACAACGTCAACGGCAACTCCTCGGTCGATTTTATGCTTCTTTCTAGCATTTATAATGATATGACATATGTACAGACACATTTAAGTGGTTAATAATAAAGCTAAACACAAATGACACAAGGCCTTACTACTACACATTAACACCTACATATATTTATGATAAAATGATATTAAAAATATTAAAGGGAGAATCTGAATCCGAATAATGGATGAGATTAGGAAGAGTGTGCAAAAAATTGGCAATCCATTTTACATAACAAAACTAAACAACAGCTCTTCTAATCATGGCACATACAGCTCAGGACGTCAGTACAAATTTATATTTGGAAAGTATAGAAATCTATATACGTACTTTTCGAAAAATGTACAAATATGTGCAACTATGCAGGTTATTTTATTCTAAACTTTTTCACATCTTGAATCAACATGAAGGAAGACAATCGATAAATGGCGTTTCTCAACAAACATATGTATGAAACAAAAATATTGCATTATGCCCAGCACGATTTTAACCAACTAAATTAAGTAATCAACTACGTTAATAAGACAAAAACGTTGTTATATGTACAAATGAAAGCTATCATGGCATTTTATAACAAAACTCTCGAAACCGAAGTATTCAAGAAGTTGTATGCTAATTAAACTATTTGCATATACATTAAATTATAATTATACGGACGGATTTGACAAAGGCATTCTTAGCATTCAAAGCTAATTAAAGTAAATATTTAAAAACTGTCGAATAGAATAAGAATTTTAAGTGAAAAGCAGACTAATTTTGAGCAACTAGCTTATCACGGATTTTAACCATACATATTCATAATAGTGATTTTGAATACTTTGAGTTGTGACCAATTGTGATTGGGAGTATGACGTCAAATATGTGAGCGTGCTGGGACCATGGAATGATAACCGGTTTGGAATTTGCTCGGTATTTGTTTGAGGCTTGACAATAATTTTGAACTTTTCAAGTTTCCATTGTGCCCAGGACGGATTATTTGATTTTGCAGCATTTCATAGGGATTAAATTATATATGTGGAGGATATAAATCAAAATAAGAGTTATACATTACCACTAAGAGTTACACATTTTTACAGAAATTAAAGTAAATAGTTTTATAATAATGGAAATTTGAAGAATAACAACGACTAAAACTTGTACACCCCTCAACAGAACTCGAACTCGTCGACCACTGGCCGTCATCACATCACGCATTATTTTTATTATGCCACTTTGTCTCATTCGGTTTTAAAGCTCGATTATCAAAAATTACAAACCTCAATTACCTTAATACATCTATTTTTTACAACTTTACAAAGATTATTTATTGCTTTCATACACTCTGCACTTTGGCTCTGCTCTAGCTTATGGCTAACAAATGTTAACGTGTTCAGGATATTTACATAAATCTATCTATATGTACATATGTACATTTTGTATGATGTATATTTACAAACCTGATTTTGCATGAAAACCCAATGTTAGATATTTACATGTTTTGAATGTCAATTGCAAATTACGCCTCGAAAGAGACGGTTTTTTTGTAAAAATTAATTAATCTCGTAATTTTTTACGATATATGTATGCTACATTACATACATATGCACACTTATTTAATAGTATGTAAACTCTTGTTAATTCCGATCCATTTCAAATTGTTGTTCTTTGTATATTTGAAAAATTGGGGACAGGAAGAGGTTACATATGAATGTGCAATTAAGTGTAGACAAGTTTTAAATCAAAATTTTTAATATATGTACACTAGACAATACTTAAAGAAAACATATATGCATAAAATACATTTTTTTGCATCGCTGGATTTGAAATTCGGTGGGTGAAACTAGCTTATTGTAATTTGTAAAATCAATTCCTCTTTACCAATATACCTGGTTTCATGTTGAATGGTAACATTTGCAAAAGGCAACATTTAAAAAAATCATTTGTGTTTGCGATTAAACGCTGTGATAAGTTTGTTATTTGAATTATTTATCCTCGGCTATCCACTCAGACATGAGAAGAAAATTGCAAATATTAGTTATGAATGTGGGATGTGGACTGTGGGAGGTAAATTACTTAAACTACATAATCAATACCTAAAAAACTGATATACTCATATACATGTATGTATACTCAATTGCCATAATATTATCAAGTACCTCGGCTACTGAAACCTGATCATCATACTAAATAACTTTGTCGTGCTATTTTCTTATTATTATTGGGGGAAACCCGTTTTACATCTTTCCGCAATATTATTTTTCTACCGAAAGAATTAAACGTATGCAGATAAGTACGAAATCTGACCAAACTACTCCAATTTATTTGGTAGGTTTGAGAGTGGGTAAGTCAGATTCTTCGTTAGTGGTGTCTGCGGAGGTGGGTGACGACTCCAAGGTGATTTTAGACACGATTCTCCCATGCGAGTCCACAGTGGGTTCCCCAAGGGTAATTTGGGTCACCGTCTTCTGGGGCAGCGTCATCGTGGTCGAATACACCGTTGTCGTCGTGGGGGAATGCTCTCCGGAAGGAATTGGAGAGCTGGTGACCATCATCTCGGAAGTCGCATACTACATAAATTTTATTTTGTTAAAAACCTAGTTTAGTTTTAGAGACTAGTGACAAAGACACGTGGCAAGTCCTGTATTTTTTGATGTGAAATAAATTCATAAGAAATTCTGACCAACCTTGTATTCGGTTTCCATCTTATATGTGGAAGGACTAAGAGCACCATTTCGGTTATAAGGCATGTCATCGTCGTCATTGGACGATGAGGTCGACGGTTCTGGATCTGAATGAGAATGAGCACATAATGTCAACTCGTTTGGCGTATTCTTCTGCTCCACATACACCCAGTTATCAAAGCTAGCGGGTTCAAGCGAGTCTGGGGACATGTTAACGTTGACATTGGCCGTAGTGATTGTGGTTGTATTTAATGTGACGCCACCACCAACATTACCGCTAATTCCCCCCATGCTTGAAGCTTGTTTCTGTAAAAACTCGGCATGGGACATCATAATGCCATCCAATTCTTTGGAACTTATTTCAATAGTCTGTCCCTTTGAGTGTCCAACTGCCGTACTGGTGGTTAGAGTCCCACGACTGTCAGTAATTTTATTTACGTCGTGGTCATCGTGGAGAAAAGTTGGTGGGGATGACTCTGTCCTCACTTCTGGAGATGAGTCCACAGAAGAAGAAGAGGAGGACATGGAGGAGTCTTTCCTTAAGGGGGAAATGGGGTTTAGTTTGATCGTATTGGCGTCTTGTACTACAATTAAACAAAAACGTATAATTATTCACTTTGTGAATTTGTATTTCTCAAAGCTGTGCCTGGTCGTGTATGTATAGTTTTGTTCAGTTCCTGGTGTCATGTCTTGAGCGATAAACGACACGAGCTAGCGATAGAAACCTTTGATCTTCTAATACGTGTGTATGTAGTGTACCCTGACTTGTCACGGTTGCTCAGATATCGGAAAAGTTAGTGAGTCTGTAGTGAATATTTTAAACCTTACCCGTTTGCATAAGCCTTGATTTACTGTCACCCCTTAGTACAGAAGCTTTGTTAGTGGCAGAAGAAGCAGAATCATCACCTTCCACCATGTGGTGATGTTGGTCATCCTTCGCCGTCATGCTTTGATGGATGCTGGTCACTGTAACGTTTCTCACAGTATTGCTCGACGATTCCATTGACCGGGCCCCTAATCCACCAATGGACGCCATGGACTCATGTCCGCCTGTCCCACCACCATTTGCATGCACTTGGGTTCCCCCATTTTTGTTCACATGAGCGATTATGTCATCCACAGTTTGTTGAGCCAACATCTCAGCCTCGTCCTTCGTCATCGCATCCGAGGAGGATGAAGAAATGGTCATGGTGCTGGAGGTAGCGGGGGCAGGTTGAGATTGAACTGTGGAGAAAGTTACTCCACCACTTTGGTGTTCTTTCTCTAGCACTGAATGTACCAGGGATGGACTATCCATTTTGTGTGCAATGCTGTTCATCATGGAAATTGTATCGTCCATCATTCTCTGAATTTCGGATGCACCATGTTGTGGCTGTTGAATTGTTGAACTGGGGTCTGAGGAGCCAACGTTGATTTGCTGAATGGTCGTGGTGGTGGGGGTAAGACCGTACGTGAGACCGGATGGCAGGTCGTCACTAACTGGGGGAATGTCGTTGGTGGTGTGGGTGACTACAGTAACGGAGGACTCCTTTGGGTGAACGTGTACCACGGAAGTGGCTGCTGTTGCTGCTGCTCTGAGAGTTTCAGAGCTGGAACTGGAAGAAGTTTCCTCCAAACGAGTCGTGAGGTTTGGTTGTTGTGATGATCTGGTAAAATGAGGAATTATGACTTTGGAATCCGGATCTGCGCTCAAATCATCCACGGGACCAGCAACTGGCATAGTACTGCTTGTTGTACTCATTTGTTCATTTTCAGCCGCCATGTCTAAAGACATTGTCCTGTCCATGTTATCCATCTTCAGCTTTGGTTGTAAACTCGACAAGTCACCGAACGACGCAGACCTTCTTCCGCTTTCTGGTGTTTTGGAATAGGATTCGTTAAGCTGAACATCGGCGGACGTTGCGGCGTCGGCAGCGTAAGTCATAGTCTCATGAACTGTCTCAGTGACGGTGGTCGTGGTGGTCGTGGAAGTTGGGGGCACAGGAGCTTTCCGCTTTGCTGATCGTTTTGGTTTTTTTGGTTTTCCAGAAGACTCGTCCTCACTGTCCGAGGAAGAGCTGCTAGAACTTGTGGAACTGCTGTCATCTTTTTTCCCCTTTTTATCCTTAGATTTTGGTTTCTTTTCTGATTTTTCCTTTTTGGGCTTTTTATCCTTTGTGGACTTTGTGGATTCCTCAGTAGTCAAAGCCTTTTCTTTCGCCTTGGCAGATTCTTTGGACTTTCTGGGGGCAACAGGTGGCTTGTCATCCCCACCACTTTTGACCATTTGCTCCATTTGTGTGTCACTATTTTGTTGCTGCTGTGACATTGACGCCACTTCCTCAAATGTTTCCGTCTCAATCTCAATCGTCTCAACAGGAGGTGGGCTGCTGGCCGTTGCTTTAGTTTTCCCAGATTTCTTTTCCTTGTCCTTCAACTTTGCTGACTTTGATTTCTTTTTATCCTTTTTAACTTTTTTATCCTTGTCTTGAGCATCACTTTCATCAGAGGATGATGACGAGGAGTCGCTGGATTGACCGCTAGTTGCAGCCTGTTTCTTTGCCTTAAGCTCTGCTTTCTTAACTTTCTTCTCTGCCTTCAACCTTTCTTTCTCCTTTTTTGCCTCGGCTGCTGCCTTCTCCTTCGCCTCCTTTGCAGCCTTCTTGTCCAATTTCACCTTCTCTTTGGCTGCTTTCACCTCTTTTCCCTGCTCTTCAGCATCAGCCTCGTCCTCACTGGAACTGCCATTGTTGTGAGCACCGCTATGTTGCTGCTGCTGGTGCTGACCATCGTGAGACCGCTTTCCCGAAACTTTCTCTTTCAAGTCACGCAATACTTTTGATACAATACCAGGTTTGCTTTCTCCACTTTTCTCACCTTTCCCATCCTTTTCTGTCAAATCTTCCTCGGATTTCATCGTCTTGTCCCTAGTCCCCCTATCACCAAGCGGCGTTGGAGAGCGTGATCTTCCCAGAGACATTGCTTCCTTGTCCTTTATCTCACTCTCCACGGAGGGTGGATAGAGCCCGTAGCTCACCCCAATAGGTGAGGAGGGTCTCGCTTCCATGGATGGCAAACTAGCTGCTTCCACCTCGGACGATGAAGCAGAAGGTGGTGGTTTCTTGGACTTGGAGATTGACATCTCAGAACTCTGAATTTTCATGGCAGCATCGTCAACGGATTTGGCAGACTTTGAGAAATCCGGTGCATCAGCAGTAAGCTCAACTTTTACGGAGGAGGAGGATGACTCTTCGATATTTTTAGGAATTTCACTCTGTTTACTTTCTTTTGCTGACCCATCACCTGCATTCTCAAAAGAATAAGTTTGTTTGCTGTGTCCAAATTTAGGAAGTTTTATTCCCAAGTGAGGCATGTGAAAACCACCGCCTCCTTTTTTAGGCGATGATGACTTTTCAGTCTCAGCCGAATCTGATGGGTCCGCGGAAGGTTTCATAGTCATCGTCTCATTATTTTCGGTGGAATCATCGGATTCTCTGGAAGCTGGTGATGTTGGGCGACTTTTATCCTCTTTTGTTTTACTTTCTTTCTTGATTTTTGTGGCCTTGGCTGGTTTTGATGGGCTTTCTGGCTTAGCACCTGGATCTTTATCCACCATCATCTCTCCCTCTTTCTCCCCGGAATTGCTTCCACTGCTGTCTTTTCTTTTCAAAATTGGTTTATCAAATGATGGAAATTTGAGGTGAAACCCAAATCCGGAAGAAGAGGATTTCTCCAAAGGCTTCTTTTCACCAACCATTTCCTCGTGATGATATGACGAGGATGACTCGGATGTGAATGTCGTAGTTACTGGCTCATTTTCATTTGCATCCTCTTTCTTACCTTTGGATGATGATGAACTCATTTCCTTTTTCTCTTTATCTTTGCTCTTGGAGGATTTGTCCTTTTTCTCTTTGTCCGGCTTCTGCTGCTTACTTTCCTCCTTCGTCATTTCCACCACCACCACCTCATCAACCTCTTCATAAACCCCAACATCCTTGTTTTCTTTCTCTTTCTCCTCTCCTGATTTGTTGCTTTTACCAAAATTTAGGCTGATATCTGGGAGGTTAAATCCGAATTTACTAAACTTGGATTTTTCTGGCGATTGTTGTTCGCCATCGCCCTTCATCTCCTTACTTGCTTTCTCCTTCTTTGCCTCCTTCTCTTTGTTTTTGTCAGCTTTGTCTTTGCCCTTCTGTCCCCGTTGTGGCTTTTTCACACTGGACTCCTCTTGCATCCCCATAGCCAGTTCCGGAGCCATCATTTCAATTTCCACGTGAGGACCTTTCACTTCCTGCTTCCTTAGATCGGAACTTTCTCCACTCAACATCATCATGGAAGGAATTTTGTCCTGCATATTTGGAGCTTGCAATTCCGGGAGTACTACTTCCATGGGTTCAACCTCAATTACAGCGGCTGACTTGGGGCCTTTAATGCCAAAATCAGCCGAGTTCGTTTGTTGCGAGATGGAGTGTTCCTCGACCATCTTTTCAAAGTCTGCAGACATTTTAACAACGGGAGAAATTGCCTCCACGACCACCACTGAAGCAGCGGGAGGAGCAACAGCAGCGTCTGGAGGAGCATCTTTCTTCACATTAGTAACTTTTGACTTGGCTCGTGGAATGATTTCTGGTTTGGACATCTTTGCAGACACTTTAATTTCTGGGAAAATGGGACCTCTGGCTGAGTCCACTTCATCAACAGAGATTTGCTTTGGATGATGAGCCTTCAGGCCTAGTTTACCTGCTCCCAAACCTAAATTGGCATTCGGGGACTGTGAAGACGACTTTTGTGATCGAGCCTCATTAGAACCAACCACCACGGTTGGAACTTCCATTGTTGTTGATGATGAGGATGAAAGCTTCATTCCGTTCGTCTGTTTTTTACTACGACTCACTTGCTGATCCAAATGTTCTTTTCCCACCTGCAAATTACAAAGACGACATGAGAAAAAATGTTTATTAGGCGTGATGCGAAAGCACAATGAGCATATTTGCTTGAGCTACACGTGCATTGAGACATTGCGGTATTACAGAAACGACTGATTTTTAATGGAACCAGAATAACTCGCGTCAAATAATTGCATGCAGTTCCTCGTGCTAATTTGTCACTGCAAAACATCAAATCACAATACTTATCGAATCGACAGAAGTATTGTGACTGAAGCCCTTTAGAGTGCTCAGCGCAACCTTGAGATGGGATGATCAATATAATGTCATGTAAGTACATACACATGTAAATAAGTGTGTGTTCTCAGACAAAAAAATGCAGTGGTACGTATGAAGAAGAATAAGGTTGCCAAACAAATAGGTTATTCGAGTGTACAAGAATCCAGATAAAAGAAATATCGTGCCCCTGTGCCGCATTGACAATTGACAATGGTGCTGTGTGCAAGAAAATAAATTCCAAAGGTATTTAATAGATTACAAGCATGATTTCCAATGAATTTTAATACGCATGGCATAAAACGAAACAGAAACCCCATGAAGCTTTTCTCCTCTTAATGGCAATCAATCCTTGCTTTCTTCTCATTGTTCTCTTCTCTTATGTTGTGAACGTGGTTTGTGATGATGGTATGCAAACTCAAATATGAGACAACTCTCTTCCTCTTCCAACCACCACCAATTTATCTCTCCTCAATAAATCTAAACCCGTGAATGCGTCCGATTTTAATATAATTTCACTAGAGACGGTCCAAAGGAGAGAATGCATGTACATATTATTTCAGTTTAATAATCATAAAATCGCCATGCGTATGTAAATTTTAACATACTTAAATACATAGGCCATCAACTCATCAATATCAAGAAATCCAGGTCTCAGTGGACAAACCGTGTGTACGTGTAAACTTGTATTTAGGAAACCGCGTCTCTTTCAGCGTACAACTGAGGTGTGACCACGATAAAAAGTTTCCTTGTACTATAAACTACTAAACAAATAAAGGATGGATGCATGCTATTTATTTGAACCAGAAGAAAAGGTGCAAGTCAATCGACCTCATTTTTTGGCTTGTAAAGTGTGGACATTTGAGATTAAAGACAAAGTGAACAAGCACCGCACCATGCATGCACTTGCAGCTCGGCTTTGTGTCAAGTTTTCAAACAAGGGAAGAATACGACGACTTCGTTCACTCTTATTCATTCAGAAAGAAAGAGAATCATTTACGGTTGGCCAACAAGCTTGCCTGAATTTATTGCCATGATCTTCAATGTAATTGCCCCTAGCGAGTTGCAAGAACTGCGATGTACCTGCTACAGCCGTATACTCGCGATAAAGATCTTCCTACTCGTTGATGATGGACATCAAATAATTATTCTTTGAATCATTTCAATAGAGGTTATTGCTTTTTTAATTAATTAACCGGCGTTCCTTGCTTGCTTTATTACTTAGTTGTGGTGATACATATTTATTTAAATTTTTTAATCGTCATCAACTAGCGACAAAGTTGCATGCAGAGGAAAATGGAAATCCGAGGTGGATTCAAAGACTTGTATTTATCATAATAAAAGGTAAACTTCCTCAAGTTTTGCGTACATCGGTTTGTAACAATAAGCAACAGTCCTCTTCTAGGAGATATCTATTTAATTCAGTTTGGGTCTATGATTTTCAGTGTATGGACATATGCACGTAAGATATCAGGAAGGTCTGCTGAGCCACTTTTGATTGATCGAGGTCTATCTATCCAAGTCTTTGAATAAATTAAATGAGGAGTGGTTCATCTTCATATGATTTAAAGCTAAAAGTTTTTAATGACGGATGAAAATAAATTCAAATTCAAACAGCGTAATTAACGGGATGCAATTAATTTGGTTGCGGTTTGTAGTGTTGGTAAATTGAAATTTTGATACGATCAAATATTTATGCATACCATTTTCTATTAAAGAAATGCCATACGTATAAAAATATATACGTGATTGACCAAAGTGAAAATTAGATATTGATATTCTGCATATTATTTCAGCAATAATAAAAGTAGACTAAATGGATCATACTTTTAGCTTAACAAAATATATGTGTAGGTTTATAAATAAAATGAAGTTGGTAAAATATTTAGTTGGCAAAAATAATCTGTAATGGGTTTGAATCGACTCTAACTTAATGCCCTTTCTACCCACATCAGAAATTCGCAAGACAATGACTTTTTTTTGCTCCTCCGAACTTGTGATCGCATCATCTTCAACAGCATCGGTCCATGAAGAGAGCATTTAATTTGTTGTTCTTTGTTGCTGGGTGTTTTGTGGCCAGCAGACCCATCAATGTTTCATCATCATCATCCCGAAATAAATCTCGTTTTTAATGCCCAGGAGGAGATAAGCTACAAGTCATTCCCCAGCCAATTTACCACAGCAGCAGTGTGGATGATGAGAATTTAGTAGTGATGTGATGCAGCCTAAACTTCGTCACGTGCATGCAACAACGACGATACAACGACGTCTGCTAATCACCGATAAAACTTTAACGTGAGAGGAGAGAGAGGGAGAAAGACGGCAAAAGAGATATGTATTAAGCACATAAATACCTTTCTCAAGTCGTCGATTGATTGACTCTTAAAGAATGGATGACACACCCTCTCGAGAGTACCCGACTGACCGGAACTCGACGGATGCGTAACTGGGGACACGAAAAGCCCTTTGTGGTGCAAGGACTTTTCTGGATGGCGCATCATCTCAAGCGACACTGAAATCGATAAATTGTCATTTATTTAAGATTTATTTAGTAAACAGTACAGAACGATTAAAGAGTTAACCACAAAAAACAAACCTTCATAAGGCGAGGCGTAGCTCAGCAAAGTTACTGCGTCTTCCAGTACCATTTGTTGGAAGGAGACAGTCATGCTGGTGATCTGGTCACCTAGGAGGACACAGAAAAAAAACTGATTAGACGGCCTCAGCTTAACAAATTTAACCTCTTTAGAGAAATTCATGGGACGATATCCGTCAAAGTTTACATACTCCTCAGAAAGTATATAAAGTCAAAGGTTGCTTAATTTACTGGATGCTAAGTTTTAATGTCTTCTACTTAACACTTGCATTGACGCTGCTGCATTCTTCTTCTTTTTCTCAAAGTTCAACCCACCACATCGTACAATACATCGTATAGTATAAGCAGTGTATGTTACAAACGAATTTTCAAAGTGATAGTCACATCGACAAACGTCTTTCAAAGTAACAATAAGAATATACCCAATTCAACAGTAATGAAATTCTGCATGGCATCAACTGCATTTTCAATCAATATACGACTCTTTTGTTTGCAGATGTAAATTAGAAACTTATTTTTCAAGACAATTGATGTCAAGCTGTTAATTGAAGAATCTAATCATTTATTAAGCACACGAGACTAGCGGCTTTTGTAAAGTCAAACTGCAATTTAAAGTTGAAGTGAATAAATGAGGCAACAAACAAACACCTCACATGTTTCGCCATATTGTTTGCTTTTGACTGTCGAGGTAAGCTTTTTAGTAAAGTCAATTTCAATTTTCTCCATTCAGCAGGAAATTGTAGATGCATAATGAATTAAATCAGGAAAAGCAAGCTTCATCGTAAATACGTATGCACATTGCACATATATTTGTATGCATGCACACATGACGGATAAAGACGAATATGCAATAAGTAATAATAATGATGGCGATAATAATAATAAATAGTAGTTTTGAATTACCTGGAAGAATGTGCTTGGACTCTGCAGCAGGACCACGTTGCATGACATCCTTCACATAAATACCTTCCTTCATATTTCCACAGATATTGAATCCCAAGCCCGTGAAGTCGTGACCTCTGAGGGCAACAGAATATTTCTGGGGCTCCTAGAATTAAGAAGTATAAATTAAAATAGAGCAATACTGCCAAATCTAGATGGGTACAAACTTATCCATCTACGCCTGCAGTAGAAAGTTGTTCCTTCTTGGTATACAAATTGCAATTGAAACATGAGACAAGACGAATTACATAAACACCGCTGTCACATCTGTGAATAGCCGAATTTCTAGCTATCAAATCCTTCAACGTAAGTATGCATAGTTCTCACAGAGTGCAAGATTAATCAAACAAAAAGTTGAGAACGCAGCCCTTCCGGTTCTTTATCATCCGAGTTATTATTGGCTGAGATTTCTTTGTTATTAACACACCAAAAGTTATTTATATATTCTCATTTTATTTTTGAACCTTTGTGCAAATATGTGCAAGCTTCTGCAACATTATTGTTCTGCACATGTACGTACGATGACTTTATGACAACATGATCTTCCAATTTAAACCATGTAAAATTCAACGACTTTCTTCGTATCATTATATGTGCTATCATGACACATGTATTGCTTCAGAGAAATTGTATACTTGACGAAATTTAAAATTTAAGTTCCTACTCCAAGATTTTAAAACCAGTGCTATTTAAATAAAATAATATGCCACATTTAAGACCCATTTATGTTCCGTCAAATTAATTATTTATATCCACTACACCCTACTCTTCACGAAATAAAAAATCTCATATTTATAGCTTGCAACCCTCCACGTCATTTCATTCATTATTATTCGTCCTGTAAAAATTAAGCTCCAACACACAATATTTTACCTGTAATGACATGGAATGCACTTAAAATATGGTACTTGATATTAAAGCCATTGCATTTTTGTTGAGCATAAATCCATATAAAGATTGAGTAGGTTTGAACATGAGAGTGGAATTTGAGGAAGAAGTGCAAGTGAGTGAATGGGATTAGCCGAGCTCATCTTTCATGGGACTCTGTCGCGAGTCTTCTTCTGTGGGTCAGGTGCACCTCGACTCTCAAAATCCAAGCCATACAACTTTTTTGATGTCTGTTTGTTCACGAATCTTCTTTCACATGCCTCCACGACTTGCTCAGACCCACACACTCTGCATATTTCTCAAGAAACATTACGATGGCGTTTCTCCCAGCACTTTGTTAAACTTTGATGTATTACAAAGTCAACAATCAACAATTCCACCAATGCAATAAGTATGCGGGTCTGTGAGTACATCACATATGAGTATCATAAGAAATACATGAGGACTCTGAGCCACGAACAACGACTCGTGAAAAACTCAACCTGCTGACCTGCATAGACCCTCAACCTGCATAGACTTGGCATACCTCATAAATATGGCTATCTTTCAACAATTATCAAAAGTGTTGTAAAAGGCGGTTCACAATGGATTACGTAGATTCGACTTTTTGACTTTTCTGACTCTGTAACAGCTTTCATTGGACATTCAAACATAAACCCTACGGCATGTTGCTTTGCATACATAGACACCTGTGAAGGGTCCACCAAAGATCAAAAAATGTCTTACTGCTGCAAGGGCAAGAAATCAAAATTATGACCAGAAAATGGTGATTAGCACATTCCATTGGTACGTAAAAATAATGTCCTCGTTGAAACTGGTTAAATTCGCCCGTATGAACTGCTTATAAGTTTTATTAAATGCATTCGAAACGAAAATAACCGCGTATGTGGTCGCAAGGTTAAAAACGTCATAAAAAATTGTACCGAATCAAAGGAATCCTGAAAAACGGTGAATGAATGATCTTCTAGTACGTTGTCCAAACTTTGCGAACCTTTAACTTTTCCCGAACTTTTTGAACCAGTCTTAAAACAATTCATGCTTAAAAGTGTATATAATCACAGCAAACCAAAAACTCACATAAAATAGTCTTGCAAATTATACCTAGCTGTTAGTGTTGACAAACTTGTGACTGACTCGAAAAAATTCAGACTTGCAATCGTATCGTAGTTAACTTTCATGAAACTGGGACAGAATGAATTTCAGTGATCATGAATATTTAATGATTTCAAATACCAATAATAGTCGCGTAAAACTCAGATGACTCATTCTCTTCCGTAATTAATTTTTATCAACATATTCCCTCGTATATCCAGGGTTCGGAAAAACCCAGGGTTTTAATCAAAAATTATAAAACCCATGGGTTTTAATGGGTTTTACCATGTTAATTGGGTTTTATTTGGGTTTTAATGGGTTTTACCATGTTAATTGGGTTTTATTTGGGTTTTAATGGGTTTTATTGGGTTTTATTGGGTTTAAATGGGTTTTATTGGGTTTTATTAGTTTTAAGTAATAACTTAACAAAAATAATTCGGAATTTGTATCTATTCGGAAATTATTTTTGTTTTATAACACTTGAAATCTGTGATGCTAAAGGATGGAGTCAATTGTTGATTTGTTCCGAATTTTCATACACTAGAATAGTAATGAAATAGACTACTTTAGAATGAATTGAGATAACGCCTTCTAACGTATAGGAGATGTATTTAACTTCTAGAATGTAGTTTTAAGGTGAAACTCAATTAAAACCCAATAAAACCCATTAAAACCCAAATAAAACCCACTTAACATGGTAAAACCCAGTGGGTTTTATTCATTTACAACCCATTAAAACCCATTAAAACCCAATAAAACCCAACCCATTAAAACCCAGGTCGGAATACCCTGCGTATATCCTTGCAAATCATCACCACTAAGCGTGAAAAATTTCGTTCTTTGTTTATTATGCATTGCTTAACGAATACTTGTCGTCGTATAATACAGCATTTACAACCAAGTACGTGCCTTACGCATAGGATTTACTAATTGCGATATCAACACTTGCATGTCTCAAGTTTGTTAAATCGAGGACAAGATTTACAATGAGTATAATATTTGAACAAAGGGAAAGAATAATAAGTTATTGAACAAACCTCCATCACCGAATCGTCCAACGCACTCCGAGATTTGAAGAGAAATCTGAATGGCCCCCATGGAACCTTTTTGCCTCCATCTTCGCTGGACATCTGAGGTAGAAGGACAGTGATTAATGAAATTTATTCACCAATAATTCATCCCGTAGTCAAAATCATAATTCAAAGATTGGAAGCTCGCTCATCCCACGAATAACAAGCAGAAACGTCACTTCTCGCAAACAACGCCCTTCGTCCCAACCAATAATAGCATTGTGTTTGCATTCCGAACGTGTAGTACATAAGGAATTACAACCATTTAAGTCGTCTTGAAGGAAATATGGCCATCAAATTACTGGTTGATTTCTTCAGCCAAGATACGTCTATAGCATCTCAGGTACTGATGGCATTCATTTCATCATGCATGATTTGACAGTGAAATATGTATGCACAATAAATAATAAAACTCTTACCGGCTTTTTGGAACCGTTCATTTTCACATCGTTTCCGGATTGTTGACCAGATTCTAAAAAAATAAAATAAAATAAGTCTCAAAATTAAAGCTCTTTCTCAAATTCTAGAATTGGCAATTAATAATTTTAAAAAAACACATTGGAGCATACACCTCTAAAATAACTGGTATCATACAAGTATCGGACTCATGTCTATTAATATCTGTACCAGACCGAAAGATTATTATAAGTTTTTTTGCACTTGTGAGTGGTAAGCGGTAGGAATGTTGATTTGTGGTGAATTGATTAAAGTTCATCATGATTCTGGTCCATACGCAGCGATGGAATTTGGTTTCAACTTCACTTTAATCGATTGTTTGACCATTCTTGGGTCTCAGGTGTCCCAACATTTTCCTATCGTTTTAATATTCCATCAGGCTAGTTTCAAATTGAAAACTATTGGTTCAATACATTAAGCTAATTGAGGACGTGCAAATTATTGAAATGAAATAGAAAGGCGTAAATGGTACTTGCTACATATGGTCCACCATCTGTGTGAAAAAAGATGTATGCAAAGGTTTCCTCCGTTTTATGATTATTTATTTATGTGCATTCATACTCTAATATATCTAATTGTATGAAAAATGTAATTTCAAGAGCATTCAATACGCCAGACAGAGAGAGAAGTACGTGTGGTTTGTTATGGTTATGGTCATAATCAGTCATCACTAACAAACCACATTTCCTAATGTTGTTTGGTCAAGTCTGTGAAAGAATTAGTGAACCTGGTCTTGACATTGCTGGGCTGTAATGGTTTTCAAGAAAGTGGGTCTCGCTGTCTCATGTAACGCGCAATTGTGACGTGAAAGTGCCACTGACCTGAAGATATTCACCTAGAAATCCCACAATACATATTAGTTGTAGATGATACCAAGTAGTCTTTTGTAGCAGTGGTGGTGCTGAATAAGTGAAAACCAAGAATCCAAATCGAAATTGGTCAGCTTTATAAGCCCGTGGTGATTCTTTCAGAATCGCAAATCACCATAATTTTGAATTTGTCTAGCAATTACGGTGATTTGTAAATCCGGCATAATTTCTATGTGGGTAGATAAACGAGAAAAAATAACTCAAATTAAATAATGCAAAATATAGGTAGTCGGGCTGGGTCAATGAGAAAGTTGTGAAGACAGGTTGCTATTCACAAAAGATGACGGCAATAAAAAACGACAAGCAAACATTGAGTTGGACTCGACAATCACGAATTTCGCATAAGAGTGGCCAACGGCAAAGCACTGTTGGATGCTTAGAATTCTACTCTAGTAATAAAGAGTCGTTGATTGTATGACATATTTTACAATTGGTGAACTGAAAACATTTTGTTACAAAAAATGTAACAATTACCCTCCAGACATTACAAATTACACATTGAAAATCACTGAATATTTAGTGCTTCAAAATAATTACTAGTTCCAGGCTGAATACTGTCAATAGCTCGATCGTAATACAGATCTGTACGTATACATACCTACATAAGTACTATATTTATGTAATAGGGAATAAATAAGGTACTTTTATAATTTCTTGTTTTACCATACAACGAAAGTAGTAATTAAGTACTATTATTTATAAACAATGTACATAATAGTATTACATAACATGAAATATTTGTAGGTTAGTTTTTAACATTGAAAAACAAAATATGGTGCACAAATTATTTTCTACAGGGTAAAGTAGCCTCGAGATTGTTGCAAATATTTGCAACACTGAAATTCATTCATTTCGGAATAACACAAAGAACGCTAATTGTTCTTCGTCGGCTGCATGCACGAGAAAATTCCCACGATAAAATAAATACAAAATGTGTGAAAAGTACGACCTTGGCCTCGCAGTCAGACAACAAGTAAGAGAAATATGTAGATTGTATTTGATGCACTATTGGTATTGTAGATATTTAAATATAGTAAATGTGCTTGCAAGACGGAAATGATAGTTTTGATTTCGTGTCATGTCATGTCAGTGTTTGAGGTAATTCTGCAGTAATTTGGTTGGTGGAGGTAACTCTCGGTTCATCTCAGGGTCAATATTAATGTAGAGATCATTTGATATCACTGCCGGTGAATGTTCACAAAACTACACGCACCAAATGCTCTCTCTGGCAAAACGATTAATCAGCATTGAATAAACGCTGTACATCGTTCCAGAGCTATATTTCTTGCTGCGTAAGATATTTATGCCCAGGAATTATATGGTAAATTGGGTTTAAGAAGGTTATGTTATTACCATAATATATGCGTAACATTGAAATCCACTCATTGTAAATTGTTATCAATGAATTGAATTAGATCAAACAAATTAATGATTTTGTCTACTTATTGATTCCATTGTGGGGGGCTTGAATACGATTTGACAGATAAATAATTGACAATAGAATTCAATATGTATCATTTTAAAAACATCAATACCACACCTGAATGAAATACGTCTAAATCTGCCATCCGATGGTGTGGCATTCAAACTGTGTGCATTATTACATGGATGGATCTCTTTCAGGGCTGTGGTACTTAATTACTTTTGTACTTAATTACTTACTTAATTACTAAAATTGAGGTAATTGGTAATTGATAATTGATTTCAATTACTTTCGTATGTCAAAGTAATTAAGTACTTAAGTACTTGAAGGACCTGGAGTAATTAAAATTGGAAGTACTTAATTACTTGGCCAGGTAGTAATTAGTAATTGAATACTCAATTACTTTGATCAATTACTTAATCGAACATACTTAGAGTGAAAAACGACAAGTCTCCCTCTCCCAATGAACTCGAATTATATAAATATCTTTTGTTGTGACCGCTTTGGTCATCATTCCTATTCAACTTTTGCACTCCAAGCTTATTACAATTTTATATTACAATTGTTTCAACTGGCTGTGTTCCATGGACTGCAAAAATTACCTAAGCAATCTCGTTAGTCAGAGTCAGGTAAAATACAATAGATAGAAATGTACGCATAAACAATTTTAATGTTGTAATTGTGGGAAGAAAATGCCATTATCTATCTGGACTAAAGAACCACAGCAATTTTAAACTTTTGGATCATATAGATGATCTGTTTGCTGTACCGAGATATTTATAAAAGTTTTATACTATTCGGAAATGAATTTTTTGGTCGAAAGTTAGTCTTTAAATAGCGTTTAATTACCTTCAAGTATGAGGATTAAGTAATTAGTAATTAAGTAATTGACTTTCAATTACTAATAAGTAATTGGTAATTGACAATCAATTACTTGCTTCCAAAGTAATTGTAATTGATAATTAAGTTTAATTACTTGACAAAGAAGTATTTGTAATTAGTACTTAATTCGAATTTTCGCAGACGGAGTAATTAAGAATTAAGAATTAATTACTTCCAGAGGTAATTGAACAGCCCTGATCTCTTTAAAGGTTGGGCCGCATCTTGCTGCAGTATCTGTCTCATTATTGAAGCAGCTTCTCAACCCAGTGAATAAAAGTCGTGCACCAAATGTGTCAATAAAAACACCCTTTGCCCCAATCACAGAGGAAATCATGACATAACAACGTCAACTAGATCAATTGGGGCTGTCATTTATTCTTTCTTCCACTGACAAGACAACTACCACTCGGCCTTTAAACTCATGCAGGTCCACTCTGCTAAGGATAAGCCATACTGCTAATGCTCCTGCTACAGCCAACTTGCAATCTTTGGGAGCACAATCAACAATGTTCTATACAAAAAAGATAATAGCATAACGCTGCGGTTTACATTGGCTACTATTCGAGCAACAATATGGAATGGTTGGTTGGCGGATACATAGGTTAGCACAGTGGATTCATCCAGCATTATTGTTGCAACATGTTATTGTACTGCACCGATTTACAGAGCGCATTATTAAATTAAAAGATTATCAAAAGATCATTCATCCTATTTGTCGAATGACTTGCGAAAATTTTTGCGAAAGGCAGAGTTGTTGGAGAAACTCCCTATCAGTTTCATTGCTGTTTAGTTAATTGAATCATTGTTGGCTCAACCAGATGCTGTTCAGATAGGGGGAAAATCTTTCATTAAAATTATAAGTGACATAATTAGGTGGGATTTGGAATTTTAAATTATTTCGTCAGAAAGAGCTAAAGCCATTGCAAAATTTTAGCAATTTTACAAATGGTTATTAGACCTCATTTGAACTGAACTGAGAGAAAGAATATTGGAACTCTGTGCCATGTGAAATCCTATCAATTCAGCTTCTGCAAAGTATGAAAGTTTTCATGCAAATTAAACCAACTCGAAGGTTGAACTTTGGCTAAGCGAATAAAGATTATAACCTCAATCAACCGCAGGAGAGTTTACATAGCTGATAGTTATCTCGAGATAAAACAGTGATTTATGGGTTGCAAGAATCTGCCCCACCAAATGAAGCACGTAAATTCGAGATGAAGTGTGGAATGAGGTAAGTCAATAACAAGGGTTGATTCGTTCCCAAAGTCTTCAAAGTAGTCGATAACTAGACCGCTTTTTCTAAATCATATAGTAGTTAAGTCTCAACCTAGTTAAGCTCATTAGTCCCAAAACCGCTTACTAAATAAATGATCCGCAAATAAAAGTTTTACCACGATCAATTATGTCAATGATTCTCATCTATGAACACTAATCTATATGTTTGCCGTGTTTCCTGTTATGTGTCTCAAATATGAATTACGCATTCTTTAAGAACCTTCGCTTGTTGGATGATTGGTTCAGTTTTCCTTGACGGTTTCTTCCTAGTTAACGCTTTCTGATAACCCAAGATAAAGGGACAGAGAACGACCAATTGATCTAATTGCACCCTAATTTTTTAAGTTGTCAGATTCCTCCCCTCTTCAACCCTCCGTACATTTAGTTCCTCTTACACTAATTTCCTTGATGCCTAACTCTTTACTAATCGAGACGATTTGTATCGGAAAATAAATACCCGTAGGTAGACTAATGGGAGGCGCGCCCTGTAACATATAAATAAATAAACTCGCTCAATGTTTTAAGTTTACATAACACGATTAATATGCATACATGCTCCCCCATTAT